CTACATCCCTAATGTTTGTCAATAAGCTGTCATTCATTTTGATGGGAAGTCATGGAGAGAAAATCAAAGCTAGGTAAACTGGGTATTTTTTGTTTTTTAAATGAGTTTAAAGACATCCTTATTTATGTGTAGTCTGTGCATGCATGCGTGTGTGTGTATGTGTGTGTGTGTGTGTGTGCAGGGTGCCTTGGCCCATATTTAGCCATGTCAAAGACAGTTCAATTCTTCCTTCCCTGATGACCACTGACAATGAGGCTTATCTTTTCTCTGCATTCCCACTTTTTACTTGTGTATTACATTTATTTTCTGTTAGGGTCACATTCATCCATGAAATAATAAATTCTTTGCAGGAAGGGATTAGTTTCTTGTCACTTCTTTAGCTTTTGTTAGATAATCTAAAAGTAAAGGACAGAGAAAGGATTAATCTTCACATGTATCCATGATGAGTTGTGAGTTATCAGTTATTCAGTGTCAAATGACACATCCAATGAACAAAACAGGTAACTCCTACCTTCATTCTAGTGGTGGGGGAAATGACAATAAGCACTTTATATGTAATATAAATTTCATATGTAACATGTTTATAAAAACTGATAAGCACAATGGAAAATTAAAATTAAAGCAGAGAAAAAAGCAAATGGTAATTTACAATATCATAACCAGGGAAGATTTCCCTGAGAAGTTGACATTTGTGTAAAGACCTGAGCGAGGAGAGAGAAGGAGGCAGTTTTATGCCATATATAAAGGAAAAACAGTACAGACAGGAGGAACAGCATGTGTAAGGTCCCTGAGGGGGCGCATACCCAATTTTTATGAGAAGCAACAAAGAAGCCAGTGTGACTGAGGGTGTCCTAGGAGTTGAGACCAGCCATATAGTATGAAAGCAGTAGAACATTGTAAGAATTTTCCTAAGCAATATGGGAAGTTAGGGAAGGGTTTTGGAATGAGAAGTGATAAGATTTGTTTTAGGTTTTATTTATTTATTTTAAGATTTGTATTCACTAGAGACAGAATGGGGGGCAAAACAGGCAGATCTACTGAAATACACTGCTAAGGAGAGCAGTGGGTGAAACAGGTGCAGTCTGCTAGACCATGTGGGTTAGCAGCAATCAAACCCAGGCTATGGTAGGGGACGTGGGTGGGCCTTCAAGGTGGTAGCAATGAGACTTAATTCCTAAGCCACCAGGGAGGCCCTGCTTTAGTTTTTTTTTAATTTTTTTAAGACTTATTTATTTATGCATACAGGAGCTAGGGCACAGGCCAGAGGTGTTGGTGGGGGGAGGGGGTGAGAGGATTCACCAGAGGCAGAGTGGGGAACAGAACAGGCAGACTGACTGAAATACACTGCTGAGGGTAGGAGCAGTGGGCTAGGCAGGAGAGGTCTTCTGCGCTATGTGGGTATCTTCCTGACTGGCCTAGGATGGAACTTGTGCTGCAGAGGCTGCAGACAGCTTCATAGCTTGTGTCTTAACTCCTTGCACCATCAGGGAGGCCCTGTTTTAGGTTTAAAAGGATTGCTTTGACTGCCATGTTAGCCTAGGGATGTCATACCCCATGCAGGGAGCAAGAGAAAGTGGGGAGACTAATTAGGAAATAACTCAAGGTTTATGCACTGAGGGAGGATAGAATTGCTACTTAATGAAATGAGAGATGGCTGTAGGAGTAGCATGTTTATGAAGAAAGAGGAGTAATTTAGTTTTGGATGTGATAAATAGGCACGATTAGATACACAGGTGAAGATACTGATTTATATTTATAGTTGGGGAGTGGGCTAGAGATTGGGAGTCATCAGCATATGAACTGTATTTAAAACTATGAGGGTGAACTGTGGAGAGCTGTGTGGAGATTTCTGGACCTACTAAACATAGAGCTTCCATATGATCCAGCAATTCCACTCCTAGGTATTTACCCAAAGGACACAGAAACATCAATTCCAAAGAACACCTGCACCCCTATGTTTATAGCAGCACTGTTTACAATAGCTAAGCTTTGGAAACAACCCAAATGCCCAAAAATAGATGACTGGATCAAGAAGATGTGGTACATATATACCATGGAATATTACTCAGCATTCAAAAAAGATAAACACATGCAATTTGCAGCAACATGGATGGCGCTGGAAGGGATCATGCTCAGCGAAATAAGCCAAAAAGAAAAAGAAAAATACCGGATGGTCTCACTCATAGCAGGAATCTAGAAAACTTAAATAAGGGACCAGGAAAATGAATAACTATAAGAAAGTGAAATTCAAAATCAACAAAAAACTATGAACCAGAGACAATTTTAGGGGGCGGGGGCGGGAGGGGAGGGATTGGGGTCAGAATGGGGGGGCTGCAATTGTATGGGGAATATAACAATAAAATTTATAAAAAAAAAAAAAAAAATAAATAAAACTATGAGGGTGAGTGAGATCTCAGGGAATGAGTGTAATTATAGAAGAGGAGAGACCCACAGACAGAGCCCAGCCACACCATAACATTTATTGGTTGGTTGGTTTAGTAGTAACTAGCTTTGTAGATGAAGAAGAAATAATTGGATGTTTAAATCAGTAGACTTGTCAATTATCATTTATATCAACTTTCTTTCCATCCTTGATAATGGATTGAATTTTGGAGTTGGGGACTGTTAAATGATTAATTAAACCTGCGTGGTACACTTTATTAGGGATAGAAGCACAAGAGAAGAGATGTACTAATACAGACTATACGACAGTAGGAAAATAAATGTTAGCCTTAGGAACTGGGTAACTTTGCTGGTTATGTAATATGAAAATATAGATTTATTTCTCTTTTACATAAAAATTTAGGTAGCTCATTTTTTATGGGGACAAAATATACATAACACATAATTGACCATTTTAATTACTATTTTTTAAAGATTTATTTATTTATGCATACAGGAGCTGGGGTACAGGCCAAAGGTGTGGGGGATGAGAGAACTCACCAGAGACAGAGTGGGGAACAGAACAGGCAAATCTACTGAACTACACTGCTGAGGAGGGCAGCGGGCGAGACAGGAGAGGTCTGCTGTGCCTTGTGGGTTGCTCCCTGGCTGGCTGGAGATCGAACTCATGCTGCAGAGGTTGCGTCTTAACTGGTTGTGCCACCAGGGAGGCCCCCAAAGATTTATTTATTTATGCATACAAGAGCTGGGGTGCAGGCCAGAGGAGCCGGTGTGTGTGTGTGTGTGTGTGTGGTTCCACCAGAAACACAGTGGGGAGCAGAACAGGCAGATGTACTGAAATACACTGCTGAGGGGAGCAGCAGGTGAGACAGGAGAAGTCTGCTCCCGCCATGAGGGTCACCTCCCTGGTCAGGGATTGAACTCATGCTGCAGTGGCTGTGGATAGCTTCACAGTGCTGCAACCCAACCCCTTGTGCCACCAGGGAGGCCCCTTAATTATTTTTAAATGAACACTTAGTGGCATTGATTATGTTCACAATGTGCAACCATTCCCACTTCAAGGAGGTTGTGATTCTTCACATTAGACATGCAAAATATAAGTAATGGTATTTCTATATGGGTCTGTATTTTCTGATTAGGAATTAAAAGTTGAAAAGATGGGGCCTCCCTGGTGGCGCAGCAGTTGAGTGCTGGGTTGCCAAGATGCCCGCAGCCTCTGCAGCACTGGTTCTATTCCCGGCTGCTCCCCAGCCACCAGAGGAGGGTCCCACATGGCGCGCAGACCTCTCCTGCCTCCCTCTGCTCCCCTCAGCAGTGTACTTCGGTCCTTCTGCCTGCTCTGTTCCCTGCTCTGGCTCTGGTGAATTCTCTCACCCTCCCGTTCTTCTGACTGTACCCAGTGCTTGTATAAATAAATAAATTAAATAAATCTTTAAAAAAAAAAAGAATAAAGGGCTGAAACTGGTGGAGAGTATAGCTCAACGAAATTTGAAAACTGTGCATGAATTTAGAAAGGACTGACAAGGCATAAGTATTTGTGCAATTTGTAGCATCCCAAAGAAGAACCAGTGCTCACAGTATTTCTTTGGCAGAGTTGGTAGGGCTGGAGTGGAGGCCTAGCTGGAAGTTAGGAAGAGCAGAAGCTAAGGTTCAGTGAAAAACTCTAGGAAGCTACAGTTGGTTTGGTGAGAGACGGCACAATTTCAAGGGTTCCTGGAAAGAGCGAGGAGCCAAAGGCTGGTTTTGGAAAGGGTTCATTTTAGAAAAGCCAAAAAACAGCCCAAATGGGCAGTTATTATAGGTCAGCAAACAGAGGCTGGCTTTCTGAGGCGGATTTTTTTTTTTTAAAGATTTATTTATTTATTTATTTATACAAGAACTGGGGTACAGGCCAGATGCACGGGAGAGGGAGAGGATTCACCAGATACAGTTGGGAGCAGAACAGGCAGATCTACTGAAATACACCGCTGAGGGGAGCAGTGGGTGAGACAGGAGAGGTCTGCTGCACCATGTGGGACACTTGCAGGCGGCCGGAATCCAACTGGTGCTTCAGAGGCTGCGGACAGCTTCACAGCACTGCGCTCAATGGCCTGTGTCACCAGGGGAGACCCTGTTTTTGTTTTTTTCCCCCAATATTTATTAATTTATACAAGATCCGAGCGAGGTACAGACCAGATGTGCGGGAGGGTGAGTGGATTCACCAGAGAGCAGGGAGCAAAACAAGCAGACCGATTGAAATACACTGCTGAGGGGAGCAGCAGGTGAGACAGGAGAGGTCTGCCGAGCCATGTGGGTATCTCACCGGCCCGCCAGGACCGAGCCCACGCTGCAGAAGCTGCAGACAGCATCACAGGGCTGCGCCTAACCGCCTGCGCCACCAGGGAGGCCCTCTGAGGTGGATTTGGTGGGACCGTCTCGCAGATCAAGTTTCCCGTCTCCTGTGTGAACACAGGCCAGAATATCGAGGAAGACTGTCGGGTAAAACAGGATAAAGGAGGCGTCGGCCAGGGGACAACCGCGTGGGCCGGACGCAGGCCCCGCCCCCGGATTACGCCATCAGACGGCGCCGCGCCCGGGTTGTTATTCCGCCGGGCTGGCCTGGCGCGGCGGCCCGTGCTCTGTCTGCGCCGCTTGGGCCATGGCCTCTGCCGGTAGTTTGTAAATTACCAATCGAAGGTCCCGACGCGTCCGGCGTCCCAATGGCGGCGTCTGCGACGGCGGCTCTGGCAGCGGCCGATCCCCCTCCCGCGATGCCGCAGGCGGCGGGAGCCGGAGGACCCACCGCCCGTCGAGACTTCCATTGGCTGCGCTCCTTCCTGGCCGGAGGTGGGTGTCCTCCGAGGGGACCCGGAATGCGGGGCGGCAGGGGCAGGATCCCGGGCAGGTGGGGTGGCTTGGGGCCGCGATGACATCCTTGGACACCGACTGCTTCAGTGTCCTGCCAGATGTTTGTTCAGACCGGCTGTGATCTCTTCGTGGTGATCACTTATGACACCAGAGTGACAGCAGAGGCCTGGGGAGGAAGGGCCTCGGACTTTAGGGAGAGCACTGAGGAGGAGGAAGGGCCGAACCTGGCACTGTTTTTCACGGTTGGATGCCAGGGAAAAGAGAATACCTTACAAAGACCCCAGGATTTCAGTGAAACATGCTGTGCTCCCCGTTCTGTTATAAAGGCCATTGATGACCTAGCATACAATTGGATTTTACTGTTTTCTTAAAAAGAAAACAAATATTAGAGGTCTGCTTTTTAAAGATGACTGGGAAGTTGTTTAAAACTGTCCACAACCAAAAGTAGGTTCAGTGATTTTAGTAAACTGCCTCAAGTTACTTGAAAGGTGCCACCCTAACTATTGTGTGTGTGTGTGTGTGTGTGTGTGTGTGTGTGTGTTTGTGTAGGGGGGAGCAGAAGGTTCATATTGTCTCTCAGAAGTTTCCTCTGTTTTCTCATAAGAAGGTATTTCAATCTCTGCTCTTTCTTAATTGGTTGTTTGAGTTGTCATCACTTAATTAAGCCTGGGAATTTAAAAAATTCCACATTATTAGGACTCATAGAAAGATAGTATCTGTAGGCTGTAGTAGTATAACAATTTAATTATTTTGGTCTTCAGATAAAAAAGGGCCATTCAATTATACAAAGGAATATTTGAGTGCCTGCTACTTGCTTCATACATATTAAGAACAAAACAAAGATCCTGGAGTTTACACTGGTTGTAAGTTATATGAAGAAATAAATTAAAAGGTGATTAAATGCATTGGGAAGAAAAAAGGACAGTGCGGCAAGGAAGTGGAGCATCTGAGTAGGTGCAGTGTTAAATAGGATAATGGTAAGTATCAGTGAGAAGATGACACTTTAGCAGACTTGAAGAAGTGAGGCAGTTTAACAAGTTTACCTCTAAGCAAGAGCATTTGACGTGAAAAAAAGAGTTAAAACTAAGACTTCAAAACAGGAGAGGGACACATGTGTTCAAAGAACAGCCTTGAGATCTATGTAGCTAGAGCCTAGCAGTGTTGATGAGAAAAGAAGGCTGAGGAGCAAAAGGGGACAGGAAATGAAGGATCTTGCAAACTATTGTAAAGATCACGTTTTTTACAAATATTGAGTCATCCTGTGATATATCTGAAAAGTAATAGAATCTTATATATGTCAAATTTCCTCAGTTTAAATAATAACATACCTGGAGTGAAGTGGGGAGCCATTCATGTCTTGAGTAGAGAAGTGATATGATGTAGCATGTTTCAAAAGCATCACTTTGACTACTCTGTTGAGAATATCTGTAAGGGTGTGAATATGGAAGCAAGGAGACCAATTTGCTGTTTATTGCAGTAATTCAGGCGATAGATAATGATGGCTTGGGTTAGAGTAGTAGCCAGGGAGGCAGTGAAAAAATAGGATTTTTCTAACAGATTAAAGATGATGAGTTAAGGAAGAGAAATCTCAGGTAACTCATTTTGACCTGAGCAGCTGAAAGAATAAAGTGGTCATTGAAGTAGGAAGACTGTAGTTGGACCAACTTTCATGATGATTGTAGGGGGAGATCAAGTATTCAGTTTCAGACATGTTGTATTTTGTAGTTTGACTGGACATTGGAGTGGAGTCTTCATAACATGCAGGTGAGGCTCGCAACCAAGATTCTTCATATAGTGAACATTTGTATGTTATGTGATCTAGTAGTTCCACTCCTAGGTAAATACCAACCTACATATTTCTGTCCTGTCTATGATATTCCTAATAGTCCCAAATAGAAGCAACCCATGCAAACTAGAAGCATGCCCATCAATGCTAGAAAGTATAGCTAAAATGTTGTGCAAGCATATCATGAGGACTGTGATTAAGGATTATGGGTGTGTTGGTTTTGAGTGTGGTGTGGTAACATCTGAAGAGATATGAATCTATACCTCTGAATCACATACAGTATTGTATACCAACATTGCCTAATAAAATAAATGCAATTAAAAAAATCATGCCATGAACTACTGTGCAACACTGAAAATGAATAAATTTCTCCCACATGCAACGGTGGATGAATCCCACAAGCATAATGTTGAGCAGAAGAAGCCAGACTTAGAAGAATGCATATGGGATGGTTTTATTTCTATAAAGTTTAGTCAAAATTGAGTCCATGTTGTTAGAAGACTGATTGGTTATTCCTGAGGAGGAGAAGCAGATATATAGTAATTTGGGGAGTGTAGGAGGACTTCTAGGAGGCTGGTGATGTTTCATTTCCTGATTCAGATGGTCCTTACGTAGGTATATTCATTAAGTGGCATACTTAAAATTTGTGCTTTTTTTCTCTATACATCTTACACTTTGCTCTGCATAGTCTTCCAAAAGGAAGAAAGAAATTAGAGAGAGTGAGTCCTGGAAACTTTACAGAGGGATCTTGATTAAATTGTAGATTTTTTTAGGAGCTTGCATAGTTTTTGGTTGGTTTTTGCATAGTTTTTTTGTTTTGTTTTATTTATTTTTATTCACTGGATCACCAATTTATTACAGAGGGTATAACTCAGGAGCAACCAGATGGAAGAGATGCATAGGGCAAGATATGGGGAAAGGGCATGAAGCTTCCATGCTCTCTCCTTGCACACCACTCTCTCTAAATCTTCATGTGTTCACCAACCTGGAAGCTTTGTTTTTATTTTATTTTATTTTTTAAAAAGATTTATTTATTTATGCATACAGGAGCTGAGACACAGACCAGAGATGTGGGGCGGGGGTGGGGGCAGATGAGAGGATTCACCAGAGGCAGAGTGGGGAACAGAACAGGAAGACTGACTGAGGGGTGCAGCGGGCAAGCCAGGAGAGGTCCACTGCACCATGTGGGTTGCTCCCTGGCCAGCCAGGGATCGAACTCATGCTGCAGAGGCTGCGGATTGCTTCATAGTGCGGTGCTCAACCCCCTGCGCCACCAGGGACGCCCTCTCTTTTTATTTTATTTTATTTTTTTTATTTTTTATTTTTTTAAAGATTTATTTATTTATTTATACAAGCACTGGGTACAGTCAGAAGCGCGGGAGGGTGAGAGGATTCACCAGAGCCAGAGCGGGGAGCAGAAAAGGCAGACAGATGGAGGACACTGCTGAGGGGAGCAGTGGGCACAGCCCGAGAGGTCTGCCGCGCCATGTGGGACCCTCGCCGGCAGCCGGGGATCGAACTGGCGCTGCAGAGGCTGCGGGCAGCTTCGCAGCCCAGTGCTCAACCACTGCGCCACCAGGGGAGGCCCTCTTTTTATTTTAAAGGCTGGTTTATTAATGTAAATTTGTGTGCAGTAAAAATCATCTTGCTTAGGTTTTACCGTTAGATGAATTTTGACAAACATGTATAAGGACCAACACAATCAAAATATAGCATAGTTCCATCACTCCATAATATTTCCACTTCCCGGGGCCTCCCTGGTGGTGCAGGCGGTTGAGCACCATATTGTGAAGCTGTCTGCAGCCTCTGTAGTGCGGTTCGATCCTGGCCAGCCAGGATCAGCAGCGTATTTCAGTCAGTCTGCCTGTTCTGTTCCCTGCTCTGTCTCTGGTGAATCCTCTCACCCTCCCGTACATCTGGCTTGTACCCAGGTTCTTGTATTTAAAAAAAAAAAAAAATTTCCACTTACCTTTATAGTCATTGTTCTGTTTTCCTATCTCTGGCAACTAGTGATCTGTTTTCTTTTGCTGGAGTCTTATCTTGTTCACAATGGTATGTAAATTAATCATACAGTATGTATTCTTTTGAGTCTTCACTTCCCTTCACTTAACAAAATGCAATTAAGATTCATCCATGTTGCATGTATCAGTATTGTGTTTCTTTTATTACTGAATAGCATTCCATTGTATGGACTTACCAGTTTCATCTATGGGTGAAAATTTGCTTACTTTTCTAGCTTTTGGCTAGGAAAAGTTGCAAGTAGGTTTTTATGTGGATATGTATTTTTGTTTTTCTTGAATAATACCTAGGAATGGGGCTGCTGAATTTTAAAAGTATCATGTTTAACTTTATAAAAATTTCTCAAACTTTTTTTTAAAAAAAGATTTATTTTATTTATTTATACAAGAACTGGGGTCTAGGCTAGAGGCGCGGGGTGGGGGTGGTGTGTGAGAGGATTCACTAAAAACAGAGTGGGGAGCAGAACAGGCGGATCCACTGATATACACTGCTGAGGGGAGCAGAGGGTGAGACTGGAGAGGTCTGCTGTGCCTTGTGGGTTAGCTTTCTAGCCGGGGATCAGAACTCAGGCTACAGTGGCTGGGGATAGTTTGACAGCACTGAAATTTTAACCCCTGCACCACCAGGGAGGCCCCTGTCAAACTGTTTCTTAAAGTGTCTGTTCCATTATGTATTCCCACTACCTTGTTAGCACGTGGTATTGTCAGGGTTTGGGTGTGGGCCTGTGTGTGATAGGGGTGTGTGTGTGTGTGTGTGCGCGCGTGTGCACACCCACATGCGCTAGTTGTGTTCCATTTCAATAGGTGTTTTAATGGTATCTAATTGTGGTTTTAATTTGTGTTTCCCTGATGACTAATAACGCTGAGCACCTTTTCATATTCATATTGACTTTTTTTTTTAAAGATTTATTTATTTATGCATACAAGAGCTGGGGTACATGCCGGATATGTGGGAGGTGGGGAGGGCCGTGAGAGGATTCACCAGAGATAGAGTGGGGAACAGAACAGACAGACTGATCGAAATATACTGCTGAGGGGAGCAGTGGGAGAGGCAGGAGAGGTCTGCTATGCCATGTGAGTAGCTCCCTGGCCACCCCGGGGGATCGAACTCGTGCTGCAGAGGCTGTGGATTGCTTCATAGTGCGGTGCTTAACCCCTTGTGCCACCAAGGAGGTCCCATATTGACGATTTGTGTCTCTCCTTTGGTAGAGTACTTCTTTAGATTTTTGGAAAGTGTGTATAACTTTGAAGATTATTTAGGAGTTACTTAAACTTTCTGTGTTTTGGTTTCCTATCTTTATTTTATTTATGCATACAAGTACTGGGGTGTAGGCCAGAGGTGCAGGGGTGAGAGGATTCACCAGAGACAGAGTGGGGAGCAGAACAGCCTTATCTGAAATACACTGCTGAAGGGAGCAGCGGGTGGGACAGGAAAGGTGGGACAGAATTTCACCACATGGGTTAGCTCTCTGGTGGGGAACTTGCTGCAGTGGTTGGTGATAGCTTGATAGCCCTGAGACTTTAATCCCTGTGCCACAGGGAAGGCCCTCATTTCCCTATCTTTAAAATGGAAACTAAGAGTACCTATTTCAGAAGGTTGTAATGATTTACATGAGATAGTACTTGTAAAAACCTTGGCACAGTGACTGTAATTAAGTCTCTTAGCCTATTACCTGCTAGAAATTTGATTAACAGTGATCTTGGCATGTATCTTAACTTCAGTTGCTCAAAAGGAAGATATGTCTACTTGTTCAACTCAGTGGACATTGTGATGATTAATTGAGCTACAAAGTAATATGACATACAAGTTAAAATATTATTTAAAAAACTGCTTATTGAGCACATTGTAAACAATTCATTAATTCTAATAACCAAGAAGATAATATAACAGAGTATTCTGAAGTCAGATACACCCAAATGCAAATTATTTTTAGTTTATCCTCATTTTGGGGTAGCCATGACTGTTACTTATGCTGGATAAGAGAAGCTTGATAGGGCCTCCCTAGTGGCACAAGGGGTTAAGTCTCTTCAATATAAAGCTATTGGCAGCCACTGCAGCTCAATCTGTATCCCCCAGCCAGGGAGCTGACCCACATGGCGCAGCAGACCTCTTCTGTCTTGCCCGCTGTTCCCCTCAGCAGTGTGTTTCAGTCTGCCTGCTCTGCTCCCCACTCTTTCTCTGGTGAGTCCTCTCACCCCTCCCCCCTACATTTCTGGCCTGTACCCCGGCTCTTGTATGCATAAATAAATCTTTAAAAAAAATAGAAACTTGATACAGAAATATAGACGTTAATATGTGGATTTCATGGATATGGAAAAGCTTCTGTAAGTGGATTTAATATTTAGATACAAATATGGAAAAGCTTCCATAAGTGGATTTAATATTTGGGTATAAATATGCATTTAATTTTTGGATTTTTAACATTAGTTTCATCCTGAGTCATTAAGTAAATGTGTCGAACGATTTTTGTCTTACATTTAAAAAACTGTAAAGTAAGACTACATTCATTTATCCATATTTATTGAGTGCCTTTTGGGTGTCAGGCCCTGTGTTAGTCTTTGTTCTGCAATAGTGAAGGAGACCCACAAAATGCTTGTTCCCTCTACCTTCTGTAACGAATATGCAAAGGTAAAGAGTTTAATGTAATGATTAAAAAAGAAAACGCAAAAAATTTTTATTCACCCTTTTATAGTTATAACTCATTGAGCTATTAATAATAATAATAATTATAACTCAATGAGTTATAATAATAATTCATTATAGTAAAAATATTTACTATTGTAAAATACTTTACAATAGTGTTTTAGTCTGTTTTGCCTGCTACAGCAAAAAATGTCATCATCTAGAGAACTAATAAATAATAAATATTTATTTATAATAATTCTGGGAGCTGGAAAGTCTGTGATCATGAAATCAACAGATTTGGTGTCTGATGAGGGCCTGCTTCCTCGCTGAAGGCACTTTTTTTGCTGTGTTTTCAGTGGAAGGAAGGAATAGTGGAAGGAATAATGGAAGGAATCAGGGATCTCTTTGGCACCTCTTTTATTTATTTTTTTTAAGACTTTATTTTTGTGTGGAGCTGGGGTGCAAGCCAGATGGATGGGTGGGGGTTGGTGAGAGGATTCACTAAACACAGAGTGGGGAGCAGAACAGACAGATCTACTGAAATACACTGCTAAGGGGAGCAGTGTGCAAAACAGGAGAGGTCTGCTGAGGCATGTGAGTTAGCTCACTGGCCAGGGATTGAACTCAGGCTGTCATGGTGGTCCTTCATGATGGTAGGGCTGATTCTTTTTTTTTTTTTTTTTTTTTTAATTTATTTATTTTTTTTTTTTATAGAGGCATGTTTTTCATTTATTTATTTGTTTTGTTTTTGTTTTTGTTTATACATGCACTGGGTACAGTCAGAAGCGCGGGAGGGTGAGAGAATTCACCAGAGCCAGAGTGAGGAGCAGAGCAGGCAGAAGGACCGAGGTACACTGCTGAGGGGAGCAGCGGGCGGCAGGAGAGGTCTGCGCGCCATGTGGGACCCTCCTTCAGTGGCCGGGGAGCAGCCGGGGATGGAACTGGCGCTGCAGAGGCTGCAGGCAGCTTCGCAACCCAGCGCTCAACCGCTGCGGGTAGGGCTGATTCTTAACCCCTAGGCCACCAGGGAGGCCCTGGCATCTCTTTTATAAGGGTGCTAAACCCATTCATAAGGGCTTGGCCCTCATGACCTAAACATCGAAAGTTAGTTTTTAACATATGAATTTTGGAGAGACACAAAGAGTGTATAGCAAGAAGTCTTTATATATTTAAATATTAGTGCCTTAAAAAGCATACCAGGCAATTTACTGTCATCCACATGTCTGTACCAGGCAATTTACTGTCATCCACATGTCTGCACAGTGGCATATGGTAGGGATGAATGTAATTACTGAGTGTATAAATGAGTTACTGGATTTTTGAGGGTAAAAGTTGATTGGTTTTAATTAATTAATTAATTTATATTTTTATATATTTATTTATTTATTTATTTATTTATACAAGCACTGGGTATAGTCAGAAGCTCCAGAGGGTGAGCGAATTCACCAGAGCCAGAGGGGAGAGCAGAGCAGTCAGACTGACGAAGTACACTGCTGAGGGGAGCAGCGGGCGACAGGAGAGGTCTGCGTGCCATCTGGGACCCTCGCCCTGTGGCTGGGGATTGAACCTGCACTGCAGAGGCGGTGGGCAGCTTCACAAGCCAGTGCTTAACCACTGCGGTTGAAATTGCGTTTCATTAAAACAAGTTGATTGTTTTAATGAAAGTCATGTAGTAGAAGTTACTTCAAACAGAGCCTTAGAGTTGGGTAAATACTTTCAAATGTGTTTCCATGCCACATTTAGCAAGATTCCCAGATTCAAAAGGTATTAGGGGGCAGTTACACTCTTTAAGCTTAATTTTAAGTCTGACATGCTCAGTTTTTAAGTTAGAGGGCATGGGGGCCAATCATCTGCATATGCCGCTGCTGGGCATGGAGACCAAATTAGAAATCAGAGGGTATGCTGACTGAACAAATAATGATTTCCATCTGGAAAAAAATGGCATGTAATTTATTCCTGACCTTTTAATAAATTTTTAGGTATTGCTGGATGCTGTGCCAAAACAACAGTTGCTCCTTTGGATCGAGTAAAGGTTTTATTACAAGCTCATAATCACCATTACAAACATTTAGGTGAGTTAATGAATGCTAAAGATAAAAATGAATGACAGGATTATCCAGTTATGAATTATAATGGAAAGAGGACACAAGGGAATTCAAATTTGTGGGCAGATTTTATAAGGGATATATCTCTTAATTATTTTAATCTTTTCATTTGCAATAATGGTTATATATTATCATTTTAGGGTACTGTTTTAGGGTATCTAAAACAAAATCTTGGAAACAATGAAGTAAGAACTAATTGTTTATTGGGATTAACAAGTAATATTCTTTACAGACATAACAGCTCTGAATGAATTGAATGAATTTTTTTTTTTTTCTGTGGGACCCTCGCCACCGGCCAGGGAACGAACCGGCGCTGCAGAGGCTGCCGGCAGCCTCGCAGCCCAGCGCTCAACCGCTGCACCACCAGGCGAGGCCTTGAATGATTTTTTTTTAAATCCATTTTGTGATGGCATTAAGGTTTATTCTTTTAAACACTTAATAATCCTTCTGGAAATGTTAGGATACACAGAATACTATGCAGTTATGATATGTGGATAAGCTTGCATTGCTAAAAATATATCAAGCCTTTAGTTGTGTCTTAGGTACATAAAAATCAGCCATTTAGTTATTGCAGACACTCTAATAAAATACCTGATTGATGGGAATAAAGGTTTTTGACAGTTTTTTTGGAGGGCATTTTGGTAATATGCCCGAAAAGTCTGTAAAAGACACATACTCTTTGGCCTTGCAATTTTAGTTGTAGGAAGGTATTTTAAGGAAGTAATTGGACATATGTTCCAAGATGTATCTACAAGGAGCAAAGCATCAATTATGTTGGTAAAAGATAAATTAACATTTGAAAGCTATATGTTTTAAAGCTATATGTGTTATTTCAGTAAAATTTTTTTAGAAATTATAAAATTTTTAAAAAGAAAACAAAAAATAATTAAGCAACCAAAATGGTCAATAATAGGAAATTGGCCAAGTTAATTATTACTTATTTATATTACAGACAACTTTTTAATTTAAAAAAGTTATAATAAAAGAATATTACAGACTACTTTTTAATTTAAAAAGTTATAATAAAAGAATATTAAGTAGGAACAATTTTATAATGTATTAGTTAATGAAAGAAATATTAGAAAACGGTTAAATCATGTTGCTTTTTTAATAAACATGGTTAGGCAAAAGGCTGGAAGGACAAACATTAACATTATATGATTTATTTTTAGTTGTGGGATTATAGGAAATTTTTTTCCTCTAAGCTAATTTGTATCACATGTCGTGTGTGTATATGTGTGTGTGTATATATATATATAATTTCAATTAGAGGGTAAAGGATTTAAAGGGGAAAAAAATGAAACAATGTGGACAGTGACCAAGAAAGAAATTAGGTCAAGGCAACTAATTCATACCACCCCGTTATTTTATAGCTTTATGCTTCAGTAAATAGGAATGATGTGTGCTGTGTACCAGCTAAGCAGCCTCAGTGTATAAGAAAGATGTTCAACAGAGTGAATCAGAATCAATTATTTTTCCAGTTGAGTTTATTTAAATGTGATTTTTCTCAAAGGAATGGATATTTGTTATTTAGTATGGATATTTATGTTACATACTCTTGTTCATCATTTTCTTGTTAATATTTTTAACATTATAAAAAGTCTATTCTTAAAATTGAAAGGAAAAAAAGGCTACTGTTTCTGCCAACAATGAATTCTCTATCTTCACAGTGTACTGCTCATGTATAGATAGAATCAGGTCTTTGAACTTATTGAGAGATTATATAAAATTGGAAAGGGAATGATTTTCTTTCGTTGTCTAGATTGAGGGTGGAAAGGAGATGAATTATATTACCCAATATCTTAGGGTTTTTTACAATGACCCAACAGATGAATGTCTGAGCAAGATTGTTTCATTCCTTTAACTTCCTCCCCCATACTGATGTATGTTGTTTTGTTTCCTGATTTGTAATCGTGAAATTACATATTCACATTAGATTTCACGCTCTATAGGACTACATGCCATGGGTTACAGTCTACCATACAAGGCATGCAAAGTTTGAAATGGAATTCCTACTGTAATATATGGAGCTGTGTGTATTTATAATATACAAGCCAAAAAAGAAAAAAGTATTAGTGATTTTTTATTATAGTTTTAAAATGTTTTTGAGCATCTTATTATAGGCATTTTTTAATATGCATAAGATAGTTTTTATTTATTTATTTTTAAAGATTTATTTATTTATGCATACAAGAATTGGGGTACAGGCCAGAGGTGTGGCCGGTGAGAGGATTCACCAAAGACAGAATGGGGAACAGAACCAGCAGATTGACTGAAATATACTGCTGAGGGGAGCAGTGGGCAAATCAGGAGAGGTCTGCTGTGCCATGTGGGTAGCTCCCTGGCCTGGGATCGAACTCCTGCTGCAGTGGCTATGGATAGCTTCATAGGTTGCGTCTTAACTCCTTGTGCCACCAGGGAGGCCCATAAGATAGTTTTTAAACATGATTTTTTTCATAGTCAAATTAAAGATGATGAAGACAAGCTATTGAATTTCTTTAGCCTCTTTTTAAAAATGTGTGCTGTTACTTCCAGGGTATCAAAGTTATTTCTTATTATGGATCAAAATTATTATAGCCTACAAATATTAAATCATTATCACTTGAAAGTAGTATAATGTTAAATGTCAATTATATCTCAAGAAATGTTTTTATATTATGGAGGGCAAATGAAAAGGAAGGAGTTAATTAGAATTTCTCCTTTGACCGCCATTTAGCTTTTTACATTATATGTGATGTAAAAAGAGGTAGATGAAACAGAATAAGATTTAAAAATACTCTTAATTTTTTGCTTTTACTTTTTATTTTTGAATGCATAAAATTTTCCTAAGTTCATAATTCAGAATGTACAAAAGCAATCATCTTTCTTTCTCTTATTCCCTTCTTGGAATCAAGCAAACATTTTTGCAAGTTTCTTCTGTTTCCTTTCAGAGCTAATATATACATACACAAACATATGCTTATATTTTATCAAATGTTAATTCCTTTCAATCCTAACTTGATTTTAAAATGTCAAGATATAGAGAAGGATTTAAGTAACACACAAGCTTGATGTAACAGGTACACAGGGGACTTTATACACTACAAGGAATACATATTCCTCTTAAAGATGCTGGTAACATTTACAAAAATTGTTCCAGTGTTATAACATAAAGAAAATTTCAGTTCATTTCCCAAAGTAAAAATAATTCAGATTATATGTTGAAGGAGAAAATAGAGTATAATTATCTGAATGGATATTTTAAAGCTGTTTGAAAATACTTAACATCCATTCTTTCTCTCTTGTCTTTGTTATTTTGTTTTAAGAGAGTTTTTTTTCTAAAATGCATATGATCAGATATAGCCTTTTAACAGAATTTGAGAATTCTTTGATTTTTAATAGAGGAATTTACATCATTGAGAATTTTTAGTGAACATTGATCACCATCTTATTTTTTTTTCTGTTTATTGTCCTTTTTGTTGTCCTGTCCTTTCCAGCCCCTATTCTTCATCTCCTGGATTTCCTCTTTTGAAAATACTATATCTCACCTTTACTACTGCTTTTGTTAGTGTGCAGACTGAGGGGTATCCCAGATTCCTCTTCCCCAACCTACTCTTTAAATGGGTTCTGCCATTGAAGTCTTCATACAGATAAAGCATAATTTAGTGTGAAAGAACTTTAATAGGATAGTGTGCATAGAGAGAGAAGAGAAGATGATAATTTTCCAATAATACACCCAAAGTTAACCATCCCCTTGTAGGTAAATGCCCAGCCAAGCAAGGTTGGCTCAGAGTAGGGCTGCTGAGGTCTAAGAGCTTGCCACAAGTCTAAAGCACCTTTTGGCAGGGAACCATAGGAAAGGGCGGAAGGAGCCAGGCAAGTCTGGGATGAAAGTTGCAAAATCAGATGACAAATCAAGGTAATGACTGTCATTGTCAACCTCCCTCAGGGCCTACATATCTTCCAAATGTCTCTACGTTGTCTCTATTCCACCTGTCTCCCCCTTTGTGCCCCAAGTCCCTGGTGCAATTCTGAGGTCACATGTCTGTTCCATGTCTTTCCCAGTCTTCCTCCTGTCTTTTCCCAGTCTTCTTCCACTGCTCTTGTTTTTCAACTCTACCCCTCATTACATGGGGCAGGCAACGTGGTACCTGCCCTTTTTATAGCGATCATACTCTGAAACACTTTCTCTTAAATATTTGTAATTATCAAAGAATTTTAAAGAATAGTAAAAAATATGTATGTAAACGCACACAGTGCTTCAGAAATAAATATTATCAGTACAATTGAAACCTCTTCTGAACTACTCTCTCATTATGAGCCTTTCCTGCTAAGTAGCCATTGTTCTAAATTTGGTTACCCTTACACATTGAGTCAAATTAAACAGGACATAATCTTTACCCCCTCCTAAAGCAAGAGGATATATTTAATAGAATTATTTTGGAGGAATATGTATTTAATTTTATTGTTCATTTAACTTGGGAGAATTTTACATTATCCATTGCATTACACACACGAATTCTTTCTAATTAGAAAAGAGCCTTTTCAAACTTTTTTGTTTGAAAAGTTTAGAAGGGAATCTGAATTTGAATAGTTTCATAATGAGAGTAGTGATAAGTTTATGAGAAGTCTTGCACTACAAATAGGAATGATGATTGGTACTACTGGAACTAATAAACATCAATATATGGGATCATAAGTGAGGGCTTTGTTTATCTTTTTTTTTTTTTTTTAAAAGATTTATTTATACAAGCACTGGGTACAGTCAGAAGCGCAGGAAGGTGAGAATTCACCAGAGCCAGAGCTGGGAGCAGAGCAGGCAGAAGGACAGAAGTACACTGCTGAGGGGAGCAGCGGGCGGCAGGAGAGCTCTGCGCACCATGCGGGACCCTCCTCTGGTGGCCAGGGAGCAGCTGGGGATCAGCAGGCTGCGGGCAGCTTCTCAACCCAGCGCTCAACCACTGTGCCACCGGGGAGGCCCTTTGTTTTTCTTTATTCCTAATTAAAATATCCTAATAATGAAATTATTGAAATTGAAATAGATTTAACAGGTAGTTTTTTGTTTCTTCTATTTAGTCTCCTTATGTTAATAAACTACACTTGTATCTGAGTCACTTTGGGAAAACTGCCTTCATCCTCCTAGGCAGAGTCAAATATCTTTATCTATAGTGCAGCCTCTGGACCTTGAATATATATCTGCTGTTAGTATTTTTTAGATTACTATAATTTAATATAATTTGCAATAATTAATAAATATAATTTGCAGCTGTTCTTTCTATAATGCTTTATATTTTTATATGAGGTATGTTTATATAATTTGGACATGTGATGCATTTTTAAGTAGATTTAAGTGCATAGAAATTAATATTCTTATAATTCTCAAGCAGTATTATATGATGACTGATGGCTTTGTAATCTTTATGATTGTCATGGAAATTTGGATTTAGGTAGTTTTCTCTGTTTTAATAGTATTTTTCTTCTAAAAATCTTTCTTAACTAGGAGTATTTTCTACATTATGTGCTGTTCCCCAAAAGGAGGGATACCTTGGATTGTACAAAGGGAATGGTGCAATGATGATTCGAATCTTTCCCTATGGTGCAATCCAGTTTATGGCGTTTGAACATTATAAAACGGTACTTGAAATTTTCTCTTGTTTTCCTCTTTTGTTGCCCTTGAATATTAGGCTTAGTGGACAAGGATTTGGTTTTCCCCTTCAGGTTACTTTGGATGTTTGGATAAAGTAATGCCTTTTTGAGGGATTAAGACTATAAATTGATTGTAGAACCATCTGTAACAGAATTGTTAGTCGTTTTTGAGTAAATTGTTTATGTTCACACTGATGAGGAAGAGCCAAAACATCTTTCAAGTAGATAATATGTCCATAAAATATTAATAGCTTCTTATTGTGGTTTTTGCTTCTCACTATAGGAGAGGTACCTGTGGCTTTGGGTTTTATTATTAAATCATATAGTAAAACCATATTGTGAACATCTGTTTTTGAGTGATGCTATAAGTTAACAGCTTTTCCAATCCTACTCATTGATTAAGTTTCTCTTTTCTGGCTGACTGAGAGTTTATGCTCCCAAATATCTTAATGCAGAAAATGTTGAGTAAAAGTTCACAGGGTATCGTAAAATGACAAGTAAGCAGTAGAGATGTAAGCAACATTCTAAGCTAGTCAATCAGATAGAATCAATGCCATCAGTATAACAGGACTTAATTGTATGTAGTAGTATTTTACTCCTGCTACCCATTTACATTCTAAGTATTTATGGTCATCAATGTGTATCATAGGATATTTGGCAGTTTTAAGCTAGATGGTTTTGTAAAAGTGCACAATTACAGCAGACGCTCTAATGAAAATACCTGACTTCCTTATGATGTGATATATAATGTCACTGTCCAGCTTTATCCAATTGTGCTCATTTCACTTACATTTAATACTACTTTTCCCTTTATTAGTGCTGTTATTCTTGAAATGTCTTCATTATTAAAAATAGCATTTTAAAATAATAAATGTTATTAAAATGTCTTTATTTTTAAAATATCTCATTTGATGTTTTTTATTTCTAGTTAATTACCACAAAACTGGGAGTTTCTGGTCATGTACACAGATTATTGGCTGGATCTATGGCAGGTAAGGGGAATGGGTGTATATTTTTCTGATGACTTAATATTCTTTTTTTTAAAAAAATTATTTATTTATGCATACAAGAACTGGTGTACAGGCCAGAAGTGTGGAGGGTGAGAGCATTCACCAGAGACAGAGTGGGGAACAGAACAGGCAGATTGACCAAAGTACACTGCTGAGGGGAGCAGCGGGCGAGTCAGGAAAGGTCTGCTGCACCATGAGGGTCTCCTCCCTGGCCGGGGATCGAACTCGAGCTGCAGTGGCTGCTGACAGCCTCATCGTGCAGTGCTTAACCCCTTGTGCCACCAGGGAGGCCCCTGACAAGTTAATATTCTATTAAAATATTTTTTGTTTAGGTTGTATGTGTGACACTGATTAGGTAGCACACATTTGTTATCTCTTTACACTTAATTATAAAAAATCATTAATAACCTGATTCAAAAAAGGGTATTTTTTTTTATTTATTATATACTATGCATATAAGAACTGGAATATAGGCCAGAGGTACCGGGGTGAGAGGATTCACCAGAGAGTGGGAGCAGAAAGGCAGATCTACTGAAATACACTGCTGAGGGGAGTAGTGGGCAAGATAGGAAAGGTCTGCTGTGTCATGTGGGTTGCTCCCTGGCTGGCTGGCCAGGGGATTGAACTTGTGCTGCCATGGCTGCGGATAGCTTCACAGTGCTGTGCTTAACCACTTGCACCACCAGGGAGGCCTCAGTATTGCTAATATTTTATTTCCTAGTTTTTAGATTTGTCTTTTAACTTTACTCATGAAAATATTTTAGAAGAAGTTAGATAGGCAGCTCTCCTGCCCACCTGTGTAGGCATATCTATCCTTTCCTTTTTCATATAATAAGCCTGCCCTTTTGGAAATAATTAAAAGTGTCTGCTTCATGAGGAAACTCACCATGTGCAGCTGAAAGGGGAACTGTGGTGAAACTTTTCTCAGAGGTAACCCACAGACCACACTAAGAACACTCTGTCTGTACAATTTCTGTACTGGCAGGATGCTGCTCTCATGTCCGCCTATCACTATGCAGGTGTTTCTTTTCTCAAACCTTTTCCCCTTGCAAAACAGGAGCAGCAGCTCTCCTGTCCACCTGTGACTGTGGGTGCTCTCTTTTTCTTTCTCATTTCCCTAATAAAACTTTTAAAATGTTAAATAAAAGAAAAAGAAAAGGTTATTTAAAAGTTAAACCCCCTAGAAATAAAAAAAAAAAATTCCTCCCTAAAATACATTTTATATAGCCAAACAGGTTAATATTTTCCTCTGTAGCTTCAAAATTTGTATTGTGTTTAGAAATGCCTTCCTCATTCTAAGATAAAAACACTTAATCATTTTTTCTACTAAAACTATTTTTAGGGGCCTCCCTGGTAGCACAAGAGGTTAAGACGCAACCTATGAAGCTGTCTACAGCCTCTGTAGCATGAGTTCGATTCCCCAGCCACCAGGGAGCAACCCACATGGCAAAGCAGACCTCTCCTGACTCGCCTGCTGCTCCCTCAGCAGTGTACTTCAGTCAATCTGCCTGTTCTGTTCTGTTCCCTACTCTGTCTCTGGTGAATCCTCTCACACACACACACCCCCGCCCCCCGCCACCACACACCTCTGCCCTCTACCCCAGCTCTTATATACATAAATAAATAAATCCTTAAAAAACAATAAAACTATTTTTTGTATGTTGATCTTTTTTATATTTATTCTTATTGAGAAATGAAGTAGGGATTGATTAGGAAATTTTTTCTCCAAATGACTAGAGTTTGTGCCAACATTATTTACTCAATAATTTATACTTTTCCCTGATCGTAAGCATCACCTATATTGTGTGCTGAATTCTGTGAATTTATTTAAAAGAATTATATATATACAGTGATATTTAGCAACAGAGATATTCATTGCAATTTTGTTTATCATACCAAAATGTAATGTAAATAATTAGCAATAGAAGAATAGTTTTTAAAAACCCAGAAAAATTATTTCTAAATAAGCAATGATTTTTGTCACTATTTTGGCGCCTCCGTATTTTGGGAGAACTTTATCTACAATTTATACACTTCCATTTGTACACTAACTAATTGAATCTCCCCATCCTTTAGAGCCCAACCCAACAGCTACTACTGCTTGTGATATTTTTCCTTGAGATTTTTCTGGAAGCACCATGCCTCTGAGGTTTTCTTGGGCTGGTGTAACAAACAAATTAATATCAGACTCATTTGTAGGTGAAAAAGAATAAGTTTAATTTTATACATATTGTAATTTCTATAGAGTAAATGAAACAGTGTTTTTATTTTTGAGCTAATGGATGGCAGTGTCATCATACCATGCCCATCACTGGAGCTCCAAAGTCCTCCACCATAGTCAATATAAGTTCATTTTTTAAAAGGCTTATTTTTATTTATTTATGCATATAAGAACTGGGGTCTAGGCCAGAGGTGTGGGGAGCAGGATTTTGAAGCTTCCTCAGAGACAGAATGGGGAGCAGAACAGGCAAATCTACTGAAATACACTGCTGAGGGGAGCAGCAGGTGAGACAGGAGAGGTCTGCTGCTCCGTGGATTAGTTCCCTGGCTGGGGATCAAACAGGCCACAGTCACTGGTGATAGCTTGATAGCATTGAGACTTTTACCCCTGTGCCACCAGCGAGACCCTAAGTTACTTCCTTTTTTTTTTTTTTTTTTTAAATTTACTTATTTATACATACAAGAACCGGCCAGAGTTGCTGGGGGTGAGAGGATTTACCAGAGACAGATTGGGGAACAGAACAGGTAGACTGACCGAAATACACTGCTGAGGGGAGCAGCAGGCAAGACAGGAGAGGTCTGCACCATGTGGGTTTCTCCCTGGCTGGCTGGGGATCCAACTCATGTCGCAGAGGCTTCTGACAGCTTCACCGCACTGTGCTCAACCCCCTGTGCTACCAGGGAGGCCCCTAAGTTACTTCTTTTAATGCTAGTTTTGTTACTCAACAATGGGCTTTCTGCCTGACATGCACAGAAGCCAGTACTATGGCATCTTCTTTTGAGAAAAGAAGGTTTATTGTGAGTTTGAACAGCTAAGATTGGTTTCATGGGAGTGAGGAAGAAAGGGGAAAAATGCTAGGAATGTGGAAGTTAAGGATTGCAAAATCTGATTGGTTAATCACTAATCCATCAGTACATGGAAAAATTCTTTCCCATTCCCTAGCTCTTTCTTGTTGATAGATCCCTTACTTCTGAATATAGTCTGGAGGGCTGTTGATTCACTCTTTGCTTTTGAATGTAGTCTGGGCAGTTCCTTCTTTCATGGTTCCGTGTTGATGGTCTCTTGGTTCTGTGTGGGTTAGGGTTCTGAATGCTTGGGTTATGTGACTCATGGACAAGTGTCTGCTCTGTTGCTTCTGAAAACAAACTGGTATCTGGTATTAGACAGTAATAGAATTTAAAAAAATACAATCCAGTTAGACTTATTTACACTTATACCACAGCCTTTGGTACTAATAATGTAAGTTGACAGTGGAAAGAACTTGAGAAGATTTTATAAACTGACCATTTTCTCACAAGGCTATTATCTAGCAGGTCATGTATCGTATACTTCTATCTTTGATTTCATTGGGTTTTCACAGTATTGCTATAATTTGAGCGCACACTAATGATAGGAGAGATCTACCTGTCCTTGCTACCACATACACACATCTCCATATATATTGAGTTAGAAAAACCTAGCAGTCTTTCTTTTGTATGTCTCTTTCAGTAAGCACATAGACACTTGTAACTCTTTTGATCACCAATTGTGTGAATTTTTTCCCCCAGACAAATCAATTCTGTATCACCAGCTGGATGTCCAGAAATTTAACTCAGTTCTCATATTGACTGCCTGGAGGTAGAATCAGATTCCATAGTCCCAGGAGATTGCCCCCCACTCCACATGCCAGTTACAAATAATAGGTCCCCAGGTTACTCACAACTTCTGATGGACTTGGCTACAAATCAGAGGTTCCCATAGCCATCTTCCCCTTGGATTTGATTATTTTGTAGAACAGCTCACAGAATTCAAGGAGACATTTATATTTATCTGATAAAGGATTCAGATGAACAGCTAGATGAAGAGCTGCATAGGGTGGTGAGGTCTGACAGGGTTCTCAGTATAAGAGCTTCTGTCTGTTGAGTTGGGTTATGTTACCATCCGGTATAGTAGTATTCACACACCTGGAAGTTCTCCTAGCCCCATACTTTTGGGATTTTATGGATACTTCCTCATGAAGGCACGATAACTTATAATTCCATTGCCCTCCCGACAAAATCTCAAGCTTCTAATTATGGCTTGGTCTTCATGGTTACTGACTTCTCTCCAGGACCCCACCCAGAGATACCTCATTCAAAAGCTTCTGCTAGGGTGGCGCAAGGGGTTAAGACGCAACCTATGAAGCCATCTGCAAGCCACTGCAGCATGAGTTCAATCCTCGACAGGCCAGGGAGCAACCTACGTGATGCAACAGACCTTTCCTGATTCGCCCACTGTTCCCCTCAACTGTGTATTTCAGTTAATCTGCCTGTTCTGTTCCCCACTCTGTCTCTGGTGAATCCTTTCACCCCTCCACCTCCACTCCTTTGGCCTGTACCCAGTTTTTATATGCAGAAATAAAATAAATCTAAAAAAAAAACCAACAAAAAAACCAAAAGCTGGGCCTCCCTGGTGGCACAAGGGTTTAAGATGCAACCTGTGAAGCTATCCGCAGCCACTGCAGCATGAGTTCAATCCCCCAGCCAGCCAGGGAGCAATCCACATGGCACAGCAGACCTCTTCTGGCTCACCCGCTGCTCCCCTCAGCAGTGTATTTCAGTAGATTCACCTGTTCTGCTCCCCACTCTGTCTCTGGTGAGTCCTCTCACCCCTGCCCCACACCTCTGGTCTATACCCCAGTTCTTGTATGCATAAATAAATAAATCTTTAAAAACAAACAAACAAAAAAGCTTCTGCTAGTGTTCCTATCACTTAGGAATTGACAAGGTTTTGGGAGTCTTAGGACCAAATGTATAATTTTTATTATAAATCATAGTGTCATACATATATATTATTTCTTTCACATTTAAGTTTCTGCTTTTGTTTTCAGGTATGACAGCAGTTATCTGTACTTATCCTCTTGATATGGTTAGAGTACGTCTAGCATTCCAGGTGAAAGGGGAACACACTTATACAGGAATTATTCATGCATTCAAGACAATTTATGCAAAGGTATTTCGTATTATTATTTTAGTCTATAGTATTTCCTAGAAAAATGTTTTGAATGTCATCTAAAATTTATTCTTTTATTTACAATTATTACTAATAGTAATCATGAAAACACACCTGTGTTTTTAGAGTGTATCCCAAAATAATTTTTTCATTATAATGTATGTTTTTGTTCTTTGATGTTCTTAATAATGCATAAAATGTGATTTCACTTCTAAAATGTTTCTTTACTCAAAAGGAAGGCGGTTTCCTTGGATTTTACAGAGGTTTGATGCCTACTATATTAGGAATGGCTCCATATGCAGGTATGTTTCAAATTTGGCAAAACCTTATTTTTTTATTTTCTTCTAAAATGATTTTAAAATTTAGCATTTTATAGTTAAGCCCCCAACCAAACTAGAATTTTTCCTTCTTTTCTTCTTTAAAAATAACCATATGTCTCAGCACCATTTTAAACATTCCCTCCTTTCCCCCATTGGTCTGTGGTACTACTTCTTGAAACAATAATAGAATGCATTTTTACATGAATCTTTATTTTTGGCTGGACAAATCCCTTTACTTTATGCTTCTTTTTTTTTTTTTTTCCAGGATCTTAGAACTATAGGTACTTTGTTCTACCATGTATATTTGAGAATTAGTTTTTGATGTTGCACAAAAGTCCTTGTTGGGGTTTTTAATGAAATCTTATACAGTTCTTGCATATTTGTTAAATATATTCATAGACACCTTATAATTTTGTCACGTATTTTAGAAAATTACATTCAGTTTATTAGCTTGATTTAATTTTTATGATCTTATAACTAGCTGTTATACTACTTGATATTACAGCCAGCCAATATGTTACTTTAGATGCTTTGGGTTTTCTGTGTGGATAATCACATCCTGTGTAAATAATAGAATTTTTCTCACTTCTGTTCCATTCCTCCCTTCCCTTCACCCTCCCTGCCCCCTAACCCTCCTTCCTTGCCTTTCTTCCTTCCTGTACCTTACTCTTCTAGTAAAGGTCTCAGAGTGTAGTAGTGACTAGATGTGATGACTTGGGACATTTTGTCTCGTTATTGGTTTTTAAGGTATATACCAAACACTGCAGACTGAGAAACTGAAACTGCAAAGGAAAAGTGTTTATTCAGGGATTTAGGGATATAGGCCTGGGGAACATAGACTCAAAGAAGCACAGGAGTTGCAAAGGATGGGAAGTGTTTATATATATACAAAAAGCTTGCTAGCTCATACTTTGGTTAGCCTTATGCAAATGAGGTATTCAGTAGTGCAGTTCTGAGCAATCATTGGTCCAATCTCAATCCTAGGCTGTCTTTGTCATTCCTGGGTGGTGGTCTTTCTAGGTAGTGGACTAGTCTGGGCACCCAGGAGCATGTTGGAGTGCCTGGACATGCTGCTGCCTGACCCTCAAGTACCTGTGCACTCTGGTTTTTATCCAGACTCAGGATGACTCCATTTTTGGTTCTCTTTCTTATGTAACTTAGCAAAGGAAATTTTTCTTATACTTGCTTATTTAGCATATTTGCCAATGTTTTTAACTTATACCATTTATCGAGTTGAAGAAGTTTTTTTTTTTTTTTAAGATTTATTTATGCATACAAGAACTGGGATACAGGCCAGAGATGCTGAGGGGTGGTGGTGAGAGGATTCACAAGAGACAGTGGGGAACAGAATAGGCAGATTGACTGAAGTACACTACTGAGGGGAGCAGCTGGCAAGTCAGGAGAGGTCTGCTATGCCATGTGGGTTGCTCCCTGGCCGGCAAGGGATCGAACTCATGCTGCAGAGGCATCGGATTGCTTTATAGTGCGGTGCTTAACGCCTTGCGCCACCAGGGCGGCCCTGAAGAAGTTTTAGTAAGAACTTTTTTTTTTTGTGGGACCCTCGCTGGCGGCCGGGGAACTAACCGGCACTGCAGAGGCTGCGGGCAGCCTCGCAGCCCAGCGCTCAACCTTGTGCCACCAGGGGGAGGCCCTTAGTAAGAACTTTTATCTGAATTGGTCTTGAATTCATCAAATACCCTTTTCTACAATTACTAAGGTTATCATTCCAGTTTTCTCCTTTAATCTGGTACTATGATGAGTGATATTAACAGATGTTCTAATGTCAACACAAATTGGTTATGATACAATGATCTTTTTATGGTCTGTTGGATTCAATTAGCTAATTGTGTTTGGAAGTTTTACATCATAATGGTATGTGGTTATGCCTTTCAAAAAAGCACAGAAAGCTAAAATACTGTGATGAAATAATAAAGTATATTTACTTTAAAACAATTTCGGGTAAGGGTGGAGAAAGAAATTAAGAACAAAATTGGTCATGAGTTGATCACTGTTAAAGTTAGGTAATATGTATATGGTGGCTTACTTTACCACTGTGTACTTTTTTTCTTAGTTTTAATTTTCTTATTTTCCCCCTACTATTGTCTACTTTTGAATTTTATGTTTGAAATTTTCCCAAATAAACCCAGAGTAGGAAGGAAATAATTAAGACGTGAATAAAAATCAAGGAAATGGTAAATAAAGATAGATGAGAAAAGAAAGCCAAAATTGATTCTTTGCAAAACTGGTAACTGATAAAACAAATAAAAATTAAAAAAGGCCATGACTATAGATAGAACAGATATGAAAAAATTTGTAATAGGAAAAATTAAGTCTTAATTTTCATGTAGTATATTGTCATTGTTCAAATTTCCCCATCTCATACTTTTTTTTAAGATTTATTTATGCGTACAAGAGCTGGGGTGTAGACCAGAGGGGTAGGGGGCTGGAGTGGGGGTTGTTTGAGAGGATTCGCCAGAGACAGAATGGGGAGTATAACAAGCAGGTCTACTGAGATATACTGCTAAGGAGAGCAGTGGGCTGGCAAGACAGGAGAGGTCTGGGCCTCCTGGTGGCGCAAGGGGTTAAGCACTGCACTGTGAAGCAATCCGCATCCTCTGCAGCACGAGTTCCATCCCCGGCCCGCCAGGGAGAAACCTGCATGGTGCGGCAGACCTCTCCTGTCTCTCCTGCTGCTCCCCTCAGCAGTGTATTATGTCAGTCTGCCTGTTCTGTTTCGCACTCTGTCTCTGGTGGATCCTCTCACTCCCCACATCTCTGGCCTGTACCCCAGCTCTTGTATGCATAAATAAATCTATAAAAAAAAAAAAAAGACAGGAGAGGTCTGCTGTACCATGTGTGTTAGCTCCTGGGCTGGAGATGGAACTGGTGCTGTAGTAGCTATGGATGGCTTCATAGTGAGGACACTTTACCCCTTGTGCCACCAGAGAGGCCCTCATAATTTTTTTTTTAGCCAAATAGAAGTTTATATTTGCCTAGTAAATCTTTTTTTCAACTTTTCTTTTTGGTATCTTTATGTTTTAGGTATTTTTTTAAAGATTTATTTAGTTTTATACAAGAAGTGGGGTACAGGCCAGAGGCGCGGGAGGGTGAGAGGATTCACCAAAGACAGAGCGGGGAGCAGAACAGGCAGACAGACCAAAATACACTGCTGAGGGAAGCAGCAGGTGAGACAGGAGAGGTCTGCTGCGCCATATGGGCTGCTCCCTGGCCGGCCGGGGATCGAACTTGTGCTGCAGAGGCTGCAGACAGCTTCATAGCACTGTGCTCAACCCACTGCGCCACCGGGGAGGCCCACTTTAGGTATTTCTTTTGTAAACTCATATACCTGAATTTTAAAAAAAGATTTATTTATTGGGCCTCCCAGGTGGCGCAGCAGTTGAGCGCTGTGTTGCAAAGCTGCCCTCAGCCTCTGCGGCGCCGGTTCGATTCCCGGATGCTCCCCGGCCACCGGAGGAGGGTCCCACATGGCGCGCAGACCTCTCCTGCCGCTGCTCTGGCTCCCCGCTCTGGCTCTGGTGAAGTCTCTCACCTTCTCGCGCTTCTCACTGTACCTAGTGCTTGTATAAATAAACAAACAAATAAATCTTTAAAAAAAAAGATTTATTTGTTTGTTTATCTATCTATTTATGCATACAAGAACTGGGGTACAGGTCAGAGGTGCAAAGGGTGAGAGGATTCACCAGAGACAGAGTGGGGAACAAAACAGGCAGATTGACTGAAATGCACTGCTGAGGGGAGCAGAGGGTGAGACAGGAGAGGTCTGCTGCGCGTATGGGCTGCTCCCTGGCCGGCTGGGGATCGAACTTATGCTGCAGAGGCTGCACATAGCTCCATAGTGCTGTGCTTAACCCCTTGTGCCACCAGGGAGACCCGTCTTGATTTTATTCATGTGAGATTTTAATGGGACCATTATAAAATCATTTAAGTGTTCAGCAAGTATGAACTGCATATTATTAATAATTGAGTTAATAATTTAATATTTATTGGATTTTGTATATTTATAAGCCATGTATTTTATAAGCCATTTATTTTATAACCATGTTACAAGTATCATGGTTACAACTCTTCATTGGAGAGAAAATTAGGCAATGAATTGAAATTAACAACTTTGTCACTTCTTAATTTTTTTCTCTCTGCTGTACATTATCACCATTATTGTAAATATGTTGTCATATGTACTTACAATTACTAATCATGAGTGCAATTTTTGCTCAGGTGAGTCCTTAGAAAACTGTTTCATTCTATTCACATGTAAGGTAGCATTTATACTCAGCTACTACTTGTATTCAGTGAACTGGAATATAAGTATTTGGAAACCAATGCTATTATTTTTCATAGATGGTAATTTTGTCATATTTAGGTTATTTGTAAGCATTAATTACATCTTTTATCTTAAAATAAGTAAAACATGACAAATCAAGAGATGTATAGGTAGGTTTTTGAGTTAATACGTTATTCTGTAAGATTGATGTCTTTTTAAAATTTGTATCCTGTTAAGCATCATGGTGAATTCATATTTTGTTTTTCAGGTGTTTCTTTTTTTACTTTTGGTACCTTAAAGAGTGTTGGGCTTTCCCATGCTCCTAACCTTCTTGGCAGACCTTCATCGGACAATCCTAATGTCTTGGTTTTGAAAACTCACATAAACTTACTTTGTGGTGGTGTTGCTGGAGCTATAGCACAGACAATATCGTAAGTTTCTTCCTTAATTCAATCAGATTATAGTTACTCAATCCAGATTTTTAACATTGCTTAGTCACTTTTTCAATAGATTATTAAAACACAAAATCCCTTACAAAATATAAGTATTATTTAATACACTTTCTCAAATGTGCCCACACTTCAAGCATATTATTAAGGATTATGTGTCAATTACCAAATTAATTTAAATTTACCAATTTCCTATGGATTCATTTAAAAGAAAGAAAACTAGAAAGTAATGTTAAGTATATTCTTCATTCATATTTTCTCCCGAATTTTTGCTGATATTAAGTGTCTGAAGTGTGTGTGTGTGTGTGTGTGTGTGTGTATGTGTGTGTCTGAGGTACAACTTTTCTTGCACTAAATCTTTTTGTCAGGCAGTGTATTAGACATTTGTCTAATACACTGAAGGTGAAACAAAACCTCAAGGAGCCTGTATTTTTGGGCAACCCATTTTGGACAATTGATGCTATCTATAGTCTCACAAAGCAACACATAGCAGTTAAAATCAAAGATTGTCTGAAAGCCCAAAGTGGGTCTATCTTGTTCCCTTTCACACCCTACCCCCACTGTTATGAGACAATAAGGTAGGTAGGGCTAGCGCTATGCCCCAAAACTCAGCGTGAATCAGCTATAAAAGCTAGACCTTTGCCCCATTTCCAAAGACTTGTCATTGTCCTTGAAGAAGAGGAGGAAATGTCCTGATAACATTACTAAGGTTAAAAACTAAGCCCCTACTCCTTACTCAACAGGCAAGTTTGGAAGACTTATATGGATAAGGGGAATTAATGGGAACCAGGCCATTAAGCCAATAATCTGGACCATGAATCAGAACATACCCCAGGCCAGATATCCTAGCCAGTCACTGATGTCTAGAGTATAAAAAGAGCTTCTAGACCCTCTGCCAGCACAGCCAACCTCTTTTCTCTCACTGCTTCTATCAGCAATGAATTTCAATAAATCTTCATTCACTGTTCTTTAAAAAAAAAAAAAGGAGCCTATACTCTTATTGAGACAGAGAATACAATAAAGTTATGTATTAATATGTGTTGTGTGGGAAACATAATTGGTAGAGGAATTACTATGTTGTAATCAGATAAGTGACTTCAAAGAATTTTCCAGACCAAGAGAGTCAGTAGATCAGATTAAAAGAAAGGTGCTGGGCAACAAATGTTGGCGAGGATGTGGAGAAAAAGGAACTCTCCTGCACTATTGGTGGGAGTGCAAACTTGTCCAACCACTATGGAGAGCTGTGTGGAGATTTCTGGACCTACTAAACATAGAGCTTCCATATGATCCAGCAATTCCACTCCTAGGTATTTACCCAAAGGACACAGAAACATCAATTCCAAAGAACACCTGCACCCCTATGTTTATAGCAGCACTGTTTACAATAGCTAAGCTTTGGAAACAACCCAAATGCCCAAAAATAGATGACTGGATCAAGAAGATGTGGTACATATACACATGGAATATTACTCAGCATTCAAAAAAGATAAACACATGCAATTTGCAGCAACATGGATGGCGCTGGAAGGGATCATGCTCAGCGAAATAAGCCAGAAAGAAAAAGAAAAATACCTGATGGTCTCACTCATAGCAGGAATCTAGAAAACTTAAATAAGGGACCAGGAAAATGAATAACTATAAGAAAGTGAAAATCAAAATCAACAAAAAACTATGAACCAGAGACACTCTATGGGGGGTGTGGGGAGAGGGGAGGGATTGGGGTCAAAATAAGGAGGTTGCATTTGTATGGGGGATATAAAAATAAAATTTATTAAAAAAAATAAAAATAAATAACAGAAAGGTGCTGGGATACTAGAAGCAGGAACTTTTCAGGATTAGGAAGAAGAAAAGTTTTCTGTGACTGAGAAGTATGCTGAAAAACAGGAGGTTGCACTGTCATAAAGACTCAAAAAAAGAGAGTATCCAATGGAAAAAGAAAAGCAAAACAAGATAATACTGATAATACTGGAAAATAAGGTGTTCACTGGATTTTATAATTAAGGACTTCTGTATGGTTGGGTAGAGGGAAATTCCCCTTGCCTTTCTAGGCTTTTCTCTGACTGTTCAAGCAAACAAATTAATACCCCACTGATTAGTATGAGAAAAAAAAATTTAATTATACATATGTGGAGAATTTACATGGCTTGTAAATTCTAGAGTAAGAAAGACAGACTAAGGATTTTTATTTGCACTGATGAATAGGATAAGGGTCAGAGGCATCAAATAGGGAGAGGAATATCACATGATGAGGAGAGAATGACATATGTCACAAAACCAGAAGATCTAGATGTTTTCCCTGCCATAAGATAGGTTCCTTTGATTAAAAGATTATTTCTGTAGATGACCCTAAGTCTGGGTAATTTTTATTCTTTAAGATAATGGTTAACAGGTTCACTTGAAGCCCAAGGCTTTGATTGACCTTAGCTCTACTTGGCATTTGACATTTATTGGAAAAAGCCTGCTCTGGACATTTTGAGAAGATCTATCTTTTATTACCTTGGTGAAAGCAAATATAGTGTATTTTTGGGTAGGAACAAATCTTACTAGACTAAAGAAGAAAGTGTGTGGTTTACTTTTAGAAATCTGACTGTGGAACCTTGTTTGCAGAGATACTATTACCTCCAATGATTCTAATTCTCTTGGTTTTATTGCTCCTTTTCTTTATTATTCATTTTTAAAAAAATATCTATTTATGCATATGAGAACTGGGGTACAAGCCAGAGGTGCGGGGGGCAGGGGTGAGAGGATTCACCAGAGACAAAGTGGGGAGCAGAACAGGCAGACTGACTGAAATACACTGCTGAGAGGAGCAGCCGGCGAGACAGGAGAGGTCTGCAGTCCCTGGCCGGGGATTGAACTCGTGCTTCAGAGGCTGTGGATTGCTTCATAGTGCTGTGCTGAACCCCTTGTGCCACCAGGGAGGCCCTTCTTTATTATTCACTTCCTACTTAAATCCTTGTGATGTGTCTTCTCTTTCCTTCTTCTCTTTTTAAACTATATTCTATACGGGTCCAGTGTCTTCTGCTCAGTTCTTTCATTCGCCTTCCAATTGTTTTAATTCTTGGGTTTGTAACAGTGCCCTCTCTTGCTGATCATTCTCCCCACCCTTCCCTTTTCAGGCATCTTACTGTTCCAATCCTCTTCCTTCCTATTTATGCCACTTTTTTAAAGCTTCAGCTAGACTTTAGTTCTCTGTTCGTCCCATAAATATTTAGAATAGCTCATTTATCTTTATGATTTTAATGGTGATCTCTGTAGATAACTAATTTTATCTGAAAATTTGTCACTGACTCCATTACTTCAATAACATGCCTTGCATGTTTTTACTTGTATCTTCTGCCATCATTGCAAACTTCATAATTCAGATATTACTTTTTTGTCTTCTTCAAGACAATCATCATCTCCCAACTTTCTATTTTGTTATTGATAATCATTTATCTGTTAGTCCTGATACTTTGTAATCATTTTTCACATGATTTGTATTCCCAGTGTGAAAATGTGCGTTCATATTTTTCACATTGTATTTGGTGGCAATGGTCATAAGTCTTGTGATTTTTTTTACTTCAGAACTTTGCTTGGAATGTTATTTTCCTTCTGGGCCTCCCTGGCGGCCTAGGGTTAAGTCTCAGCGCTACTACTATGGAGGCCCACCACAACTGCCTGAGTTTGATCCCCGAGCAGGGAGCTAGCCCACATGTGGGGCAGCAGACCTCTCTTGTTTTACCTGCTGCTCCCCTTAACAGTATATTCAGGGCCTCCCCTGGTGGCGCAGATGGTTGAGCGCAGCGCTGTGAAGCTGTTCGTAGCCTTTGCAGCGCCAGTTCTATCCTGGCCGGCCATGGCGGGGCGGACCTCTCCTGTCTCACCCACTGCTCCCCTCATCAGTGTATTTCCTCAGTCTGTCTGTTCTGTTCCCCGCTCTGTCTCTGGTGAATCCTCTCACCCTCCCACGCATCTGGCCTGTACCCCCGTCTTGTATAAATAAATAAATAAATCTTTTTAAAAAACAACAGTGTGTTCAGTAGATGTGCCTGTTCTGCTCCCCATTCTGTTTCTTATGCATCCTTTAACTGCCCCCTCATACCTCTGGGCTCCACCCCAGTTCTACGCAAAAGTAAATAAATAAATTCTTAAATGTTATTTTCTTTCTTTCCCTTTTTTTGCTAGTTCTGATCTTTGTACTTTGTCTTTCCACATTCTCTCTTTTGTACTAATCAATTCCTTCTACTCAGACACAATTGTTCCTGCTTGGAAATTATGTACATATATATTATTTTTGTACATATATATTATGTACATATAATTATGTACATATATATTGTATAATTATGTACATATATATAATTTGTCATATATTACTTATGTATATATTAGACACCTTGGAGAATTTTTTTTTTTAAAGATTTATTTTTATTTATTTATACAAGCACTGGGTACAGTCAGAAGCGCGGGAGGGTGAGAAATTCACCAGAGCCAGAGCTGGGAACAGAACAGGCAGACTGACGAAGTACACTACTGAGTGGAGCAGTGGGCAGCAGGAGAGGTCTGCGCGCCATGTGGGACCCTCCTCCGGTCGCCGGGGAGCATCGCTGCGGGCAGCTTCGCAACCCAGCGCTCAACCACTGTGCCACCGGGAAGGCCCTACCTTGGAGAACAAAGCAGTCTTGTGACACTGAAGAATGCTGGAGTCTAGACTCCATTTTTTTTTTTTTTTAAGATTTATTTATTTGTTTATACAAGCACTGGGTACAGTCAGAAGCGCGGGAGGGTGAGAGAATTCACCAGAGCCAGAGCGCGGAGCAGAGCAGGCAGAAGGACCGAAGTACACTGCCGAGGGGAGCAGCGGGTGGCAGAAGAGGTCTGCGCGCCATGCGGGACCCACCTCCGGTGGCCGGGGAGCAGCCGGGGATAGAACCGGCACCGCAGAGGCTGTGGGCAGCTTTGCAACCCAGCGCTCAACTGCTGCGCCACCGGGGAGGCCCTAGACTCCATTTTCTTATTTTTTTTTTTAAGATTTATTTATTTATGCAGGCAATAACTGGGGTACAGGCCAGAGATGTGGGGGTGTGAGAGGATTCACCAGGGACAGAGTGGGGAGCAGAGCAGGCAGATCTACTGAAATACACAGCTGAGGAGAGCAACAGGCGAGTCAGGAGAGGTCTGCAGCGCCGCCGTGTGGGTAACTCCCTGGCCGGGGATCGAACTTGTGCTGCAGTGGCTGTGGATAGTTCCATAGTTCTCATCTCAACCCCTTGCACCACCAGGGAGGCCCCCTCCACTTTTTTATCTTCATGTTGGTATAAGAGTACCTACTTTAAGAAACTGTGACGATGGGCCTCCCAGGTGGCGCAGCGGTTGAGCGCTGGGTTGCGAAGCTGCCCACGGCCTCTGCGGCGCTGGTTCGATCCCCAGCTGCTCCCCGGCCACCGGAGGAGGGTCCCACATGGCGCGCAGACCTCTTCTGCTGCCCGCTGCTCCCCTGAGCAGTGTTCTTGGGTCCTTCTACCTGCTCTGCTCCCCGCTCTGGCTCTGGTGAATTCTCTCACCCTCCCGCGCTTCTGACTGTACCCAGTGCATGTATAAACAAAACAAACAAACAAATAAATAAATAAAACATGCCTGGAAAAAAAAAAAAAAAAAAACTGTGACGATGGAGTGAAATAATGTACAAGCATGGGACCTAACAAAGTCAATATTAGCAAAATAAAGTATATATTTTTAAAAAAATCACCTGAGATTCTTCTTCTAAAAAAGATTACTTTCAGGTATTTCATTTCAGGCAATCTTTTATATGGAATTTTCTCTCCTCTAATGCAATTACCTGTATTGTTAATTCTAGTCCTTAAGGAAATTTTTTATTGGTTTACTGGTGTGCAAAGCATCTTAGGGTAGTGGTCTTCAACTGGGAGGATTTTGTATCCAGTGAACATTATTAATAGCTGGAGACATTCTGGGTTGTCACAGCTGGGGGTGTGCTTCTGACATCTAGTGGATAGAGGCCAGGGATGCACTTAAGCAACCTATAGTGTACAAGCAGGCCTTTTAACAAAACAAAATTCTGCTGAGTAATTGCTAAAGATCTTATTAGCTTTATTTAATGATTCATGAGTAGTTATCTAACAGATAGAAAGGAGCTCTGAGGAGCTGTACAACATGAAAGACTTTTATAGGTAGACGGGATCAGGAATAAGGAGGTTATACTTGGAAAACGTGAATTGGTTGTGGCAAGGTCACTTTCCATTAGGGGATGGCAGGATTCTTTTTAGACAAATGACTGCACTAGTGCTGATCAGGTGATTCCTGATTAACTGGTTAAAAATTCCATTTCTGAGAGAGACTGAAACTGTAATTAATGTAAGTATCTGGAGAAGTGGGGTTTAGCATAAGTGATTCCATTTGGGCCCTTTGTCTTATCCACAACTAAGAATAACCACAAAATCCGAAATTGAGAAACCCTGTCTTAGGGTAACAACAATGAAGATCACCCCATTTGTTTCTTCACGCAGTAGTGTTTAATTTGGCCTTGAGTAATGAATAAAACTTGGTATTGTGCTGATGGATGGTAACAGGAAGAGAAGCACATAGCAAAGTCAATTAGAGGACTATATTGTTATTTGACTTACAGATTAGACAAAACAACTAGAGAATACTTCTTAGCAAATATGAAGATTTGTTGTCAATAATTGCCAAACCGAAATAAACACTTTTAAGCCCTGCCTTTTTCTTCTTGTAGCTACCCATTTGATGTAACTCGTCGGCGAATGCAATTAGGAACTGTTCTTCCAGAATTTGAAAAGTGCCTGTAAGTTCTTCATATGCCATTGTTCATTTTCTTTATGTAACTTTTAGTAAGTAGGAATATAGGAGTGTAGTCTCACCTGTAGTCTAGATCTTCCCTTGACCTCCCTTAATATGTTTTTATAACTTTATATAAGATTTTAATCATGTCCTGATACTCCTATTAAAAAATTTCACTTTAAAGCAGCTCCAATAAGTAGAAATATAATGTAAGCCACATTTATAATTAAAACTTTTCTGATAGCCACATTTTATTTTATTTATTTATTTTTTAACTAACTATATTTTATTTTAAAGATTTATTTATTTATTTATACAAGCACTGGGTACAGTCAGAAGTGCGGGAGGGTGAGAGAATTCACCAGAGCTAGAGCGGAAAGCAGAACAGGCAGACCGATGAAGTACACTGCTGAGGGGAGCAGCGGGCGGCTGGAGAGGTCTGCGCGCCATGTGGGACCCTGCTCTGGTGGCCGGGGAGCATCCGGGGATCGAACCTGCGCTGCAGAGGCTGCAGGCAGCTTTGCTGCCCAGCGCTCAACCACTGCGCCACTGGGGAGGCCCTGATAACCACATTATTAAATAGTATAAAAAGAAACATGAACTAGAAAATGCCGAGAGTCCCATTTGGCTTTAGTTTTCGTATTACTACTAACCCACAGGAAACAACTACTTGTCAGTTTTGGGTGCAATATTAAAGAAGAACATGCATATTATAAAGGCCCTTCCTTTATCCACGTAAAAAGCTATGTATATGTATGAGATTGCTTTTCTTGATATATTTAAACCAAGACAACATAGCTCAACAACAAACAGAATGTACAAGTAGATAAGCAAATTCAGCTGTCCTCTAAAAAGATGGACATTAAAGAAGTTGGCAAATTATAAAACAATGTCAGGCTTTTTCCTCAATTTTTTTGCTTTGATAAATTATTTTTCATAAAAGTGTCATTTATATAGCCATGTAATGAGTATATTTTTAAGTGAAAAATATTTCAAAAAATTTGTTTCAACTTCTCATGGAATATTGATAAGTTAAAGAAAATAACCAGATGAAATTGTTTTAAAATATTTAATATATCTAAAATGGGCCTCCCCGGTGGCGCAGCGGTTGAGCACTGGGTTGCGAAGCTGCCCGCGGCGCCGGTTTGATCCCCGGGTGCTCCCCAGCCACCGGAGGAGGGTCCCGCATGGCGTGCAGACCTCTCCTGCCGCCCGCTGCTCCCCTCAGTAGTGTACTTCGGTCCTTCTACCTGCTCTGTTACCCGCTCTGGCTCTGGTGAATTCTCTCACCCTCCTGTGCTTCTAACTGTACCCAGTGCATGTATAAACAAAACAAACAAACAAATAAATAAATAAACATGCCTCTATTAAAAAAAAAATTAATATATCTAAAATATGGTCATTTCAGCATTTCAAATTTCACATCCTTTTTTTGGTATACTTAGCTTTTGAAATCCAGGGTGTATTTTATACTCACTGTATCTTTCAATTTGTTTTTGCCACATTTCAAGTGTTAGCCATATATGGCTAGCAGTTACTATTATCATACAGCAGGGTTTAGCTATGGAAATGAATTATTCTTTTGACTGATTATGTCCCTCAGGGACAGAGCAGGTTGTTTGTTCTGATCTCAATTCCCGTTGTTTTCCCAAAAGAGTTTTTGAAGATTTCAGCTCATATTGTCTACTGAAAGGGAAATTCAAAGCCTAATATGTTGTTTTAAAAAGAAAATATACCATTTGAAACAAGAAAACTCTTCATTGTTGAAATATGAAATATTGTCCTTCAAGCTTTAGTTTTATAACCATCTACTTGTTATAGTAAAGAACTTGAGTTAAAGGGTAACTGCTCACATATCCTTTAAAAAGATTACATCGGTATTTCAAATATTATAATAAAATTGTTTCCAATAAATCTCACCAACATAGTATAAGCAAAATACATTATATTAATGAGCCCTACATTTCTGAGTATAACTCTTGTATTTGTTTGAAAGAATTGCTGTTTTATTGTGAATTTTTAGTTTGTTTTAACATTCGCCTTCCAAAAGGTATTCAATATGACATTTCAGCTTCTTTTAAAAATGCAATTATGTGGATCCTTAAATCTCTGTGTAAAAGTGGGCATACGGGTTTCATCTTTTAACTATTGTCTTTCAGTACCATGCGGGAGACTATGAAGTATGTCTATGGACACCATGGAATTCGAAAAGGATTGTATCGTGGTTTATCTCTTAATTACATTCGCTGCATTCCCTCTCAAGCAGTGGCTTTTACAACATATGAACTTATGAAGCAGTTTTTTCACCTCAACTAAAAAAATTGTGATTTATTTTCTGTAATAAAATCTCAGAGAGAGAAATAAAAGTTAACTTTACTTTTGGGGGGAACATTACTTGAAGGGGGACTTTTACCCTGTCACATGAACCACTTGTATTTTTAATACTTGATTTTTTATTCATCAAAAATCAAAAATGCTTACTATACTTTTTGATGCCAAAAGTTGTATCTTAGAACATTGAAAAAAAATTCCTAAGCTGATGCTGGCTAATCAGTTAGGTTATTTGAAACTATTTTAATGTGTTATTTGGAGGTAGAAATAGCTGCGAAATATTCAAGAGGTTACCATTAGCTTTATCATGCTGTTCCAAGCTTTTAATTGTTATCATGATTTTCAAAGACTTAAACATTGATTATTATTATAATAAACAGACTTGGTTATATTGAGCAGAATGAAGAGAACTGAATTTTAAAGTTCTGCAAAACATAGCTGAGAGGCCAGCATTGAAGTATTATTCTTATTATCTCTCTCATTATTCTGTTTCATTTGATAAAAGGACAAACTTTTTCTCTTCATTTTGTAATAACATGAATGTTGTATTTAAAAAGTAGTCATGTAGTGACTGAACAACAAATAATGAATTTTCAGGTATTGCTTAATTGTTACTACCAGGTACTATGAATGATTTAAATTGTTTTTTAAAATTCAGTGCATTTCCCAAAATTAGTAATGAAAACACTGAATATCTTTGCTGTCAAACCTGATTAGCATTAGAGATTTGTTTTTACTAGAGGATTTGGTATATACTAGAAAATTTATTTAAGTGGACTGTGAAATATCCATTAATATAGATGTGAATGTCAAAGAATGTTCCTAAGGTATATGTTATGATACATCAAATAGTTCTTCCATGTAAAATAATTTTAGTGCAATATAAACTTAAGTAGAAATGTAAAACATGATTTGAATGGCTATCCTTTATATTAAAATGGTTTAAAAATCTAAGAATTCCATGTATTATGTTTAGAGTACTTCTTATATTTTATTATAAGCATGATGGAAGTGGGAGGAGAAAAGTTAAATCCTCAGAAATAGTGATTTGTAGAATTGATGTGTTTTAATAACTTAGAAAACTAAGTTGAAAGTGTTATTTTTGCTTCAGTTTTGATTTTTTTGCATAAAAATTTCTTGTCATACCTTGGTAAAAATTACATGAACAGGTTTCATTTTTAAAGTCTTTATTTTAAAATAAATATGTATCTTTATATGATTTACAAGTATACCCCCAGGTAGAAATACATGTTTTCCTAAAACTATTTTGTATATTTTCATTTCTGGGCTACACTCTATCTAATATTGTTATCAACTCAAAATAATTTAAATGTAGTAAATAAATATCTCAGTTATGTTATCAATAAAGGGATTGCAAATATTTTTTTAAATAAAAATCGACATTCTATGTTATAGAATACATGGGATATTAAAATAAATTTTACTTGTATTTCAACAGTTCTTTTCTTTAACTGTTTACATTATTGAAGTACAAATGCTAAAGATGAGCAGTCAAGATGGATGAAAATTTTAAATAATCACTGTATTTATGTCTGATTTATTTCAGATTAATAATCCAAAGTAAATCTTGCCAGGTTATCTTCCATTTGAAGATTGAGTATTTCTGTTTTGATCTCCATTGTTATTCTTTCCCTGCCTTTTGGTGGTAGGCTTAGTAGCCCTGAGACTACAGTGGAAGTGATGCTATGTGACTTTTGTGCAGTTAGTCATAACACTAAATTGGCTTCCATCTGGTCTTTTGGAACACTTATGCTGGGAACCCAGCCACCATGCTGTAAGGAAGCCAAGCAGTCCCTGAAGAGAAATTGATGGCCAACCTCAACTTGCCAACCATTTGAGTAAGCCAGCTTCAGAGTGTATCATCCAGTCCCCAGCTGATGCTTTGCAGAGCAGAGACAACCTTTACCCACAGAGCACTGCCAAAATTAAAAATTTGTAAGCTAAAAAAATTGTTTTAAGACACTAGGTTTTGGTAGTTTTTTTTGTTTGTTTGTTTGTTTTGCAAAGCATTAGATGGCTTAACAGAGCCACAAAAAACCTTTAGCTAGCATCATACTTAGTGGTGAAATATTGAATGACCAGATAAAAGGTAAGAATGCCCAATTTCACAAGTAGTTAACCAGTGAACTTAGGTAGGGAAATGAAATAAAAAGCATAAATATCAGATAGAAATAATACTGCTTCTATTTGCAGATGATGTGATTAGGTAGAAAGTCTTAATGTATTTACATCACTACTAGAAATTATAAGTGAATTTAGTAAGGCCTCAGGATATAAAGTAAATACAAAAATTATTTTTATATAATAGTAGGAGTCAATTGGAAAATAATTTTAAAACAATTTCATTTAAAATAGCATTAAAATATTTTTAAAAATACTTAAATTTTACAAAAGATGTGCAAGATCTCTACACTGAGTTACAAAATGATGCTGAGAGACAAGGTCTATATTAATCTATGTTCATAAACCATGTTTATAAATTAGAAGTCTATATTGTAAAGAAATCAGTCTCCCAAATCGATTTTTAGATTCAATGAAATCCTAATTATTCCAGCAAGCTCTTATGGAGAAATTTACAACCTGATTCTAAAATGTATATAGAAATGCAAATAATCTACAATAGAATGTCCAAAGCAATCTTAGAATAAAGACATATGCCATCTGACTGCATGGCCATAGAAATGACAGTGTGGTACTGGCTGGCAAAAGGATCACCAAACCTCAAAAGAACATACTTAAATGGTCAATTTTGTGTGTGTGTGTGTGTATGTGTGTGTGTTTTTAAGAAAGGTGCCAGAGTAATCCAATGGGGGGATGGAAAGCATTTTTAACAATGCTTTGGGGAAAAAAACTATATGCAGGTTGTTGGGGCTTGGGGAAGAATTCAACCTCTACTTCATAACAGATGCATAGACCTAAATGAAAAATAAAACAAAGCTATAAGGAAAACAGAATATTTTCATGACAGAGACAGAGTGGGGAGCAGAACAGTTTGACTGAAATACACTGCTGAGGGGAGCAGGGGTTGAGACTGGAGAGGTCTGCTGCACCATGTCGGTTAACTCCCTGGCCAGGGATCTAACTTGTGCCCATAGCTTCAATAGTGCTGAGACTTAACCCCTAGCGCCACCAGGAAGCCCTAAATTGATTTTTAATTAAAAAAAAAGGGGGTGGGGGGAGTAAATAGGAGTTAATATTGGAAATAGCCTTAAAATCATTTGTTTAAAGAAGGTTTGCTCTGGATGGTGGCTAAGCACTACTCCTTTATTCTGGAGTAAGTTCCATCAAAGTAACATCTTTTATTTATTTAAATTTTCTTTATTTTCAAAGTAACATCTTTTAAAGATAAAGAGTTACTGGGCCACGTACAAACAAGGGAGCTTTCCAGCTTTGCAGTGACTACCATCATTTCTTGATGTACAAGAGAATGAGGGAGTAACTGAAGAAGCAATGTCCTTAAGAATGCTTGATGCCTTGAGATCCTGAGAGCCAGTGACAGGACTGCCCACCGATAGGAGGAAATCTTTTTGCACAGTTGAAAGCGTGGAAAGAGGTTGTAAGACAAGCACAGATATTGGTGAATTCAGTCGTGGTATGATGGAGTACCCATCTGATAGCTTCTATTTTGTTTTCCACAAAAGAGGGAGGAGAGAGATTTCAGAGAATGCAAAATTCGTAAAGCTAACAAAAGACACCTGGTTTGGGGCAACTAATTATAGTTCTGCTCAAATTAAGTGTGTGGTTGGTGGGGGGGGGGTGTTGGAGGGGGCGGCTATCGGGGTATGCAAAGAGAAGAACGCGGGATTACTGGTCTGGCCCATAGGATGGCCTCTTCCGGTCTCACAGGCTCTGAGGGGAGGGTGCGGGGCGGCTCCCGCGCCCCTGCAGCCGCGCGCCCCGCTCCACGTGCGCCCCGCGGGGCGGGAGGGGCCGCCCGCGCAGGCCTCCTGGCGCAGCGGCGTCGGCGCATGCGTGCCGCGCTGCGCGGGGTAGTGTTTTCCCTTTTCTGTGTGTCGGGGGTGGGGGTCCCCGGGTTTCTCCAGGTGGCAGTTTGCGGTCTGAGCGCGGATGGTGGAGCGGCCGGATGGCCTGGAGCTGCTGATCGAGAAGCGTCCCGGCAAGGAGGCTGCGCGGACCGCGGAGCGGTGAGCTGCTGGGGGTGGGTCGGGGCAAAGCGGGAGATTTGAAAGACCGCGGGAGGCGCCGCGCTCCACCTCCTGCAGGCCCGCAGCCCCGCGGCCCGCCTCGGGCCTGCGCACCCCGCGGGGTCTCTTTGGCCAGACCCTGAAGACTCCCTCGCCCAGAAGTTCACTCTTTTTCCCTTGATTTCACCTCTTCCGAGTCTGGGGCGTCCCAGCCGCCTTATAAAAGGGAATTATTGCAGCTGTCACGACGCTTCTCTCTGTGCTTAGTTGGCGGAATTTTCCCCAGGAGGAACGGTAGTGGTGCTCGGGAGCCCTGAGTAGTGCGCAGTTATTTGCAATATAATGATGATGCTAGTTGTTAACGGATCTTCGCGTTTTGGGGTTCTGATCTGCAATGCTTTTGGGGAGCTCCTTAAGGCGCCCCAGCCCGCCTTGGGAAATTCATAGCCTGAGGATCGGTGGGTTACGTGAGCGAAGTGGTTGCAAAATAATAGGACCCAAGGTTGGATGACAAAGATAATTTTATGGTAGTGTGAAGGCGTCTGGTGTAATAATTGAAGAGATTATACTGTTTTTGGATTATAACTGATAAAGGCTTAATGGTCTCTAGGAGGCGGACCTGTTGGGAGGACTGTTTTCTAGCAGAGAGATAGTATTTGGCACAATTTCAGGCAGCTGGGATTATTGGATAAAAGTAATGTGAAATTGACTTGCTCATTATAAATAAGAAATTTCTTAGTTACTCTGTGAAGGAATGAGTTCCTGTGACTGGTATTAAACTTGCTTGTTTACAAAGCAGGGATTCGTTGGTCCTTAATGAAATTTTATAGAAGGATTTCCTGCATTAAATATTCAATAGTAAGTTGGACGGGAGGATTTCTAAGTATACTGCTAATTTAAAGATTAACAATTCTGTGGCTCACAGTAGGACTTCCAGGAAATCACCCACACTACCTCATAACAGACATCTCTTTTATTTACAGTAAGGATAGTGTTCAAAACATCTCTTTTTGTAAGGTTTGCACCAATGGTAGGAATTTGTTGTTTAATATTTTTCAATTTATCTTTAATCCTCACAATCATGAATTTTCCACGGAGCTACTCCAGGAGCTTATATTTGGAAAAATCCACAGTGTTTACCTATTTTAGCTGAAAATCATTGTGATAAACTTTCCAGAAGAAACAAACCTATGAAAGTAGAAGGTTGGTTTATAGCTAAAGGGGATTAGGTAGCTTCTTATTTTATATTGTGCTAAAAGTTTTGTATATATGTGTTTTAGATATTGCAAAAAGATGGAAGCTTCCTTTTCTAAAACTGTTCTTTGCAGAAGAATGGATAATCGATTCCTAGTATTAGAAGTCGATATTGTGCAGAATGAAGATGGAAACCACGAAAAGCACCTCACCATCACTGCTTCCCAGTCACAAGAGTTTAAGGAACGATGTATACTTAGGAATGGCTGGTAATTTTTGTGTGACTTTGAGCACTGATCTGGCAGATTAAGGGTACCATCTTAAAATCATCACATGGGCTGTGTGGATGTTGCTATAATTTAGTTATTAATCAAGGGAATAATTTTGAACCCGAATGAATTCTACACGAAAATTGTCTTGTTACCCCAGCATTTCAGATCTTTTATTCCAAACTTGATTTTTATTGTCATTTAAAAATCAAGTACAAAGGGTCTCATTAAGTGACTCCTATTTCTCAATACGTTCTGTTTGAAATTGCAACTTAAAATTCACCGTAGTTCTCACTGAGCGCAAAATTAATTATAACATAAGAACCTTTTTATTATTATTTTTTTAAGATTTATTTTATTTGTTTATGCATACAAGAGTTGGGGCATAGGCAGAGGGGTGTAGGGGAGTGAGAGGATTCACCAGAGACAGAGCTGGGAACAGAACAGGCAGATTGACTGAAATACACTGCTGAGGGGAGCAGCGGGCCAGACAGGAGAGATCTGCTGTGCCTTGTGGGTTGGTTGCTCCCTGGTTGGGGATCTAACTCCTGCTGCAGTGGCTGCTGATAGCTTCATAGTGCTGAGACTTAACCCCTTGTGCCACCAGGGAGGCCCAATAGAACATTTTTAGACTCTAGATTTCTCCAAGTAAAGTGTAGTATTTGAAGGCAGAAGGAAGAGGCATGGAAAGTGGAGGTTTAACTTTGTCTAGACTCTGTCTGGATTGGATTGTTTGAATTAGATAAATAAGATTTTATTCTTGCTACACTGGCTTTGATTTCATGCCTCAGAAGTTTATAGAAGCTGTCCATATATTGTAAATCTTAAGAATGAGAATTAAGGGTCCCCCGATGGCCTACCGGTGAAGTCTCAGCACTATCACTGCAATGTCCTGAGTACAAGTCTGAAGGGAGCTAACCCATCAGACCGCTCCTGTTTCACTCTCTGCTCCCCTTAGCAGTGTATTTCAGTAGATCCACCTGTTCTTCCCACTCAATCTCTGGTGAATCCTCTTACCCTCCACTTTTTTTTTTTTTTTTAATTTATAGAGGCATGTTTTTATTTATTTATTTGTTTGTTTGTTTTGTTTATACATGCACTGGGTACAGTCAGAAGCGCGGGAGGGCGAGAGAATTCACCAGAGCCAGAGCAGGGAGCAGAGCAGGCAGAAGGACCGAAGTACACTGCTGAGGGGAGCAGCGGGCGGCAGGAGAGGTCTGCACGCCATGTGGGACCCTCCTCCGGTGGCCGGGGAGCAGCTGGGGATCGAACCGCTGCGCCGCAGAGGTCGCCGGCAGCTTCGCAACCCAGCGCTCAACCGCTGCGCCACCGGGGAGGCCCTTACCCTCCACTTTTGACCTATACCCCAGTTCTTCTACACAAAAATAAATAAAATCGTCTTTTTAAAAAAGAGAATTACTAAAATATGCAGCCATAATTGGAATTATATATCACACTATTGAAGATTTGATAGCTTTTGCAATAGACAAAAAACTAATCAGTTTTCATTTTTGGCATTTAAGGAAAACCCATTAGTATTCTCAGATATGTTTCAAAAGTAGAGTAGGGTCGCATGACTTGGGAATGATTCCGAAGACTGCCTCCTGGTGTTTAATTATTTTGTAAAGTCCCAGAAATTTAGAAATAGCTATTTTTTTGGGTAAAATACTCATTTATTTCTTGAAGCATCGTTAATATATTTAAATGTGGGAGCCTCAATTATGTATTTAGATTTTGCTTTATTTTCAGGTGCTCTGTACCAGTAAAGCCAGGGGACATCATTCATTTGGAGGGAGAATGCACATCTGATACTTGGATAATAGATGAAGATGTTGGATATTTGATTCTGTATCCAGACTTGCTGATTTCTGGCACAAGCATAGCCAGTAGTATTCGATGTATGAGAAGAGCTGTGCTGAGGGAAATTTTCAGGGTAAATAACACTAACAACTGTTCTATAAGGACTAGGAGTTTACAGAGCACTTTTATGCTTCTGTTTCTTCTAACCCTCCCAATAATCCTGTGAGGTAGTTAATATTGTAGTAATCAAACTGCATTTACCAATGAGGGAACTCAGGCTTGGAGAGGTTAAATCACTCTCTCAAAGTTGTATAGCTGCAAAGTGGTGGTGCTGTAACTGAATCTTATCAGTATTTAATAAAATAATTCTAATGAAAATAAAACTAAGTGATAAAATAGTTTATTTAATACCTCTCCAAACTTAACTTCATGTGATTTCCAATGAACTGAAAATAGATGTTATGGTATCTTTAAAAAAATTATGACATTTCAAACATAAAGAAATGAGTATAATAAATCTCTATGTTGGCTTACTCCTATATCCACACATTATATTATTTTGTAAGTCAGGGAAAACTGAGGATTTTTGGAAAACATAAGTATTTATTATATGCTATAAAATTAACAGTAATTCCTTAATCTAATGCCCAGTTTACCTCTAATGTATTTTATCAGAAATATGTCTTATTCAGTTGGTATATTAACATCAGTACAAAGGAAGGTATTTGTATTATGTTTGTAGGATATGTTTTAAATTTCTTTATAGTTATAGTCTGCCTCCTACCTACTTCCTTTGTTTCACTGCCATTCATTTATTGAAGAGCCTGGGTTTTTATTAAATGTTTCCTTTGCTTTCCAGAGTATTGTTTTAATTACACAATTTATATGTATGTAGAAATTCAAAATTACAGCTGAGCATTAGGAAAAAAGAAGGAAAAATAAATACCAAAATAGATATTTAATAGTCTTATTTGCCACTTACTGATAGTATATTTTATTAGCTGTTTTTCTTTAATTGTAGGGGAATATCAACTTTTTAACTCTGTGTGTGTGTATTTAACCACATATTATAAAGCAAACCTGAGCATTTTTTTTTTACTTTGGAGTAACTGTCAACTTGCACAGAACTTAAAAAGATATACAGATAGTTCTGTAAATTAATTTTTTAATCTTGATTGATGGTTTGTTGGACTATTAGTCTTTTGATAGCTTCAGTAGAGAGTTGTAGGCTAAAAAAATTTCTGTTGTGAATTTAAAATTTTTTGAGTGAATTTATATTTTATATTTGAATAGTATATTTTTTTTTTGCGTAAGTTTATGACCTGTGTCATTGACTTTTCTATTTGGGTAGGTTATAAAGTGAAATTAGTGATAGTATATCCTAAATATTTGAGATTTTATTGAACTTTCCCATATATTGGTTGATTATTTTTTTCAAAATGGAAATAGATATTTTTAAAAATAGCTCAAAATAATTAAGGTAGTTCTGAAAAGAAAAGAATAAAAGTGACCTATAGTTCTACTTACCAGGGAAAACAAGGTGTTTAATATTTGGCATTTTTTTACCTGTGTACTTTGGCAATGGTGGTTTAATAGATTAGGTAACATAAGATCACTTCTACTAAAATGTTGTAAAATAAAGTGTCATACAGTTTTTAAAATTTTTTGGTAGAGCTCTGATCCAGCCACACGTCAAATGCTGATTGGTACAGTTCTCCATGAAGTATTTCAAAAAGCAATAAGTGATAACTTTGCCCCAGAAAAACTACAGCAACTTGCTTTTCAAACTGTTCAAGAAATAAGGCATCTAAAGGAAATGTAAGTAGTATATATAGGAGAGAAAATACAGGTGTAATTTTATCATATAACTTCTTATATTCTATTAGGTATTTGACTATTCTATTATTTAATATAAATTAGTGAATTAGTAGAGGGTGGTGAGAGGATTCACCAGAGACAGAATGGGGGAGCAGAACAGGCAGACCAACTGAAATACACTGCTGAGGGGAGCAGTGGGCGAGACAGGGGATTCAACTTGTGCTGTAGTGGCTGCTGATAGCTTCATAATGCTGAGACTTTAACCCCTGCGCCACCAGGAAGGCCCTAACTTTGCCAGTTTTATGACTGAACAAGTTACTTAAAGATTCTGAAAAAGGGACTAACACCTATTTTGCAGATACTGTGACAATGTAGTTAATGTACATGAACTAATTTCTAATCATTGGCATTATCCTTGGTCATCTACAAGGATTGATGTGCTCTGCTGTTTCTTTCTTGACTCCTGTTGCAGTCCATCTTTTTTCAAACATGATTTTATTAGTGGTCATTCTGATTTCCATACTACTGGACATAAACAACTTTTCCAAAATGTAATTCTGTATTTTACTGTTTATATGGGGGAATATGTGCTCCAAAATTCCATTCAACTAATTTCCTGATCACATGTGATCCATTGTCCTAAAAATATTTTAGACCCCTGCATATGCCAGGCACTGTGTTAATTGCTTTTGTACATCTTATATAATCTCATTGCAACCTGTTGTAAATGAAGAAACTAAAGCACAGAGAAGTTGTCATCTGCTCATACCACACAGTTTAGCATTTAAAACTTGAGTAGATATAATAAGGTTTTGCTTTAAGAATTCTACTTAACACATTACTTGCCACTTTGCATTTAAAGTTCTTACTTTTTCTGTCGTACTCAAATGAGAATATGGTGGTACCTTATCTGTTGTGTATTGTATTATCTCTTGCCTTTAAACAGATCATATTAAAATTTTGTTACTTAAAATGACAAACACCTATTATCTCAGTTTCCAAGAGATCCGGAATTTGGAATAGGCTTTGAGGGGTGGTTCTGGCTCTGGGTATCCATTTGGGACTTCATGCTGAAGGCTTGGCTGTGGGGGAGATTCAGCTTCCAAGAAGATGCACTCATGACTGTTTAATTGAAGTCACGAGGTCTCGGTTCCTGGCCTCAATTTCTAGACACAAAAACGAGCCATTGGACTGCCCAGTGGGTCATCGCAATCCAGTACCTGCTTTCTTCACCTTGAATGGCCCATGAAAGAGCACGTAGGAAACCATGATGCTTTTATAACCTAGTTTCTGAATAATATTCCACTGTATGTATAGTATATGTCACCTTTTGTTTGTTAACTAGTTAATGGTTTGCTTATTTGGATGTTTTATCCTTACTTAATGCTTTCACATTTATTATCTCTTACTTTGGCAGGTACCGCTTAAAACTGAATCCAGATGAAATACAACAAGAAGTAGAGGAGTATCTTCCTTCATTCTCTAAATGGGCTGGAGATTTCATGCATGAGTATAGTTCAGCTGACTCCCCTCCGATGCAGCTCTCTCTGTAAGAGATCCATTTTGTTTATATGGTGTTCATTTTTTTTTAAGATTCATTTTATTTATTTATGAATATAATAGCCAGGGCATAGGCCAGAGGTACGAGGTGGTGGGGAGGGGTGTGTGAGAGGGTTCACCAGAAACAGAGTAGGCAGCAGAGCAGGTGGATTCATTGAAACACTGCTGAGGGCGAGACAGGAGAGGTCCCCATGTGGGTCAGCTTCCTTTCTGGGGATTGAACTCGTGTTGCAGTGGCTGTGGTTAGCTTCATAGTGCTGAGACTTAACTACTTGCAACACCAGGGAGTCACCAGGAATCTCTTGATTCCCAGTCCAGTGTTATCACCTTGATATCTCTGTATACACTTATTTATTTCCATTACTTCTGATGGTATTTTATTTGTGTCTGTCTGTGAAGGAAGCATTCCTTTGTACTTTGGTGTGAATAGTTTTCCCAGCAGCTTATAGCTAATCTTCTTTTAAAAATTAGCTTTGGAGCAGAGAATGAGACCTTTTTTTTTTTTTTTAAGATTTATTTATTTATGCATACAAGAACTGGGGTACAGGTCAGGCCAGAGGTGTGGGGTTTGGGAGGATTCACCAAAGACAGAGTGGGGAACAGAACTGGCAGATTGACTGAAATATACTGATGAGGGGAGCAGCAGGTGAGACAGGAGAAGTCTGCTGTGCCATGTGGATGGCTCCCTGGCCGGGGATTGAACTGTGCTGCAGTGGCTGCGGATAGCTTCATAGTGCTGTACCTTAATTCCTTGTGCCACCAGGGAGGCCCCAGAATGAGACTTTTAAAAGCCATTTAAAGAAATGGTCTTTCTCACCTATAAGTAGTAAATGTATATTTTATTTCTCATTACACTATGTTCTCCATTAGATAATTCAGATGATTTTTATAGTATTATGCTGATTAAAATCATAGTTCTTATATTGAAATACTGTTATTTGTTCTGTAAATCTCTAAAACTCACATTACTTTTTGTAGGGGAGTGAAATTTAGTAGCACTATTAAATTTATTACTTCTATTAAGTGCACATGTGACATTTTATAAATGTTTGCTTTATTTCATATAAGTATATTTGAATACATATTATGATCAGATAACATTTGGTAAGAGAAAAATTAATATTTTTGAAATTTCAGAAAAGTTGTAGCTTCCTTGAATTCCTCTATTATCATCATTAGAGACTATAGAAGTATACATAGTTTTATTTGGAGCATCCTGAAACAGCTAAAATCGCTGAAGGTAGCTTTCTTTTACTCAGAAAACATTTTAATTTTTTTTTACTATTATTTATTTATTTATTTATTTATTTATTTATTTATTTATTTATATTTATACAAGCACTGGGTACAGTCAGAAGCGCGGGAGGGTGAGAGAATTCACCAGAGCCAGAGCCGGGAGCAGAGCAGGCAGAAGGACCGAAGTACACTGCTGAGGGGAGCAGTGGGTGGCCGGAGAGGTCTGTGCGCCATGTGGGACCCTCCTCCGGTGGCCGGGGAGCAGCCGGGGATCAAACTGGTGCTGCAGAAGCTGCGGGCAGCTTCGCAACCCAGCACTCAACCGTTGCGCCACTGGGGAGGCCCAAAACGTTTTAATTTGTTAAGAAATAGTTGCCAGTCTAAATAAAATGAAATTAGTCATGTACCCTAACAGCCAGAATGTTTATAGTTTTTAAATCTTGATTTTCATATGATACGAAATGTTGTTACTAGAAAATATATTCTTTTCATGTAAGATTTCCATAGATTTACTATTTTATACAACTTACAGTCTAAAATAGGATTAGTAAAGGTAGCTATTACCTAACTCTGCAAAATAACTACTGCTTTGAAAATGAGTAAATTTCAGATAAATTTTAAAGCCTTTTAAGAGAGGCTTTAAAAGTCATTTTTGGCTCTTTAAATTTGCTCAACATTTATGTTTTCCTTTCACCTTCCCTCCTTTTACTCTTGACTTATTTAACAGGTAAGATGTTAAAATCAGAACAATGTAAAAAACAATGTTGGGTACTTATTTTTAAATATAGCAGCAGAGATGGATTCATTCAGTGATTAAGTAAACAAAATAATGAAGACATGTGGGAGTGGCACATGACTTCATGAGACTGTCACCTGGTGCTTGGAGGTGAAGTGTTCGATGATCAAGCCCCATACTGTGTAAATAATGGGGAAAGACAGATCATTCTTACCCACTTTAACATGGTGTTACAAGGAGGGATGCATCCCTTGCTACCTAGATTGTAACACATGCCAGCCACTAATTATTAATCTGTGTAATAATTGTATATCAGAATACTCAGATTGATATTATGAGGCTAGCATTCCAAATAATGAAATTATACAGTAATTAAAACCTGAGAAAATAAAGACCTGCGGTAGGGAGATTGTAGTAGGACATGATGATAAATATTAAGAAAATTTAAACTGAATAAAGCCTATATGTCAGTGGCTCTAAAACTTGAACGTGCATCAGAATCACTTGCATAATTTGTTAAACAAATCCCTGGGTCTCATTTGTAGAATTTCTGATGGAATAGGTCAGGTTGGGACCTGAGAATTCACATTGGTAACAAGTTTCCATGTAATGCTGTTGTTACTGGTCCAGGGACACACTTTGAGAATCATTATGATAAAGTTTTATAGACTCTCCCATCCCCACATTGTCTGTGTGCCAGCAAATGAGAAGTGAACTAAGCGTTCTAAAATTAAGTGTTTTTTTTGTTTCTTCATAGGCCAAGTGATGGTAATGAGAATTCAACATGTAATATTGAAGTACTAAATTCACTGGATATTGAAGAGAGCATTTGGTCCCCTAGGTTTGGATTAAAGGGCAAAATAGATGTTACAGTTGGTGTGAAAATACATCGTGGAGGTAAAATGAAATATAAGATAATGCCACTGGAACTTAAAACTGGCAAAGAATCAAATTCTATTGAACACCGTGGCCAGGTATAAATCTTTTTTTTATTTTATTTTTAAAGATTTATTCTATTTATTTATGCATACAAAAGCTGGGATATAGGCCAAGGTGAGGGTGGGGCGGTGAGAGGATTCACAGAGACAGAGTGGGGAACAGAACAGGTAGATGTACTGAAATACACTGCTTAGGGGAGCAGCAGGTGAGTCAGGAGAGGTCTGCTGCGCCATGTGGGTCACCTCCTGACTGGGGTTTGAACTCGGGCTGCAGTGGCTGCTGATAGCTTCATGGTGCTAAGACTTAACCCCTTGTGCCACCAGGAAGGCCCCAGGTATAAATCTTAAGAAAATTGAATGTATATAGTATATATATTATATTTATTTATGTATATTATATAGACACACATTGTTTTTGGTAAGATGGCCTTTTTTTTAAAAAGATTTATTTATGCATACAAGCGCTGGGGTACAGGCTAGAGATGTGGGGGGTGAGAGGACCCACCAGAGACAGAGTGGGGAATAGAACAGGCAGACTGACCGAAATACACTGCTGAGGGGAGCAGCGGACGAGACAGGAGAGGCCCGCTGCAATATGTAGGTTGCTCCCTGGCTGGCTGGGTTCGAACTCATGCTGCAGAGGCTGTGGATTGCTTCATAGTGCGGTGCTTAACCCCTTGCGCCACCAGGGAGGCCCAAGATGGCCATTTTAACAATGTTAATTCTCCCGATCCTTTCCATTTCTGTGTTTCTTTTTTTTTTTCCTAAATATTTTTTAAAGATTTATTTATTTATGCATATAAGAACTGGGATGTAAGCCAGAGGTGTGGGAGTGGAGGTGAGAGGATTCACCAGAGACAGAATGGGGAGCAGAACAGGCAGATCTACTGAAATACACTGCTGAGGTGAGCAGTGGGCGAGACAGGAGAGGTCTGCTGTACCATGTGGGTTGCTCCCTGGCCAGCTTGGGATGCAACTCTTGCTGCACAGGCTGCCAATTGCTTGATAGTGATGTCTTTAACCCCATTGCCACCAGAGAGGCCTTCTGTACTTCTTCTATTTCCTTTAACAGTGTTTTATAGACATAAACCTAATATAGGCAGTGACTCTCTTGGTAACTTTGACAAATAGTATGATTTTAGTGTTTAATTTGCTTACTTCACAAAGGGAAAATAGTGTCTAAAGACTGTCAGCTTACATCATTTAATTAGTTTTCCTCTTTAATTTATTAGAAACCTAAATAATAACTAAGAAAAATTCTAATTATTTACTGAGTAAAACTTAGAAGCATAAATAATTTCCGTAAAATTAAGTATTTGACATTGAGTTTATTGTGTTACCTTTATTAGTTTGACTCATGTTATTTTCAAAATGGAAATAATTGACCTTTTGATTTTGAAATAACATGTTGGTGCCTTCCCTGGTGGCACAGCGGTTGAGCATTGGGCTTCGAAGCTGCCTGCAGCCTCTGCAGCACCTGTTCTATCCCCAGCTGCCAGCGAGGGTCCCACATGGCGCGCAGACCTCTCCTGCCGCCTGCTGTTCCCCTCAGCAGTGTACTTCGGTCCTTCTACCTGTTCTGCACCCTGCTCTGGCTCTGGTGAATCCTCTCACCCTCCTGCACTTCTGACTGTACCCAGTGCTTGTATAAATAAATAAATAAATAAATAAATCTAAAAAAAAAAAAAAAAAAAGAAATAACATGTGGTTGCAAAACATTTAGGGAAATGTAGAAAGTTAAAGTTTTATTTGATAGCACTTACAATGTTTTCACAGCTTGTCCTATATACACTGCTAAGCCAAGAGAGAAGACCGGACCCAGAAGCTGGCCTACTGCTCTACCTCAAGACTGGCCAGATGTACCCTGTGCCTGCCAACCATCTAGATAAAAGAGGTTGAGATGTTTTCTCTGAATTTTACTTCTCTAGGTTTTATTTGTTTATTTGTTTTGAATTTCAGTGTTTGGTGATACGTATTTATACCTGACAACTGCTCTAATATTATACTTGGTATAATACAGCACTAGCTGTATATTTTTAGTTGTGGAATGTTGTTTAGAGAATTTTACCAATATAATTTACCATTGAAATGATTAACCTTTGTGAATTTTATTTTAGAAATCTTTATTTTAAACTTCCAAACATATTAGAGATGTTCTAAATAGCTGTATTTATCCTAAGCATTCACCTAATAAAATACTAACTTCCCCAAATTAACTGATATTATGTTTAAAGATTTATCCAGTGAAGAAATAGTTGAAGGAAATATCCCAAAATGTTAACAGGAGTTATTTAAGTATAGTAGAAAATATGAATGTTTTCCTTTTTTTTATTTTCCAACCTGAAGATTTTTACTTAAATAATGGGAAAAAATATAAATTTTACATAATTCTTATAAATACACCCATCCCTTTTTTGCCTTCTAGAATTATTAAAGCTAAGAAACCAGATGGCTTTCTCTTTGGTTCACCGTGTTAGCAAATCGGCTACTGGAATGAAGAAAACAAAGCTTGCTCCTTTGCCAGAAGTAATTAAGGAACAGCAGACTTGTAAATATTGTTCACAAATGAGCACCTGTGCTCTTTATAGCAGGTAAACACAGTTTTCCAAAAATTACTAGTTCAAGTAAGTACTCAATATGATTTAACATTGTTAACTGCTCTGGCATTGCTGATTTTGTTTTAGTTATTTTTCTTTGCATATAATATTTTGGAAATGAAGGGAATTGCAAACAATAACAACACAGTTCATATTTTCTAGCAAGCCTATTTCCTTGGGGAATAATAGAGTATTTTTTACAAGTTTAATAGAAAAACTTTTTCCAAAAGTGTATGTTTTAATTATACTGTGTCTAATTTCTGGGGAAATGAAATAATTTTATGACTTAATGGAGTCTATTTAAGAAAGATACAGTAGGGTCTCCCCAGTGGTGCAGTGGTTGAGCGCTGGATTGCGAAGCTGCCCACAGCCTCTGCAGCGCAGGTTCGATCCCTGGCCGCCGTGTGAGAGTCCCACATGGCGCGCAGACCTCTCTTGCCACCTGCTGCTCCCTTCAGCAGTGTATTTTGTCGGTCTGCCTGTTCTGTTCCCTGCTCTGTCTCTGGTGAATTCTCACCCTTCTGTGCTTCTGACTGTACCCAGTGCTTAAATAAATAAATGGAAGGAAGGGAGGGAGGGAGGGAGGGAAGGTATAGTGCCTCCCCAGTGGTGCAGCAGTTGAGTGCTGGGTTGCGAAGCTGCCCGCAGCCTCTGCAGCACCGGTTCGATCCCCGGCCTCCAGCAAGGGTCCTACATGGCGCAGACCTCTCCTGCCACGCTCCCCTCAGCAGTGTACTTCGTCAGTCTGCCTGTTCTGCTCCCTGCTCTGGCTATGGTGAATTCTCTCACCCTCCCGCACTTATGACTGTACCCAGTGCTTGTATAAATAAATAAATAAATCTTTAAAAAAAAAAAGATATAGTAATTTTGAACATAATGCAGTAGGTCCTCAATATTTATAATGTTGAATTATAAGTCATTTTGCTTAAAGACACAGTTTACAAGAGCCTTTTGACAATGTTAAGTGAGGATTTATTGTATGGCTTTTTTTTTTTCTTTTTTAGATTTATTTTATTTATGCATATAAGAGCTGGGTGTAGGCCAGAGGTGAGGGGGGTGAGAGGATTCACCAGAGACAAAATAGGGAGCAGGATAGGCAGATTGACTGAAATACACTGCTGAGGGGAACAGCAGGCGAAACAGGAGAGATATGCTGCGCCATGTGGGTCAGCTCTCTAGGGGGTGGAGGGTGGTTAGTTCCATGGCTGGGAAATGAACTCCTGCAGCAATGGCTGCTGATAGTTTCATAGTGCTGAGACTTAATCCCTTGTGCCACCAGGGAGGCTCCTGTACAACTTTTCTTAAGTGATATTCAAATAAATCTTTCATTTCTTAGTTGCTATTTTAATTCAGGCCTTTTGTAGTTAGATTCAGGGAAATTGGTTCTTCAAGACAGTTTGTTGTGATCCGATGGATTTGTCTTGTTTATATGTTTTTTTTTTCTGCTTATGGGAAGTTTATTAGCGGTCTTATGAAGTCATATGCATTTATACCTTTAGAGGCCAGTGAAAGTTTTGAAGGCCACAAAAACATTAAATATAGACTAGAAAGCAAGATCAAATCAGAGGCAAAGCTCTAATTCAGCCTGAAAATACACATTTAGGACTCCTAAAAGTTTTATATCAAGGATCTCTTAATGGCAAAGGTCTACAAATATAGGACCTCTGGGCTTAAAGCACAATTACATTTTTTTCGAAGTTGTATGTTTTATTGTCAAGGTTTTATGTATATTTGTTTCTATATAAAATATATTTTATTTTATATCCTACAGTATGTTTGTTTTTTATATTAAAACTAAAAATAATAAGTAAAGTTGGTATTTGAAATGCTTTTCTAAGTTTTTATGTCGATTTTCTTATGCCACAGAACTAGGTATACAAATATTGTGATTTTAAGAAATGCAGGAGTTCAAAAGCCAAAACTTACTGCATGTAGGAATGAAGACTAGAGTATGCCAAGCTTAAGTTGTTGTTTGGGGATCGTCACTGAAGACAAAATAATGCAATATTGAGTTTCTTATTCATTTTGTTTTGTAAAAAACCATTTTGCTTATAATATGTTGAAATTATGTTAAAGAAAATTGTGTCTGGTGGTTTTAAGTTATGGCAATTAGAAAATAAAGTAAAAAATGTAAAAAAAACAGTTATGATGATTGTCCTAGGAATCTCCTTTCATAGTGAACAGTGAAGTGTTTGTATACATCACTAACTTGGAGTTTTATATTTAGAGCAGTTGAGCAACAGATGGATGACAGTTCAGTCCCTGTTGACGTGCTGCCCAAAATGAAAGAAGAAACCCAGCATCTAAAGCATACACACCTAGAGTACTTCAACCTTTGGTGTCTAATGTTAACACTGGAGTCACAATCAAAAGACAGTAAAAAGAATCACCAAAATATATGGTTAATGCCAGCTTCAGAGATGTAAGTGGTCTATTGAATATAATAAAATTTTAGTGCTCTTGTATAAATAAAATAAAATCTTTAAAAAAATAATTAAATCCTTTTGAAAACACTAAAGGAATATATTACTATTTCTTCATATCAGGTTCAGGAACAGGTTATTATAGTTTGTCTTCTATAATGTTAACGTGTATCAGCACAGGATGCAGGGGCGTGGTTCGGGGATCAAAGTGCTGATACACACTTTGTTCAAAGATCCCTGCCTGTAGATGCAACACTTATCTGTAGCTCTATAACACTTATCTATTGCTCTATTGGTGAGAAACTATTTAAAAAACAATACAGAAGATGCTTCCTTAGAATTTACAACACTTCAGTGTAGATTGCGGAAAATGTAGACAGCATAGATAAAATCAATGTTAGCATTAAAGTTTCCAAGGGTCAGGTGAACAAGTAATTTGTAGAAAAAGGCAAATATAGTATTTATGTATGTGATGTAAATGGAAGCTTTCTCTTTTTCAAAGGGAGAAAAGTGGAAGCTGCATTGGAAACCTGATTCTAACAGGACACGCAAAGACAGTTTGTGATGGACAATATTTACACAATTTCCAACGTAAAAATGGTGCCATGCCTATCACAAACCTAATGGCAGGTGACAGAATTATTTTGAGTGGAGAAGAGAGGACTCTCTTTGCTTTGTCTAGGGGATATGTGACTGAGATTAATATGACAACAGTAACCTGTTTATTGGACAGGTAATTAAATGTTATTTTTTGGGGTGTAACAGCTTTATTAATATCTATTTCTCATACCATACAATTATCCATTTAAAGTATATCATTCCAATTTTTTATTGTATTCATAGAATTATGCAGGCGTACCCCAGTACCCCATAAAGAAGCCCTGTACCCCTTTGCAGTCACTCCCATAAGCAAACAACCGGTTTGTTTTCTCTCTTATAGATTTGCCTGTTCTCTGAACATTTTACATAGATGGAATCACATGTGGGTCTTTTGTAACCAGCTTCTTTCAGTGGGCATACCATTTTTGAGGTTCATATTCATGTGGTAGCAGCTATCAGTCAGTACTTGATTTTTTTTTTTTTAAAGTTGAGCTGAAATTCACATACCATAAAATTAACCATTAACGATTTTGCTGTGTACAGGTCAGTGGCACTTAGTATCCTCCCGCTGTTGTGCAACTATCGCTTCTGTCTGATTCCAAGACATTTTCATCACCCTGAAAGGATGTACCCTTTAAATCTTCATTCCCTTTTCCCTCCAACCTCTGGGAATACTAATCTGCTTTCTGTCTATGGATTTATCTATTCTGGATATGTCATATATTTCAAATATACCATATGTTACGTTTTGTTTCTGACTTCTTTCATTCAACATGATGTTTACAAGATTCATCCACATTTCAGTATTGAGCACAGCACCTCATTTCTTTATACAACTGAATAATACCCATTATGTGGCTAGAGCACGTTTTGTTCGTCTATTACACTAGCTGACGGACCCTTGAGTTGTTTCCATTTTTTAGGTGTTTGACTAGTGTTCTATGAATATTTGTACACAGATATTGCAAGGGGTTAAAGACACAGCGCTATCAAGTTATCCTCAGCCACTGTAGCAGCTGGCCAGGGAGCAACCCAGCAGCAGACCTCTCATGTCTCACCTGCTACTCCCCTCAGCAGTGTATTTCAGTAGATCTGCCTGTTCTGCTCCCCACTTTCACTGGTGAATAATCTCACCCCCTGCACCTCTGTTCAACACACCAGTTCTTATATGCATGTATAAATAAATAAATTAAAAAAGAGGATGAGAGAAGAGTTCTGTGCTCGGGATTCTTTGGGGGACTGTGACCTAGGTTAGATGGTGAGGTCAAGCGAATTGTCAACAAGTGTTTTAAGAGCCTGGTTGCCACTTAACTTGACCTTGATGCCTTATGTCCTCTCTTTCTCCCACTTCCCATCTATCTGGCCCCATGCTGTCTTTGACTTACAGTGAGAATATTCTGGCCCATTTTCTCTTGGCAGACAGCAGTATATTTCTTGCACAAAACAATTGATTTAAATGAAAACATACATCTGAATTACTATTTTAGGAATGTGTCAGTACTCCCAGAATCAACTTTGTTCAGATTGGACCAGGAAGAAAAAAACTGTGATATAAGTACTCCACTAGGAAATCTTTCCAAGTTAATGGAAAATACTTACACCAGGTTTGTAACAATGACTGAATCTGAATTTTACTCTACTTTCCTACGGAACATTATTACTAAAAGCATTTGTTTTTCTTTCTAGTCAAAAACTTCGAGACTTAATTGTCGACTTACGTGAACCTCAATTTATTTCCTACCTCAGTTCTGTCCTTCCACATGATGCAAAGGATACAGTTGCCTGCATTCTGAAAGGTGTGCTGTAATTAACATGTCTACTTCTACTGGTTGCTCCTATTAATAACTTAATCTAAATTATAATCTAGTGCTTTAAAAATTTATTAAACTTGCAGTTACAATGTTTAGACTAAGCCTCTCTGGAAGTAGTTTATATATATCCTTTAATGTCACCTTGACTTTTTTTTTTTTTAAAGATTTATTCATTTATACAAGAACTGGGGTACAGGCCAGAGGCGCGGGAGGGTGAGAGAATTCACCAGAGACAGAGCAGGGAGCATAACAGGCAGAAGGACCGAAGACACTGCTGAGGGGAGCAGTGGGCAAAGCAAGAGAGGTCTGCCATGCCATGTGGGTTTCTCCCTGGCTGGCGGGGAATCGAACCTGCGCTGCAGAGGCTGCAGACAGCTTCACAGCATGGCACTCAATCCTCTGCGCCACCAGGGAGGCCCACCTTGACATTTTCTGGTTTTGAAAAGATGTCTTGAAAAACAGATTTAAATAGAGGCTGCTTTTCTTACAAAATAATTAATTTGCTCATTGAAATTTAACATTTTTTCATGTTATTTTTTAAATATAAATGTAGGTTTGAATAAACCTCAGAGGCAAGCAATGAAAAAGGTACTTCTTTCAAAGGACTACACACTCATCGTGGGTATGCCTGGAACAGGAAAGACAACTACAATATGTACTCTCGTAAGGTTATTATTTTTTGCTTGGAAATGAAATCTTGTGTCTTCAGTTCAGAGGATGTGATGCTTAATATCAAAAGGGGCTGACTTTTAAGTAAAATGTCTTTATTTCAAATTAGCTTTCTAGGAGGCTAAAAATAGAGAAGCTGACTCACAAATAGTGGAAATCATGTAAATTTCTTGCATTTAGAATTGTTCTAAGATCTCTTTCCATTAGTGGCCTGGGTATAATCATGTATTTTTCTTTCCCTTTAAAATGTGGTAACTTATAGTCAGTAAATTTGTAAGCAGTCTTGGATTAATCATAATGATGGCAGCAACTTATTTATTGATTGATACTGTGCACCAGGCACTATTAAGTACTGATATCTGTTATATTTTATTATCATTTATTAACATGAAATATACCATATCTGTTAACGTCATGTAGTTTTCATAAATTTTCATCTATGATATTTTTTGAAAAGCTACTTTGCTAGTCTTTTAGGTAGGCTGACTGTTAAGTTTTCTAATTCCCTGTGAAAATATAATCATGTTGGAAATTATCTAGAATTAAAAGTAGTACTGTTTTCCTTTCTCCTATTATTAGGTGAGAATTCTCTATGCCTGTGGTTTCAGTGTTTTGTTGACCAGCTATACGCACTCTGCTGTCGACAATATTCTTTTGAAGTTAGCCAAGTTTAAAATAGGATTTTTGCGCTTGGGTCAGATGCAGAAGGTTCATCCAGGTATCCAGAAATTTACAGAAGAGGAAATGTGTAGATCAAATTCCATTAAATCCTTAGCTCATCTAGAAGAACTCTACAATACTCAAGTAAGTATAATTATTGTATAATATTGTATAATAATACTGAGAGTAATTTCTGTAACCAGAACAAGGGGGGAAACATTTTGGGAGATTGAGTCATATTGGCCAAATTTGCATGTGATTCATTTATATAAACCCTATATAGGAGCAGTTTATTTTTAATTTACTATTTGCCTCTGATCTCAAATGAGGTTTCTTATTTATTATTCAGGCCTGACTGGTTAAATCATTGACTGTTAGTGATTGACTTAATCGCTTCCCTGTCCAGAAGTGGAGATGTAGGTAGGCTTCTATATCCCAATCCTAGTCACAAGCTTGGTTCTTCTGGTAGCCAACCCCCATTCTTCCGGTGTCATTCATTAGCATAAATTCAGGTTTGGTTGAAAGATGCTTATTAGGAATAATAAAAGGTGCTCTTTTTACCCCTATGGCCTAGAAAATTCCAGGAGTCTTAGGAACTTTGTTTTTTGTTTCCAGGGAGAAGACCAAATTGTATTTTGTATTATTGAAGGGCTCAAAATGGGTCTTCCCTACTTGTAGCACTTTGGCATGTGGATTATTTTGTGCCAAAGCCAATGGAGACACTCGTCTCAAGAGAAAGTTTTCCAAAACCCTTACCTATCTAGGAGAATTTAGATAAGGGTGCCTTGCCTGTAGTGTGGGGAGAAGTATTAGGCTGGGGTCGGAGGCGTGGTAGTGAAAGAATTCAGCAGAGAAAGTGGAGGACAGAAAAGGCAGATTTATTGAAATACACTACCAAGAGAAGCAGCGGCAAGGCAGTGGTGATTGGCGTGGAGGAGGATTTGAAGCTGTCTTTTATACTCTGTTTTCATGGGCTTTCTAACTTGGGGCACCAGTTTGCACCACTTATGTGCTGGGATATCTAGTCTTGGGTGCTGGCCTTTGACACTAAAACTTGTTCTGGCCTCTGCTTCTGCACTCCTGGAGTTGAGCTGGTTTTTCTGGTAGTGGTGGTTTTATGGCCTTGTCCCCAAGGTAACCTTATCAATTCCCTTATCTATTCAAGCCCAAACCTGCCTGCTGGGCCAGGAGTGGGGGCTTAGTTTTTAACCTTATTAAATGGTACCCCAATGCATAAAGTGTACTATTACTAGAAAAAACTTTTAATGACCTACCTATATGGTAGGTCAAACATCTAATTACCAAACATCTGCTCTTTTTGTCACCCTATGAAATACCCCTTTGAAGCCCCAGACCTCTATCCCATTCCTTAGTTGAGGGTGCCGTGTATACCTCATTTTACCTTTCTGTCTGAATAGCTCCTGTATGTGGCATTCCTGAATTTATACATTTAAACTTGTTTTCTCTTATTAATCTGTCTTATGTCAATTTAATTATTAGACCAGTTGAAGAACACTGAAGAGTAGAGGAAAATTTTTCCTCTTTAGTATTGCAATAGCATACCTTGAAAATGGCTAATAATCAGGATATTTTAGTGAGTTTGTATTAGAAGCAATGGTACTTGAACAGCTTTGTGATAAGCATTTCTGGACTTAGACATAGATCTTATTTTTTTTTTTAATAACTTAATGTCTATATTTACCGGGAAATCTTAAAGCGATATTTTTATCTTTTACAAAATCATTTAAAATAAATTTAATACACTATTCCTTCAACTCTTTTGTCTAATAACTAATATGCTTTTGTGTAATATCTATGCCCATTACTAAAAACTTTTGAAGTGTTTAAGTTGTATGTGTGATTAATATCTTTTTTTTTTTTTTTTTTTTTTTTTATAGAGGCATGCTTTATTTATTTGTTTGCTGGTTTGTTTGTTTTTGTTTATACATGCACTGGGTACAGTCAGAAGCGCGGGAGGGTGAGAGAATTCACCAGAGCCAGAGCGGGGAGCAGAGCAGGCAGAAGGACCGAAGTACACTGCTGAGGGGAGCAGCGGGCGGCAGGAGAAGTCTGCACGCCATGTGGGACCCTCCTCCGGTGGCCGGGGAGCAGCCGGGGATCGAACCGGCGCCGCAGAGGCCGCGGGCAGCTTCGCAACCCAGCGCTCAACCGCTGCGCCACCGGGGAGGCCCTGATTAATATCTTTTAATTAAACTTTATTTATTTTTTTTTTTTTTAAAAGATTTATTTATTTATTTATTTGTATTCATTTATTTATACAATTACTGGGTACAGTCAGAAGCGCAGGAGGGCGAGAGAACTCACCAGAGCCAGAGCGGGGAGCAGAGCAGGCAGAAGGACCGAAGCACACTGCTGAGGGGAGCAGCGGGCGGCAGGAGAGGTCTGCGCGCCATGTGGGACCCTCCTCCAGTGGCTGGGGAGCAGCCGGGGATCGAACCAGTGCTGCAGAGGCTGCGGGCAGCCTCGCAACCCAGTGCTCAACCGCTGCGCCAACCGGGAGGCCCCTAAACTTTATTTTTTATATGTAGATTTATATGCATTTTTAAGAAATGACCTAGATAAAACTTTAATAAAATCTGATGGATCGTTGACGTTCATGCAGTCTAGGTACAGAATAGTTCATTACCAAACGTATCACTGATGTTGCACTTTTATAAGTACATTCCTTCTCTCCTGCCTTACTCCTTCCTTAACCCCTGGTAATCACTAATCTGTTCTCCATTTCTATAATTGTGCTACTTCAAGAATGTTATGTAAATGGACTCACATCTGGGGTTGATATTTCTCATTTAGCCTAATTCTCTGGAGATTTACCCAGATGGTTGCATGCGTCAATAGTTTGTTCCTTTTTTATTGGTGAGGATTGTTTTTCAGTATGGATGTATCATGGTTTGTTTAACTATGCACTTGTTGAAAACATCTGGAGAACAACAAAATTCTGCATTTTGATGAAATTCAGTTTTTGGCTAACATAAGTCATGCTGCCATAGACATCTCATGTATAGGATTCATTTTTCTAGAATAAATATTCAGAAATATGACTTTTGAGTCGTTTGTTAGTTATATCCTTTTTTTTTTGTTTTGTTTTTCAATCTACCAAACTAATTTTCCGAAGTAGCTAATGAATGTGTGATTTTTGTCAGCAAAAATCACTGTTTTTCATTTTAGATGTTCTGATAGGTATGAATGATATCTCATTGTGCTTTTAATTTGCGTTTCCCTGATTGTGGATGTTTTCATATGCTTGTTTGTCATCTCTATAGCCTCTTCAGTGAAAGGTGGGGTAGAAGTATAGGTTCCCACCCTGCCTTTGCTGGCATTGGTGGGAGTGGGACCACAGTTTTTTCTGTGGTTTTTGGCTATAGTGGTTATTGTATAAAAATCTTCAACTAAGGGCCTCCCTGGTGGCACAAGGGGTTAAGACACAATACTATGAAGCAACCTGCAGCCACTGCAGCACAAGTTTGATCCCTGGCCAGGGAGGAGACCCACATGGTCCAGCAGACCTCTCCTGACTCGCCTGCTGCTCCCCTCTGCCATGTACTTCAGTCAGTCTGCCTGTTCTGTTCCCCACTCTGTCTCTGGTGAATCCTCTTACCCCCCACACCGTTGGTCTGTACCCTAGTACTTACATGTATAAATGAATGAATCTTAAAAAAAAAAAATCTTCTAAGTTTTCCCTTTCCTGTTCCTTTGGCTAAGAGAGAGAGGCTTTTGTGGAAGCTCTTCTCATTCTGCATCAATTGGCATTCATGGGTTGTCAGCTTCTTCTGCTCCAAATCTGGGTTATACAAGGCAGGAACAAAACTAGGGAAATAACTTCTGTATTGTTCTCGAGTTCCAAGGTCCCTAGTTGGTATACCTTCTCTGCATCTTTCAGAGTCCTTGTTTGTTATATATATAATGTCCATTGTTTTTGGTTAGACTTTGTAGGAGGAGTAAAGAAAAGTATCCTATCATTTTAGAACTGAAGCCTGGTTGACTTAAAAAAAATAATAATGTATTAAGTTATTGCCTCTTGAATGTTTCCATTTGGAAATATCCAAATTAAATATAATGGAGGATTTACTTGATTTTTTAAAATTCATATTAAAAGAATTTTTAAAGAAAATTTGCATTCTATATTTTTAAATGAAAGTAATATTGGTGAATTTTTGCTGTTGGGATTAAAAACTTTTGATCTTTAAAAAAATGGGAAAAACAAGTTCTATTTCTTTGACATGTTAAGTAACATCTGTTTTCTTCTTTGTTTTTAGCTTATTGTTGCAACAACATGTATGGGAATAAACCATCCAATATTTTCCCGTAGAAGTTTTGATTTTTGTATTGTGGATGAAGCATCTCAAATTAGCCAACCAGTTTGCCTAGGGCCACTTTTTTTTTCACGGAGGTTCGTGTTGGTGGGGGATCATCAGCAGCTTCCTCCCCTGGTGCTAAACCATGAAGCAAGGTAATGGCACATTGAAGTATTTATTTAAACTGGAATATTTTTAATAAGAGATACTGTGTATATTTATAAGCCTGGGTTTAATTTGTTGACAGAGCTCTTGGCATGAGTGAAAGCCTGTTCAAGAGACTGGAGCAGAATAAGAATGCAGTTGTTGAGTTAACTGTGCAGTACAGAATGAACAGGTATTTGTAATCATGTCAACTGTGAGTGATTTTCATGTTTGTTTTCATCTGCCGAAACTAAAATTAATTTTTGTAATTCTCTTAGTAAAATTATGTCCTTAAGTAATAAGTTGACATATGAGGGAAAGATGGAATGTGGATCAGACAAAGTGGCCAATGCAGTGATAAACCTACCTAAGTTTAAAGATGTGAAACTAGAACTGGAATTTTATGCTGATTATTCAGAAAATCCTTGGCTGATTGGAGTATTTGAACCAAACAATCCTGTTTGTTTTCTTAACACCAGCAAGGTAAAACAGTTTTTTGATCCTTAGTTTTTCTTCTTTTGTCCTCCTATTTAAATTCCTGTTTTCAATAATGGATGCTTCATTAGGGAGCTTATCACTTAAAGCTCCTGTACTTCATTTACTTGAACACAAAAGAATCTTATCTTTCTGTAGACTCAGTATTGTTGGGAGGAGGTATATTCTGAGGGCTGGTAGATGTGAAAAGTGATTTTTATAGAAGGTACACTAGAAAGGGAAATCGAGAGTATAATTACATTTCCCAGAAAAGAAATTGGCATTGATACTAGAAAAGGGCTAGGTTTACAAATGGACAGAAGATAAATTGATGACTTTTAAAGATCTTGATAAAGAAATAGATTCTATTTTCTACTGCAGTTTCAGGCTCACAGAAAAATTAAGCTGAAAGTACAGAGATTCTCATATACTTCCTGCCTCCACCTAAGCACATAAAGACATATTTACACACCTGTCATTGAAGAGAAATCTCTCAAGAACTTTAAATGACTTGATTCTTATTTCTAGAAACTAAAAGTGAAATTTCGATCCTATAGACCTACAGTTTGTTTTGCTTTTACAATTTGTTTTATCTAGTGCTTTTCAGCATTGATTTAGAAGTCTAACATAGTTCAAAGTAGAGTGACCAGTTTGTGTCTATATTATTCTAAAACAATTTTGTCTTTTGTTATTAAGATGAGTGGGGTCAGCTGGTTGTTAAAAATAGGACCTCACCAGTGTACCATGATGGAATTTTCATTCTCGTGCATATTGCTCTTAGCATTTCAAAACCAAAAACTAACACCTAAGGACAGAGAGGCTCTGGGAAATTTATTCAGATAAACTCACCTCACCAGTGACTGCTATTAACCCCAATTTATTTGTTATAATTTACATTTACTTCACAACGATCAACCAGAACCTTTACTTTTGTTACTCAGATTTGCTTTTTCTGAGCGTGAGGATTCCAAATAATCCGGGTTACATAGGGATGATGAAGGAGCAAAAATAGTCCTTGGATAGTTTTACCAGATGACTCCATCTACTCTATAATTTGTATGAAAGGCAATAAAAAAGTGGAAAGAGGAAAAAAAAATGGAAAGCACAGATGTTAGATCTAAATTTGAACCCTAGTACCATGACTTAATCTGGAGCCTGGTGCAAGTTTCTTATTTTTTCTGAACTTTGTCTGCTATAAAATGGGAATAACAAAATAAAGTATGTGAAGCCCCATGTGTGGTTGGCTTGCTTGAAGAAGGGTTTTCCAAGGGTTCTCCCTGGGTGGCTTTCTGACAGTGACTACTATTATTCATTTTTGCTCATCCTTTTGTCTTTGTCTTTTAAGATGAAGATGTTTTTCATCTGTCTCCATAGCTAGTAGTACAGTCTCTAGGAATACCTATGCACTGACAGTATTCTTAACTTTAGAGATTGGTTTACAAACAAGATGTATGTTACCTATTTAGGTTCCAGCACCAGAACAAGTTGAAAAAGGTGGTGTGAGCAATCTAACAGAAGCCAAACTCATAGTTTTCCTGACGTCCATTTTTATTAAGGTAACTTATATTTTGTAAATTTTGTAAATTTTGAGGGCTAGTTAAAAGTAAGGTACAGAATAATAGAGTGTTAGAATATAAGGAAGGAACTTAAAGTTAACCTATGGCATTAACACTTGTTTATTAAGAGGCCTGGAGCCTGATTTTTTTATATTTTGAGAAAAGTTATCTGAGACATAGTTTTTATAATGGCATTTTGGATTTTCCTGTAGGATGTATTTTTTGTCACATCAGATAATCTTTATTGTGGCAGTACAGTGATTGGGATTAAAAGCGTCATAGGAAGGAATAGCAGAGAATGAAATCTATTTCTTTGTACTGTTTCTGTGTGTGTGCACTGTTTTAGGCACATGTAAACCATTATACTGCTATGAACCTAATGAAGGAATTATTTCATCTCAGGAAATATGGACAGAGATTTAGAACACATTCAATAACTGTATTTAGTTCCTAGAATAGGATCACCTATTGTAAACATCAACCTGGTTTATTTTGTAAACATTTGATTTAATAAATTTAGTAAACTTAAATAACAAGTCACTACTTTTCACTTTAAATTGTGTCCTTTCCTGTTTAGGCTGGATGTAATCCTTCTGATATTGGTATAATTGCACCATACAGACAGCAGTTAAAGATCATCAGTGATTTATTACCACATTCTTCTACTGGGATGATTGAAGTTAATACAGTAGACAAATACCAAGGAAGAGACAAAAGTATCATATTGGTGTCTTTTGTTAGAAGTAATAAAGATGAAACTGTGAGTTAATTATATTTTCTGCCTATCTGTTTGGGGCATTTCCCCCTCTGTATTGCTTTTAAATTATGGCAAAAACACATAACATAAAATGTACCATCTTAACCATTGTTAAGTGTCCAGTTCAATAGTGTTAAGTATATTCACAAAGGTGTGCAGCAGATCTTCAGTACTTGAACTTTGCAAAACTGAAACTCTGTATCCAAGAATAACAACTCCCTTTCCCCCTCTTATACCAACTCCTGACCATACTTTTACTTTCAGTGTATATAAATTTGATTTTTCTGGGTACTTCATAAAGTGGAATTGTACAATATTTTATACTTTTGTGACTGGCTAATTTCACTTAGCATATGTCTTCAAAGTTCATTTATTTTGTAGCTTGTGTTAGAATTTCTTTACTTAATGACTGAATAGCATTCCAGTTTGTGTGTGTGCACAGGCCACATTTTGTCAATCCATTCATCTGTCAGGGGACATTTGGGTTGCTTCTACCTCGTGGCTCTTGTGTCTGTGGCATTTTAAGCATAAAAATTTCTTTAACTATACTTTCAAAGTTACAGATAATTCATGCTTGGTGTTTTTGGGTTTTTTTGGGGGGGGCATTTTTACTTTTTGATTTATTTTTCTTCACTGTGTAGTATATTCATATGGTACTAAAAATATATTTAGTAATAAGTCCCCCTTCTACCCTGTCCCTCTTCTACTCAGTTTCTTACTCTCAGATATAATCACAGTTTTAGTTTTTTGGTAACCTTCTAGAGTTACTTTACTAGCAAATACAAATTTGTATTCATATTTTCCCCCTTTCCATGTAAAAGATAATTTGTATACCCAAAAATATATATATACCTTATAGACTTTGCCTCTTTCACTTAATAACTTGGAAATCTTTCCGTGTCAGTACACAAAAAGAGTCCATTCTGTTTTAACTCTTGTATAGTTTTCCATTATATATAAATGTTATGGTATAGTTTACTCTTCAGTCTTACTATTTCAGGTTTTTATTACTGTTAAACATGATGCAACAATGAGTACAGATAGTTCTAATTCTTTATATGTATTTAATATTTTTAAATTATGGCTAGGATTTCAAACCCAGGATAAAATATTTGAAGTTGGCATTGTGGACAAGCTTTTCTAATGTTGTAAAATGTTAAATGTATTAATGAAGATTTTTTTGCAATTTATGTATTTTTAATATCTCTGCTAATAATTTATGTATTTTCTTTCTAATCAGTTTGTTGAAAAATAAAATACTAGCAGTTTTTCACTGACTAGAAAAGAACAGTCAGTATTGAACAATAACGTATTTTTAATTCTCTCCTGTATACTATTGTAAGCCCTTTATATAGTCTTTTTTGTTTGTCCATGTAACAAAGTTGAGATATTTTTATCTACATAAAGGAAGCCTACTTTGACATAATCTACGTTATTAAGGAAATAAATTCAGTAAATTTTAGCTCAAATTTCTCTGACTCATAGATTAAGCTAAACTATTTCTCAAAATGTGATCTTTTACCAGTAGGATAAACTTTGTCGAGGAAAATGTGTGAAAAATTCTTATTTCCCATCCAGACACTAGAAATACTAGAAGTGGTCCTCTGCTACCAGTGATTTAGCAAGCCCTTCAGACCTACAGGTGGTTCTAGTGCAAGTTAACCTTTGATAACCACTGAGCTGTACCATGTATATGTATGTGTATAGATGTATGTAAATACATCTATATAAGTATGTATATAAATGTTTTTATAAAAATTTGCGTATTCCCAAAAATTTTTTGGGAATCTTGTTAGACACAGATTGTAAGGCTTACACCTGGAGATTCTGATTCTGTGTCTGAATGAATATAGGTCTGGATGGGGCCTATGAATCTGTGTGTTATAGTGTGAGCTATGTTTTTAAAGGAAAACAGTTCAAGACAAACCATCCATGTTTTTTTGTCAGAAGAAACTCATAAATAAGGAAACTCAAATAATTAAAAATTACATTTCTTACAGATTGGTGAACTCTTGAAAGATTGGCGACGTCTTAATGTTGCTATAACCAGAGCCAAACATAAACTGATTCTCCTGGGATGTGTGCCCACATTAAACCGCTATCCTCCTTTGGGGAAGCTTCTTTGTCATCTAAACTCAGAAAAATTAATATCCTTTTTGTTTTGTATAAGGTCACATTTGATTGTGCTATTGTGTTTTTTTGTTTTGTTTTGTTTTTTTAAGATTTATTTATTTATTTATTTATACAAGCATTAGGTACAGTCAGAAGCGGGGGAGGGTGAGAGAATTCACCAGAGCCAGAGCGGGGAGCAGAGCAGGCAGAAGGACTGAAGTACACTGCTGAGGGGAGCAGCGGGCGGCAGGAGAGGTCTGCGCGCCATGTGGGACCCTCCTCTGGTGGCCGGGGAGCAGCCGGGGATCGAACCGGTGCTGCAGAGGCTGCGGGCAGCTTCGCAACTCAGCGCTCAACCGCTGCTCCACCAGAGAGGCCCCTGTGCTATTGTGTTTTATTTATGTACTTGTGTAAATTAAAATTCAGGGTTTTGTGTTTTTTGTGTGCATATTTCAAAGAGCTGAGTCTACAAAGGAAAAAATGTAAACAATTCACAGTAGTTTTTTTTTTTTTTTTAAGATTTATTTATGCTTATAAGATCTGGGGTACAGGCCAGAGGGTGGGGGGGGTGAGAGGATTCACCAGAGACAGAACAGGGAACTGAACAGGCAGATTGATTGAAATACACTGCTGAGGGGAGCAGCAGGTGAGTCAGGAGAGGTCTGCTGCACCATGTGGGTAGCTCCCTGGCCGGGGATCAAGCTTGTTCTGCAGTTCCTGCGGATAGCTTCATAGGTTGTATCTTAACACCTTGCGCCACCAGGGAGGCCCAAAAGTAAGTAATTTTTAAGAAAAAAATGAAATAGTGATAGTGGTGGGGAAGGAGACTTTGTGAAGTGAGAAAGGGACTTAATCTGTTCTCCTAGGAATAGGGCACATGCTTCCTAAAACATACTTAGGAAACTAGTCATCCATTCTGATTCCTCTCACCCAATATTAACCATCTTTTTTAAAAAATCTTTATCCAGGATAAAGCATTATATTTTTAAAATTCATAATTTCTTATTATGTAATAGATTATTTTTTAAATAGCTCATCTTTTAAGAAAACGATATGAAGGTCTTAGGCTAAAATATATAAACCTCTTAGGGTAAGTACGTAATTATCCATAGAATGCCATAAAAATCTATGTTTTAGCAGTTCAGTAAACCAAATTACAAGACATTAAATGATAATGTCATAAATGTTTCTATGGAATGCCATTTTGTGTTAAATATATCTTCCTTAATTTATTTTACATCATTGATCTTCCATCAAGAGAACATGAAAGTCTTTGTTACATATTGGGTGATTCTCAAAGAAGATAAAGGTCTTTTGTGCCTTTTTCAGCCTAGCGTGGGGATCTTTTCTAACAGTTGCCTACCATTTGTCCTTTGGATATGCTATGAAATCAGTGCCTGGGCAGACTGTGACTATAACTAAGGGCATGAAATGAAGTGTCCACAGCAAACTGCTATTCTCCTTTGGGGAAGCCTCTTTTTTTGTGTGTGTGTGTAATCTTGTTAAGTATAAAGTTCTATCACTGTATAAAATTTAACACTGTTATTTCAGTGAACATGTACACAAAACTGAAAAGCTTAAATATATATGTGATATAAATGTTTTTTTGTGACCTAAAAAGAGTTTGATAAATTTTTACCAACTTTAAAATGGATTAACTTTTGAATCTGAGATTTAGACTTTTAAGATTTCAGGACTAATTTGACTTTATAGATTATTTTATCATATTTTGTTATTTGAAGGATAGGGTAAAAAAATAATTTTTCATTTAAGAAACACAACCTTGTGGTGATTGTTCTTTTTGTCAGGGTTTTTCCTGACTTTTGTTTTCTGGTATTATATGTATTTTCCCATTAAATCTAGTCTTTTAAGTTATTATTTATAAATTGTCTTGAAGTAATTTTTTATTTCTTCCATTTTTTATTTTCAGTGTTTGGTGTTTCAGCATCGTAGATTTTGATACAAAATTTTCATTTGGAAAGAAACCTTGCTGAATTGATGATAAATAGAAAAGGATATTCGTATTTTTCACCTTTATTTTTATGTTCATATGCCCCTTTGTTTTGGGGCATTACTCAATTTTCTCTTTTTATACAATGATGTTTCATAAAAATTTACTTCAGAATGCCTAATTATATATATATGGTGACAGGTATGTAGTGAATGATTTGGTGTATCCATTTTCTAGGAGAAATCCTTAATTTCTTGCAAAGTTTTTTGAAATGAATGTTAAATATGTTAAATTTGTTAATTCTACCTCAGGTGGTTTCTTTTTTGTTTACTTGAAGTTTTTATTAAAGTGTTTTCTCCTGCTAGATCTTACTGTGTTAATTATTACTATTTAATAATTAAGTTCAGTGTTAACCAACATTTTTTCCAGTAGGGACAGGTGAAATATTGATCATGTGCTAAGGATGAAATGAGAGTGTTGACATTTACAAAGGAGGACTCACAGTGAACTTGGTCACAGGAAAAACTGGAAGGAGGCCTGCAATAGAGTTTAAATATTCACTGGATATCATAAAGTAATATAGCAGTGAAAAATCTAGATAATTTCAGTTTCTGGGAGTGAGCTAACCCACTGCAGCAGACCTCTCCTGTTTCTCCTGCTGCCCGTTAGCAGTGTATTTCAGTAAATGGAACTGTTCTGCTCCCCACTCTGTCTCTGATGAAACCTTTCACACCTGTGCCCTTCCCACCCCCCACATTTGGCCTATACCCCAGTTCTTTTACATAAAAATAAATAAAAATCTTCCAGGAATAATTTTTTTTAAAGATTTATTTATTTATGCATACAAGAACTGGGGTGTAAACCAGAGGTGCAGTGGGTGGCTGGCAGTAGCTTGATAGCACTGTGTTTAACCCCTGCACCACCAGGGAGGCCCTGCAGGAATAATTGTTCAAAAAAAAAAAATACTAGAAGGGGCATGTAAGACCATTGGTGAAAGGATAATGGCCCTATCTCATGTCATTCACTGAAATCAAATCAGGGTGCAATAACAGACCTTGGGGGTAAGGAGAATTTAAGACACTAAAAGTGAATCATAAATTTAACTGCAAGAAAGGAACTTATAAAAAGGTTTCCATAAAGGAAGAAAATATTAACCAGATCTTGGTAACGCATATAAGCCAAACTAGTACACACAAACCAATAAGAAATAGATAACAGGAAAATAGGCTAATGACTTCAATGGGTTTTTTGCAAAAGAGGAACTCCAAGAAGTAAGCATGATGACTCAATGTCATCAGCAATGAGATTGTAACAGGGTGGTCCCCAGGAAAGGGGGAAGTTCCAGGTTCCCTGCCCCACCCAAGGGAGGGTGGAGCTGAGCAGGAAGAGGAGAAGCTGCAGAAGAGACTAAGGAAGGAAGCAGGATGGAGCCAGGAGACCTGGAGGAGGCGCATGGAGCCTAGAGACAAGTAAAGAAACTGCGCTTGTCTTTTGGTCGTGGACTGGGTGACACAGATGTAGGTGAGACCTGTGGGAGGTGACCATGGCAGCTTTTATCTTGTTGATTTTGCTCTTTTCCTTCCGGGCTTGTCCGGTTGTTTGTGACCCTTTTCTGTGGGTCCCCACTGGAAGATGCTTTAGACTTATAGCAGGCTTTGGGGCCTTGTTCTGGGCCGATCCCATATGGATGGACTTTTACCCACGAGGGGACGGGTAACTTTGGGTGCTTCATTTAGAAACTAGACTCTTTGCCTTACCTGTATTGTTTCCTAGTTTTATTAAAGATTCTTCCCATTAGTCTCATGTGTTTTGTGTTGATGCGGTGGATGGCCGAACCCATTTAGAATAGGTTTGCGGGGTTTGGGCTGCCCCTCTCCCCGTCCTATAACAAGATAAATTCAAAATAAACTCACCATACAATCAAGTTATCTACAAGATTGGTAAAAAACAAAATTCTAACAATTCCAGGCACTATAATGGACACAAGCAACAGAAAAACAACATGGCTGATAGGATTATTATAAGTTTAAAAAACACCTTGGCATTATCTAGTAAATTTAATGAAAGCCATACCTGATTTCCCAATAAGTGTATTCTTAATCAAATGAGATTTTGAACACACACTGGGATGTATGTAGGCCTTGGAAATAACTTAGCGCTATGTGTTATGCCACCTGTGAACGTTCTATAAGCAGGCAAATAGGAAACCTACATTGTTGAGGGGCACATACTTGTGTGGGTGTAATACACAGCAAAGCAATGAAACGATTCTCATCAGAATAGTGTTCACCCCTAGGGGAACTGTTAAGTGCTCGCTTGATCTGGCGGTGGTCACCAGGTATTCATGCCGTGATTCTTTAAACTGTCAATTCTTATACATTTTTATCATGCATGATTATCTCACAATAAAAATTCAAAACCAAAAGAAGTCAAGAAGCACAACGGCACTGATCAAAGTGATGAAGAGAAAAAACATCGTTCAGTTTTGATGAAATAGCTCCATCTGTTTCTTGCTCACTGTGTTGGCATCTGCTGATCCAACTAGATAAAGGCTCCCTCATTCCAAATCGATATAACTTAAACCTGTTACTTGACCATGAGGTTCTTTTTCCTTTGAAATGAGAAAACTCTGTTCTTGTCTACCTCTTCCCCTGTGATTAGAAAGGCCACTCTTCATTGTTTTTGTTTGTTGTGTGTGTGTGTTTCTAGAACCAATTATTTCCTGGCTTTAGCCTCGTGGTTTGGGCTGTTTAAAATAGTTTCAGCACATTTCTGCCTCCAGTGTTCATTGTTTCGGATTTTCTAAATTCCTTGCCCCCTTTACGACTTTGTGAAGATGAAAGGGAAGCGGTCAGCCATCAGATGAAACCCATTCGCACCCTGAAGGTGGGCTGCGGGTGGCTCGCACGCCCTCTGAACGCAGCCTCAGCTTTCAGGCGAAGCCCCCCAGGGTGAGGAGCCTGTGGTGGGCCAGGGGCCGGCCCTCAAGCCCTCCAGCCCCCAGCTCTCCTCCCGTTCCTTCTCCTTCCGGCCCCAGCGGCCGCCTGGAGACCGGCGAGGGCGGGTTTTCTCTGCTGCGGGCTGGCGTCTCCGCGATCCCCCGCCCCACCCGCCGCGCCGCGGGACCGCGCGGGCGTCCTCCCGCCGCCGGGAGCGCTGTGGGCCGCGGCGGGCCGGGTCGCAGGCGTCGTGGCGACCGCCGCGCGCCTGAAGGGAGTTGCTGGCGGGGCTCAGGGAGCCCCCGCCCGAGACCGCGTCGCCGCCGCCATGGGTAAGGGGAGTGGGTCGAGGGCGCACGCCGGGCCCGCCTTTCTGACTGAAGGCCGCAGCCTGACGCGGAGGCCGGCGGTGGGGAGCGCTGAGGTCGCCGGGTCGGAACGGGGGCCGCGACCCGGCCTGGGGCTGGCGGGGGCAGCCGGGGACGCCCTGGCGCCCGGGGTCGCTATGGCAACGCGCGGCGGTCCCTCCCCCCCGGCGGCGTCCGCGCGGGTTCTGGGGCCCGGGGGCCGAGGCTTCGAGGTTCGACGGCTTCGCGCGAGCGAGGGCAGGGCGGGCCTGAGTTCTGCCGCCGAGTCGGGGAGCGCTCGGGGACGGGTGATGACTTTTCAGGTTTGGGGGTGGCGGAGGGAAGAGGCGGCTCAGGGTTTGACATTGGTGACTGACGCCGAGAGCAGGAGACGGACAGACATGCCGCGTCCGACTCCGGGTGAGCCCTTCGCGGGGGTCCTGGGGGCGCCCCGAGCCCTCTGGGTAACCCCTCTAGGTTGGGAGGGAGGCCGGGAAGGGGTCTAGCCCCGGGCATGATGCGGGGGCGGGCCTGTGGCGGGATTTGGGGGCCGCGACCGGCAGGGCACGGCCTGGAGTCGGGGTGGGGCGCGGCCGGGGCGCGGACGGTCCTCTGCGAGGACGCCGCGGGGACCAGCCGGGTCCCGCCTCGCAGCCACCGCAAAGGAGCCCTTTGTCTGGTTGTCGCATCGCAGGTTATGGATCGTGATGGGCTCTGTGTTCAGAAAAATGAAAATTGTCACGTTATGAAACATCAAGTGGTTTCGCCCCCGGAAAAAAAACAACCGAGAGGGAGTCAGTCACATCACCATGCAGATTTGAAGAAATGTCGCGTCTGGCTATTTTTCACCAGCCAGTGTATTCATAGCAGTTGTGGCTGCGTTTTAAGTTGCTTAGGATTCAGTGTCAAGCTCCATACCTAGCTTTCTGAGCTCAGAACTAGAATACTAGATCATTGGGGACCCTAGATTTTTGTTCAGAGAAGGAAAAACGGACGTTTGGTTTAGCTGGACAGGGCAGTCATTGGTCAGCGATTAGGAAATGTGTACTAAGTGTTTTATTTTTATGCATTTAATGTTGTCATCTGTGTTTGCTGAAAATATTGCTGCCATTCACTACATTGATGGGAGTATGGGGAGTCTTCTGGGGTTCCAACACAGTAAAATTATGGGAAAGAAAATATTTCTGTGAATTGAAAATATCAGGTAACAATGAGTTCTTTTGAAAATGCATTCATTAACTTGATATTCAACCTCGTCAGCTGTGCGGAGGGGCAGGGCACTTTTATGTGAAACTGGTTCCTCTTTATTTCCTCTGGGCAAATAAAGGAGTCAAGCAATATAGAACCCACTGCAATGGAAAACAAGATAGAAAGAGGGTTAAAGTGAGTGAAAGAATTGAAGGTCTTCCTGTAGCCCCTTGTTTATCAGGGTATTTTTATTTACCTTTGGGTCTGTTATAGGAGACACTGAAATCTTAGAATTTTAACTATCTTTTATTGCCAATTTATTTTGAACATTTTTTTTTTTTGCCTTGAATTCATTCTTGGAACTTTCCTGCTACCCCTCTTTTGCTCAAGACCCTTAAACATACCTGTTACCCCAAAATTATCTCCACAGAAAGTCATTAATAAACTCGTCATTCTTCCTGAAGAGGTACTACAAAAGTAAGATAAATAACAGAGAATGGTCAATTTTCAGGATCTTGAGAATAATTCATCAACTTTGGCTGGAGTGGGCATGGTAGTGTTCTATGGTATGTGTGTGGTGTATGTGAGAAACATAAAGAGAAGTTAATTAGGGGTTACTTAGGAAGACTGACTTGTTGCTGAAGGAAAAATAAACCACTGTTGGTTTTATAAGGAAAGGAAAGAGTGTATATTTTTCCACTGTCATGTTAGGCAAATGATGTTGGACTCCTTTCTTCTGCTTTCAGCTACAAAAGATCCCACCGCTGTAGAGAGAGCAAACTTGTTAAACATGGCTAAACTGAGTATCAAAGGACTCATTGAATCTGCTCTAAGCTTTGGCCGCACTTTGGATTCGGACTATCCCCCCTTGCAGCAGTTCTTTGTTGTTATGGAACATTGTCTGAAACACGGTCTTAAAGGTATCATGAGATTTTAAAAAATTAACTTTAGAATCTCCCCCTTCATCTTAAGCATCCTTGAAAATGTGATATTTTTTGAAGCCATATTACTTTCATTTAAAAATACTGGGTAGTTTGGTTTGGGGAGAAAATATGCTACTGCTTTATGTTTTCTGGTGTATCCTTCAGAAAAATGTTAGTTTTATAAATAGCATATTTAATTTTTAAATTTTTTTCAACATATTTTGAACTGGTTTCTATGTTCTAGGATGATTATAGTTATTTTTTTCAAATTTAAACTTGGTGGTTCTGATATAAAATCTTATTCTGATATGAACTCTTAAGAGTTTGAGCCCTATTGATCAAATACTTCATTGTTGAAATATAAACCTCCTTAGTGCATGGAAAGAGATCTAGAAAAATTGTCTTCTGGATTGGGTTGTTGTAGATATTGGAGCAGTCCTTGAAAATGATGATAATAGATATTTTATTCTTCTGCATAGTTCATATTGAGTTATTGCTACCAGAAATGTTTGTATTATATTTGGTTACCTAATATACATTGCAAATAACTTAATTATATTAGTAACTACTTATAGTAACAGTTGTTGGCAGTTTTGGTCTCTAGTTCATATGAACAACATCTATGTAGAGGGCTGTGTAAGTAAGGGTTGTATACTGGAGTGTCTGTTATATAGCAAAAGATTCTGGGTTCCTTATTGGTATACTGGACAACAGGGTAAATTGGGAAGACCTAGAAGTCAGATTATGGCACATGAAAGTGGGGTTCGTGTAAAAAGTAAAAGAGACTTGCCTAAATGTGGTTTTAGTAAATGATTAGTCATTACAAAGTTGTGCTGATTGATTTTCTCCCCTAATGAGAAACCCTATCTTAGTGGTTCTCCTTGGGTGACATATTTGATAGGTACACTGGATCTGCAGAGATCTGGTCAGTATTTAGAAAGAAACATATACTGGCCATAGTTTTTTTTTTTTTTTTTTTTTTAATAGATTTATTTATTTATTTATTTATACAAGCACTGGGTACAGTCAGAAGTGCAGGAGGGTGAGAGAATTCACCAGAGCCAGAGCAGGGAGCAGAGCAGGCAGAAGGACCAAAGTACACTGCTGAGGGGAGCAGCGGGCAGCAGGAGAGGTCTGCGCGCCATGTGGGACCCTCCACCGGTGGCCGGGGAGCAGCCGTGGATTGAACCGGCACTGCAGAGGCTGGGGGCATCTTCACAACCCAGCGCTCAACCGCTGCGCCACCAGGGAGGCCCAGTCATGGTTTTATGTTATTTAAGTTTCAGAATAAAATAAAAGGAAAAGGAAAGTCAGAATTGTTCATGTTTGATAGGAAAATGACTTTTTTGATGTTTTCCTTTTATTAAATGTCAATCAGTATCTATTGAGTTACCTACAAAGTGTGTGAATTATTTCAGCCATCATTTGCAAATTCCATTTTAGCAAGCTGGAGGGAAATAAAGGTCTATATCACTGCCATTAAAAAAAAAAGTTTTGTGGTTTTTTTTTTTTTCATGAAAGAAAATTAAAACTCAAGGCTTGAGATCACACTGGTGACTTTCTGATATATTAAAAGGAGTATTTAGAGAATGTTAATATAAAAGGTAAATAATCTAAAAAATAAGATATAAGCTTGAAAAAGAGTAGACAAAAATATGGAGAAACAAACAGTTACAGCCACTATTTTTTTTAATAAATCAGAGAGGCCTTCATTAATGCCAGTTCCCTATATCCTTTGACCCAAGTAACTTTACTCCTAGGAATCCTAAAGAAATCCCAGCATAAAAATAGTCAAGATTAAATAAAAATATTAGGAAAATGACTATTTTTGGTCCTTGATTTATTTAATAAACTGATAACAATCAACTTGGTAGGGATTCTAGCCTCTTTTTTCTGTACTGGTAAAGAGGGAGTTCACTTTTTTTTACTTTAATTACTTGCCTGTGTATTTCTGATGTGGAAGAATGGCTTGCATATTTCTCATAAGGAATAATATCAGGATCTTAATTAATAGGTCTATGTAGTGATAACAGAGGAAAGGTCACTGAATATTAAGAAATGTTGAAACTAAATATTTTAAAGGAAGTTATTTTATATATTGCTGTTGTATGTATTATTTTCTTTTTTCAGTCAGAAAATCATTTTTGAGTTATAATAAAACTATCTGGGGCCCGTTGGAACTAGTAGAGAAACTCTATCCAGAAGCAGAGGAAATAGGAGCCAGTGTCCGGGATTTACCTGGTCTTAAGTAAGTTATTTTATTGTTTGTTCATCCGTAACCACAGGGATATATTTACTATTCCTTAAAAGTACCTCACCTTCTAGTTTATTTTCTTCTCCCAACATTAAGTAGCATCATTCCATTCTCTTCTAGTAAAATTCTGTTCATTCTTTATGGTTTGGCTAAAATTTAATTTTTTTTCTGAAGTTTTTCTTAGCTTATTCCACACAGATTAGCTACTCATTTATATTTATGGCTATTCACTCTTTATTAGATCACTACTTAAATTTTATATTGCATTGCAGGAAGTTGCAAGTTCCTTTAAGAAAGAATGTATCAATTTTGCACCTCTGTTTCCTGAATGTTACTTAGTTTGCAGTAGAGGTCAATGAGTAACTATTTGTTAAAGATTGAGCATAAATCCATGGCAAAGGCTCAGGAGATTTGAGGTTTTGTTTTTCAGGTTTGAGTTTCAGATAAGCCATTTATATGCTATAGGTCTTATGCAAATTATTTTTCTTCCTCTGACAATTGGGACCTATAGTGTCACCTGCCGATTTTACTAGACAAATATATATGAAATATACAAAAAGTTCGAATAGTCTAATCTGTAATGCATCTGTGTTGAAAGTTTTGCAAGATAGTGTGTTATTAAGGCTAAGTTCTTATGCACTTTAGGGTATGATTAAGAGGGAAGAGCTCTGTTTAGTTTATCTTAATTTTTATTAATGAGGCAACTTTTTTTAAAAAGATTTATTCATTTATTTATTTATACAAGAACCGGGGTACAGGCCAGATGTACGGGAGGGTGAGAGGATTCACCAGAGACAGAGCGGGGAACAGAACAGGCAGACTGACGAAATACACTGCTGAGGGGAGCAGCGGGCACGACAGGAGAGGTCTGCCGCGCCATTGGGTTGCTCCCTGGCTGGCCCGGGATTGAACTCCTGCTGCAGAGCCTGCAGACAGCTTCATAGGTTGTATCTTAACCCCTTGTGCCACCAGGGAGGTCCCAGACCTAGTTTTAGAGTTAAATAGCAAGCAAGGGCCTCCCTGGTGGTGCAAGGGGTTAACCACAGCACTACAAAACTATCCCCACCCTCTGTAGCACAAGTTCCATCCCTGGTCAGGAAGTACCCACATGGCACAGCAGACCTCTCCTCTATCTCCTGCTGCTCCCCTCAGCAGTGTATTTCAGTGTATCTGCCTGTTCTGCTCCCCACTCTGTCTCTGGTGAATCCTTTCTCACCCCCCACCCCCCACACCTCTGGCCTGTACCCCAGTTCTTGTATGCCTAAATAAACCAATCTTTTAAAAAAATAAATAGCAAGTGATGTTCCCACTTGATATTTCTTTTTATTCTTTTTTTTTTTTTTTAAGATTTATTTATTTATTTATTTATACAAGCACTGGGTACAGTCAGAAGCGTGGGAAAGTGAGAGAATTCACCAGAGCGGGGAGCAGAGCAGGCAGAAGGACGGAAGTACACTGCTAAGGGGAGCAGCGGGCTGCAGGAGAGGTCTGCGCGCCATGTGGGACCCTCCTTCAGTGGCCGGGGAGCAGCCTGGGATCGAACCTGCTCTGCAGAGGCTGCGGGCAGCTTTTTAACCCAGAGCTCAACTGTTGCGCCACCGGGGTGGCTCCCCACTTGATATTTCTAATGATACATTTGCTGCAGTGATTTTTAACAATGACAGAGGAAAAAGGGGATTTCACCTCTCAAAAAGAGAAATATGGATTTGGTTTTACTTTAACAGGATTAAAAGTCAAACTCTAAGTAAAAGTGAAAAAATGTTTTCTTTTTTTTTTCAAAGATTTATTTATGTATATAAGAACTGGGGTGTAAGCCAGAAGTGCAGTGGTAGGGGGGAGGTGAGAGGATTCACCAGAGAGAGTGGGGAGCAGAACAGGCAGATCTACTGAAATACACTGCTGAGTGGAGCAGTGGGTGAGACAGGAGAGGTCTGCTGTACCACGTGGGTAGCTCCCTGGCTGGGGAGGGGAATGGAACTCTGCTGCAGTGGCTGGCGATAGCTTGATAGCATTGTCTTTAACCCCCACCCCCGGCCTACACCCCAGCTCTTGCATGCATAAATAAATAAAGTAAACCTTAAAAAAAGAGAGAGATATATAGAACATGTAGTTTATAATCTTTGGGGCTATTTTCTGACAATTTGGTTTTGCTTTTCAGGACCCCTCTGGGTCGTGCAAGAGCCTGGCTTCGATTAGCTCTTATGCAAAAAAAGATGGCTGATTACCTGCGTTGCTTAATTATTCAAAGGGATCTCTTAAGGTTAGTACCATTTAATCAAATTCATTTTTATTTTTGTTTCATGTCTGTCCAGTCTTCCAAAAAGGATTGGAGTTGTAGTACAAAAGAATATATAACATACAATCAAATAGCGTAAAATTAAAGAGGAGGAAAGTGAGAGTGAAAGTCATGGTAGGGACATAACATTGATCAGTAGCTAGCCTTAAAAATGAACACCATATGTTTTTTATTAACTAATAAGTGGGAAATTTATATTTCTAAGTTTTACCTTTTCTAAATTACAGTTAATTTTATGGATAAAATTTGTGTGGGAATTTAGGCCATTAATTCAAAAGGTTTCTTTTTTGATCTTCAATGTCCAAGCTACTGCTTCAATTGTATTTTGAGTACTTTTTAAACAATTGTTTTAAATTGAAGGCCAGATGATTAACAAAATATAGTTATCAGTTCTTGAAGGGAATAGCCCTTGGGAGACCCTCCATTTGTCCTTGTTCTCTTAGGGTATCTCTCTGATATTTTGGAGAATGTAATCATTTTTGGTGTTATTTGTGACTGTGTTTGTACATCTTGGTTTTTGCGTTTGTTAAAATGAGAACAACTGTACTTTAAGCACTTGTAGTTACTCAGTAATACTCTGAGGTTAATTAAAGTCATTAAAATAACATACATGGAAATTTTTGTGTAATACATGAGACGATAACCTATTCTCTGAATATAAATTGACAAGTCTTATGTTTTTTTACTGTCCTTAATTCCTCCACAACTTTCTTATTTAAACATTTTTAGGATTTTGATATCTATAAGTATCTTTATTTTTTTAATCAAGGTATAATTGACATTTTTTTGGTGTGTATTTAAAAAAATTTTTATTGAAAAATTTTTTGTATATTTTTTAGGTAATTATATTAGTTTTAGGTATATAACATATTCAATATTTATATATTTTGTTGAACATCTATAACATAGTCATAAATTTTTTTCTTATAAGAACTTTTAAGGTTTAGTCTTAGCAACTTTCAAAATTGCAGTACTCTGTTATTAACTATTGTTGCCATGCTGTACATTATTTCCCTGTGACTTATTTTAATTAATTAATTAAAGATTTATTTATGCATACAAGAGCTGGGGTACAGGCCAGAGATGTGGAGGGGGGTTTGTGAGAGGATTCACCAGAGACAGAGTGGGGAACAGAAGAGGCAGACTGACTGAAGTACACTGCTGAGGGGAGCAGCGGGAGAGTCAGGAGAGGTCTGCTGCACAATGTGGGTTGCTCCCTGGCTGGCCTGGGATTGAACTCGTGCTGCAGCCACTGTGGACAGCTTCATAGGTTGTATCTTAAACCCTTGTGCCACCAGGGAGGCCCATGACTTATTTTACAATGGAAATTTGTACCTTTTGACCCCTTTTATCCATTTCCCTGCCCCACGTATCACCCTACCTCTAACAATCACCAATGTATTGTCTGCATCTGTAAACTTTTTTTTTTTTTTAAAGATTCCATGTGTAAGTGAGATAGCATGGAATTTGTCTTTCTCTGTCTTATTCCATTTAGCATAATGTCCCCAAGATCCATTTATGTTGTTGGAAATGACATGATTTCATTCTCTTTTATTTATGAATAATATTCCTTTATAAAAATATAGCGCATTTTCTTCATCCATTCAATTAGTGGATAGTTAGGTTCATGAATATCTTTAACATATGATTATCTATTGAGAACATTTGCAATATACATATCAAATGCCACTGACTTGAATTTTGTTTTTTTTTTTTTTGTTTGTTTTTTTTTGTTTGTTTTTGTGGGACCCTCACCGATGGCCAGGGATTGAACTGGCGCTGCAGAGGCTGGGGGCAGCCTCGCAACCTAGCACTCAACCACTGTGCCACTAGGGGAGGCCCACTGACTTGAATTTTGGCTTTGAAATATTTTGTATATTCATTTCCCCAACTTACTCTTTATCCCAAGAGTCTTAGTAAACCATAGATTTGAAAATTCAGTCAAATAATTTCAACTAATAAGAAGTAGTATAATCAGATCAGCAACTGTCATCATGTCCTGAGAGTGAAACGTTCCAGGCCTCAGTGATCCTCTTTTCATTTTGATCCCTCTTTTTTTTCCTCAAAATTCTTTCCCTTTTTTATTGCTTTCAGTCTCTTCTGTCAAAACTTTCTGTGTAGGCCCTTAAGTCTTCAAATTTTGGTTACTTACATATAGAAAGGCTGGTTGAAAATACCTCATTTAATATGGTTTCATGCTTATAATCGGGGGCTGAGGAATTTTAAATTTAGTTTTGAAATTTTTGATTTAAGCTTTTTTCATTTTAATGTTTACAGTGAATTCTATGAATATCATGCACTAATGATGGAAGAAGAAGGATCAGTAATTGTTGGGCTGCTGGTTGGCCTGAATGTGATAGATGCTAATCTTTGTGTTAAAGGAGAAGATTTAGACTCACAAGTAAGTGCAAGTGACCAGTGCCCCAATGCAGAATGTTCCTATTTGCACTGTTTCTCTTTGATCCAGATATTATTTTTTTCTTTTAAAGATTTATTTATTTATTTATTTATTTATTTATTTATTTATTTATTTATTTATATAAGCACTCGGTACAGTCAGAAGTGTGGGAGGGTGAGAGAATTCACCAGAGCCAGAGTGGGGAACAGAACAGGCAGACTGATGAAATCACTGCTGAGGGGAGCAGCGGGCAGCAGGAGAGGTCTATGCACCATGGGGGACCCTCGCTGGTGGCCAGGGATCCAACCTGCACTGAGAGGCTATGGGCAGCTTCGCAGCCTGGTGCTCAATCGCTGCGCCCACCAGGGGAGGCCCCAGATATTATTTTAAGTTGTAAATAGTGCTGTTAAATACTAAAGAAGAAATAAGAATGAAATTCAGTTGCATGTTATAAGTAATTCTAATATTTTCCCTTTAAATAAAAATGGCTTTATTTTAGGTTGGAGTGATTGATTTTTCTATGTATTTAAAGAATGAAGAAGATATTGGAAATAAAGAAAGGTATGATTTTCTTAAGTTATTTCACCTGGATTTTTTTTATGTAGCTCTGTATAAATCAGTCTGAGATCCATCTATTTTCAGTGTAATTTTTATTTTCTTTATTCCTCTACATTGTTTTTACTTCAGTTTACAAGCTTTACAATGCAAATGTCACTTGGAAGAAGGAGGCTTTAGTATGAAGTACAACTTTTGGTTACACCCTTATAGTTTCTGAGACCCATTTTGAATAGTTAAGTGTGTCTTATGATAAAAAGGGATAAAACCTTATTTTCTTAAACTTAAAAATGCCGTTTTTTTCAAGAACTAATTGTGCTTTAATTTAAAATACACAAATGGTCTTGTTAAGTCTAGTAATTTAACAAAAGTTACAGTTATTTAGTATACAACTTATTGCTACATGATTACATAGATTCTTGAGTTTTGTTTTAAAAATAATACTGTTTTACCATTATGGTTTTATAGTAATTTTAGCCCCCAAATACTTTTCCAACTAGCATAAAGCTACTTTGTTCTTTCTCTAGGAATGTTCAAATTGCTGCCATATTAGACCAGAAGAATTATGTTGAAGAATTAAACAGACAACTGAAGTAAGTATTATTGGTACTTGGATACTTTGTTACACTTATGCCTGTTTTAATTTTGTTTTCTCCTTCAGGTCAGCTTACCGCTGTCTTTTATTTCTAAGTATCATTGAGAAGGGGTTAAGGTGATAGTGAACAGAAAGTAAAAATACAGAGAATTATTGGTGATAATTCATTTCCAGGAGAAAATGAGAGTCAGATTTTTAAATAGAATCATCAGACTATTTTAAAATGAAAATTTCAAACTTATTCCTGTAAGCTTGAGAAAAAAGGCTGGATGGGGTGGAAGTTTATATCATTTTGATGGTTCAAAAATTCATTTTTCCTACTTCAAAGGGCTCATATGTAAATGTGAACTGTCATCTTCCATGATGGAAGTTTTCTCCTTACATTGTGATCCGGTCATAGAAGCCATCAGTGAATACTCTGTGAAGAATTTCTGACATCTGTATGTAAAATAGTATAGTGTAGTTCTTTCTAACAGAAATATAATGTGAACATATAGGTAATTTAAAATTTCTAGGGGGTCTCTCTGGTGGCACTGGGGTTAAAGTCTCAGCGCTATCAAGCTATCGCCAGCCACTTCAATATGAGTTCAGTCCCCAGCCAGGGAGTTAACTAACCCACATGGCACAGTAGACCTCTCCTGTCTCTCCTGCTGTTCCCTTCAGCAGTGTTCTGTTCCCCACTCTGTCTCTGGTGAATCCTAACCCACTGTGCCTCTGGCCTACACCCCAATTCTTGTATGCATAAATATAAAACTAAATCTGTAAAAAAAAATTCTACGATCCACATTTAAAGGGTAAAAAAAAAAGATTAAAATTAGGCAGATTGACTGAAATACACTGCTGAGGGGAGTAGTTGGCGAGTCAGAAGAGGTCTGCTGAGCCATATGGGTCAGTTCCCTGGCCCTGGATTGAATTCATGCTGCAGTGGCTGCGGATTGCTTCATAGGTTGTGTCTTAACCCCTTACACCACCAGGGAGGTCCCTCTGTCTTTTAAATTTTTTTATTTAATAGTTATAGCAATATTAGTGATCTATTTTTGTATATTTTATATGTTAAAAGGTTTTATTGTTTTCTAATAAGTGGTTCTGTGCACTTAGAATATTTTAGAAATACAGAAAACGTAAAGAAAAAAATAGAATTTACCTATTATTTCTCATGCAAGAAAACCACTAATTGAGACTTTATTTTTTTCAAAGTGCTTTTATTATTATTTTATTGATTCTTATCTGAAAAGCAGGATAAATATTACTGTTTAATTTTATAGGTAAAGAAACCAAAGCTCAGAAAGGTTTTATAGCTTTTGAGTTGACACAGAAAATAGAAAAGCCAGTCTTAACCTTCCATTTCCTGATCCTATACTTGTTAAATCTTACTATCAATATACCATGGTGCTATTTCTGAAAAACTCAAGTTTAACCTAAGAATCAAGTTTAACCTAAGAATCTTTATATTTTAAAAAGATTTTGGGGCCTCCCTGGTGGCACAAGGGGTTAAGCACTGCTCTATGAGGCAATCTGCAGCCTCTGCAGCATGAGTTCGATCCCCGGCGGGCCAGGGAGCAACCCACATGGCACAGCAGACCTCTCCTTACTTGCCTGCTGCTTCCCTCAGTGGACCTTTTATTTTATTTATTTATTTATTTATTTATACAAGCACTGGGTACAGTCAGAAGTGCGGGAGGGTGAGAGAATTCACCAGAGCCAGAGCGGGGAACAGAACAGGCAGACTGATGAAATACACTGCTAAGTGGATCAGCAGGTGCAGCAGGAGAGGTCTGCGCGCCATGTGGGATCCTTGCTGGTGGCTGGGGATCGAACCGGCACTGCAGAGGCTGCGGGCAGCTTCGCGGCCCAGCGCTCAAACACTGTGCCACCAGGGGAGGCCCAGACTTTTTATATTAAAAAAAAATAGATTTTGTAAGTATAAAAACATTTTTATTTTACCAGTGAAACTAAAATGTCATTACTTATTTTATAGCAATGGTGCTATAAAATGTTATATATTTATTAGAGATTTTGTAGTAATGTATATAGCACACTGCATTTTATTAGAAAAAGTTTGACATGATAGAATCAAGCATGCCTTGAATAATAGATTCAGTAAAGTCTAAATGATGTCATGTTGATCGATTCAAACAAAAATGCTAAAAACAAGTGTGTGTATGGTGCAAACTTTCTTTTGACTATCCCTTGAGACATGGAATATTTGCTCTGTTGAAGGCTTAATTATAAAATGGACATTTGAAGCTCATCTTTTAAAAAATAATTTAAAATTTATTTTTAACAATATTAGTCATTTTTATTTTTGAAGATTTTATTTATGCATACAAGAGCTGGGGTACAGGCCAGAGATGTGGGTGTGAGAGAATTCACGAGAGACAGAATGGGGAACAGAACAGGCAGACTGACTGAAATACACTGCTGAGGGGAGCAGCAGGCGAGACAGGAGAGGTCTGCCTCACCATGTGGATTGCTCCCTGCCTGGCTGGGGATTGAACTAGTGCTGCAGAGGCTGCGGATTACTTCATAGTGTGGTGCTTAACCCCTTGCACCACCAGGGAGGCCCACAATATTAGTCATCTTTGTGTGGAATTTCCATTCCTAAATATTATAAATTAAGCATAAGAAGAACATTTAAGATGAAACAAACAAATGAGCAACATCAAATGGAATTTTAATGGGAATATTGATTATTTTCTCATAGTGTTTATTACTTTCCTAGCCAAATCAGGTTAACCACTGAATGAAATTTTCCACATTAAAAAAATTCAATCAACATAATCCAGAATAACATAGTTTTTCTTGCCATTATATGATATTGAGTGAGTTTTTTTCTTTATTAATTTCAGCAGCACAGTCAGCAGTCTCCATTCAAGAGTTGACTCATTAGAAAAATCAAATACTAAGCTGATTGAAGAGGTATTGTTACCCAACCATGTGTAATTGTCTTTCATGAGCCTAATATTTATGATCCTTTTCCAATTTAAATATAAATGCATTAAGAATGTACATGCGAAAAAAAAAAAAGAATGTACATGCGCACATAAAACACATACATACACATTTTCATTATTATGATGGAATACTTATAGTTGTAATTGATGATTATTATAAGTTTTAAACCATATATTCTTAGGTAATTCTCAGGTAACTGAAAGATATATTTGAGACACTCAACTTCTAGAAATGGGCTTTCAAATGAAACTGATACAGATTCTTCTATATATAGGCTGATTCTCTTTTTAAAATTGGAATGACCCTGTATTTAATAGTGGAGTCATCTGTTATTAGAAATTCCTGTTTAAATGATGGTGGCCCTCTTGTTCCACTAGTCAGGTTACTGTTTTTTACAAGCATCATGGCATGATCATGTCCACCCCTTAATCCACCCTCCTATGAGTAAATTCATCCCATGTGCTCCTGTTTCCTGCATTGTGAAAGTGGCTGTCTGGTGGTCCTAGAGCCAGAAATTATCCTAACATTCTTTTTAATACATTTATACATTTGCTTTTTAGATAATTAAAAACAAATCTATCAAACCATAGAATTTTTGCTTTCTATTCAGAATTATCTAGATAAGAAGTCTGTTATTAGTGCTGTGAATCTTATTTTTCATTTTAATTAAACTTATTTTTTTAGAACTGGCTTAATTTTATAAAACAGGGAGCACATAATTATTTGTGTGACTGCATTTAAGAAAGCATCCTCATTTTGATAGTAGAACTTCTGGTTAAGAGAGATGCTCAACAGTTTGTGCCTCTTACACGTCTTTGCAGTTTCACTGTTTAACTCATAGTTTACATGCTTGCTTTATTTTCAGGACATGTTAGTTTTAACTAACATAATGGTAGAAACAAAAAGTATAATTTCTTTAATTGCTATCTTGGTATAATATGGGGCACATTTTTCTTATGAAGTTTTCTGTAAATGTGAAAGACAAAATGTTTTAGGATTTTATTTTTTATTATAAAATTTGTAACCATGAGCAAAATAGATAAAGCAAGTGTAAAGATGTTTAAAATCCTCTTTCTTTCCTGTTTTGTAATTTTTAGTTAGCAATAGCAAAGAATAACATCATTAAACTCCAAGAAGAAAATCATCAGTTACGAAGTGAAAATAAATTAATTTTAATGAAAACACAGCAGCAACTAGAGGTAAGTATAGAATAATTACAGTCTGTGTCAAAAAATTCCGCTCTTAGGGATTTTGCATAATAGATATTTCTAAGCTGTTGTAATAGTAGTGATTATTTTTTTTTTTAATTTTTTTTTTTAATAGAGGCATGTTTTTATTTATTTATTTATTTGTTTGTTTGTTTTGTTTATACAAGCACTGGGTACAGTCAGAAGCGCGGGAGGGTGAGCGAATTCACCAGAGCCAGAAGGGAGAGCAGAGCAGGCTGACTGACGAAGTACACTGCTGAGGGGAGCAGCAGGCGGCAGGAGAGGTCTGCGTGCCATGTGGGACCCTCGTCCGGCGGCTGGGGATTGAACCGGCACTGCAGAGGCTGAGGACAGCTTCACAGTGTGGCACTCAACTGCCTGCACCACCAGGGAGGCCCAATAGTAGTGATTATTGAATAAAAAGTTTTATGTTTTCTTTTTAGGTTACCAAAGTGGATGTGGAAACCGAGCTTCAAACATACAAGCATTCTCGGCAGGGCCTAGATGAAATGTATAATGAAGCCAGGAGGCAGCTTCGAGATGAATCTCAGTTACGACAGGTAGATTATATTAGCTAATAATAATAATAATAGTAATTATATTGTAAATATGTGTATGTAAATATGTTTGCAACCACCACCAGGGGAGAGTATTGTCAGACTTACTATCTCTTTTGCTGTTTGTCTTTAATGGTTTTTTTTTTTTTTTTTAATATTTATTTATTTATTTATTTATACAAGCACTGGGTACAGTCAGAAGTGCGGGAGGGTGAGAGAATTCACCAGAGCCAGAGCGGGAGGCAGAGCAGACAGAAGGACCGAAGTACACCACTGAGGGGAGCAGCAGGCGGCAGGAGAGGTCTCCGCGCCATGTGGGACCCTCCTCCGGTGGCCGGGGAGCAGCCGGGGATTGAACTGGCGCGGCAGAGGCTGCGGGCAGCTTCGCAACCCAGCGCTCAACCGCTGTGCCACCGGGGAGGCCCTGTTTGTCTTTAATGTTAAGGAACTCTTTTCCTTCTGAAATTAAAACTGTGAAATTGAATTTTTGAGTTACCTTTATCTACACTTTTACAGATTGCTTCATTTCATTTTCTTTAAGGAAAATTACCACTAAATATATGAGGCATAAATATATATAATTCTAGAGCCAGTAAAATAGTGATAATTAATAAAGTATAGAAAATACTTTCATTTTAGTGAAATGTGCATTTGAAAATATTTCGATTGTTATTTTGTCTTATAGAATCTGATTGATTGCCTACAGTTGGACTTGTAACTTGAAACCAGTAACATACATATTGAATGGAAATTCTTGATCTCATTAACTGTTGTAATCTGATTTTGACACTCTAAAGTGAATTCAGGATATGTTGATATTGCAGGATGTGGAGAATGAACTGGCAGTACAAGTCAGTATGAAACATGAAATTGAACTGGCCATGAAGTTGTTGGAGAAAGATATCCATGAGAAACAAGATACTCTGATAGGCCTTCGACAACAGTTAGAAGAAGTTAAAGCAATTAACATAGAGATGTATCAAAAGTTACAGGTAAGGAACATTCTTAAATTTTAAATTCTTAAAATTTCTTACACAAGTTGACAGTGAATATTTGTATGAAGGATTTGTTTTTCAATAGATGAAACCATTTTAACTGTACCATATTAGTAGCAAAATTAGTGACTTTTTTTCTAAATTGGAAGCTTAAGAAATATAGCAAAGAGAAAAGGTATCAAAGAACAAACAAAATCACTGATCTGAATTTGTTTCTTGATGCTGAAAGGTTAACAGAATCCTTTCTTAATACTGAAAGGTAACAAAATAGAAGAGTAATAAACCTTTTAGAAAACTCTCTAAAAATTCAAGACATTTTTGTGGGCTACTTTACACAGTACAATTCTGATACAGATTTACTTTTGACTAAAATACTTTACTATAAAAATTATTATGAATTTCCTAATAAATTGACATTGCTGTTGCAGACTTATTGCCAAAAACCCACAATTCAATTTTCAAAATAGCCTCTTTTATAGCAGTTTAATCTGTTGTCTTTTAAAAACATTGAAGACTGTTTTTTTCTCTACTATATTTTAAATAAAATGTAGATGTATAATGAAATATAGAAATATAGAATATAGTAGAAATATAGAAATATAGAAGTAGAATGAAATACAGTAAAAGACTAGTAGTACTGCTGCTTCATATTGTAGGAATATTTTAACCTATTTCAAAGTAATTCCACAGCAAAATGGCACAATAAACTTACAAATATTCAGGTTCCAAAATAAAACCCACTATAGCTTTTATATTTTTGTAAATAGGGTTCTGAAGATGGTTTGAAAGAAAAAAATGAAATCATTACCCAATTAGAAGAAAAAACCAATAAAATTACTGCAGCCATGAGGCAGCTGGAACAAAGGTACAGCATTTCTGATTTGTTTCTTTTTTTCGTTCTTTTCTCCCTTTTCTTTATTTAATTCTGACACCTGCCACAAAAACCATTAGGAAACTTTACATTAGGACCTGGTTTTTCTTAAGCCCAGCAGAATTTTTGCCTTTTTGTTTTGGTTGTTGCATGGAATCAAGTTGCTTTATATTAGGCTGATTCATTTGAACTTTTCAATTTGTAGATTTTTAAAAAAAGGCCTAATATCAGCAATTTCATGTGGTTCAATCTTTTGCATAAAACAAATATACAAACAGAAACCTTGATAAAATGAATAAAATCCATGGTGGAATTATCCCTATTGATTTCCATGCATATTAATTGTCATATCCTTTATCATTCACCATCTCTTTTTCTGAAATCAAGCTTTCTGAGTTGGCAGTTGTGTTTCTTTGAACTAGGACCCTCAACGCAAACCAAGAAATAATTTTGTTTAAATTGAATTGTTTTATATTGGCATTTTTCACTTTTATTGTTGGAAAATGTAATGTATTTCCATTGACCTGTCATGTTGGTGTCAACATATGTCTTATCATTGCTTTCTTTGAATCTACTTATGAAAAACATAACTATTAATGCTTTATTGACATGAATATTCTTTTATTGACATCCTCTTTCTTCTTTTTTCTTTTTTGTTTTCTTTATCCCCATTTTTACATTTTGGACATCTTTATTACTTTTTTCTGTCTTTGATTTCTGTCCATTCCATTATGAAGTGATAATGATTTGTTAACTCAAACTAGGACAATTGCAATGTCATTGGTCAAATGTGCCAGCAGTGACACTCAGGACCAGTATAAGCTGGTCAAAGATATATCTTTCTGAAAAAACACTTATATTTAAACAGACTAAAAGAAAATCAACAATTCTGTAATATATTAAATAGAAAAGAATTTATGCTACTACTATGTATTCTAAAAGGGTGTCAGGAACCCTGTGCACTTCTTGAACAGCTGGTGTGGTACTACACTACCACAGAACAGAGTGGGTGCACTTGGATTTTAAAAAAAAAACACATTCTGCAAACCTTGTGCACAAGGACTGATTTGAATATTGACCCTTTGAAGGTCAGGATTTTCAAATTCAGTTTTATCTTTTTAAAGCTACTTTTTGATGAAAAATATGATAATTGTGTAAAAATAAGTTAACCTTTGTTTAGCCATGTGTTGGCACAGATTTTTTCCCCCCCTTTTGGCCCACTCTTTGCCTAATGGCTCCTTTACTATTTTTTAATATGTTTTTAAATAGTTTATAACCAGATTGGCCATTCTCTTGTTCTTTTACACATCAGTTTTCCAGTTCTCCTTTGCCCTATGATAGCACAACTTTGAGGCCTACCTCACTCTTACTTTAGTTCCTGTAAATTCAGATTAAAGCTTGGGGCCCCATCCCCTCCTAATATTTTTAATTTAAATTTAGATTTAGAGATAACTTGGATGTTTTTCTCTTTTCCTTCGAAGTGGCATTTATACTTTGAAATATGTGAGGGTTGGCCCATTGGTATGATTTTGAGGAAGAAAAGAGGCACTTTTTTTGGTTGTTGTTAGTTGAATAGAAATTTTTCATTTAATTCCTTACAAGGAGTTAATATCCCTTGCATACTTTGGAAATGTTTTCTTATAAAAACTTTGAAGTTGAATCTCAGAAATTCTAGATGGCCATAGGAGGCAGGGAGTGGAGCTAAGCATAGGGAGAAGCAATGACTTACAAATAAAAACAGGAAAAATGAAAATCACATTTTTAGCTAATTTTTAAATTCAGCGACAAGGAACAAAAATGATGTCTAGTGAATGTTGCCAACCAGCACTAAATTCTTTTGAATCTTAAAAAATACAAACGCGTGCACACAAATGCAAATACAGCTTTCGCATACTTTAATAAACACATAAATATCCTGTAGGGAGGACTTGGCTGTTATTTGATGTAATTGCAGGTCTTTGCTCTTGGCCTTGTAGCACACTTGATTCCTGGCATATACATCCTAGCATAATATATAACAATGTGGCTTCTTCACCTAGTGTAGACGTAACAGCTATGCTTTTCATGGTTTTGTAAAAAGTCAGTAATGCACCTATTATATTTTGAAAGTTAATTCATTATGCTCTACATAAGTGGGAAAGGCTGTATTTCTTTGCATTGTTAATTATGAACAAGAAATAAAACAAATTTGAAGATAATATACTGGGCATATTATATGTTATATTGAAAAAAATCACAAAACAATTTCTAGACATTGTGTGGCTCTTTCACGTTTGAGTTTGTGAGTTTTCCCAAACTTTGTTTTCATTTAGAAATGTTTCTATTTCCCCATTTTTCTTTTATTTGTCTTCTTCACCCTTTTACACCCTAGTTCTAGCCTCAGTTTTACCCAAAGTTGATTTGAATTACACCAGATTGCAGCAAGCAGAGAAGGCGCAAATGGAAGCTGAAGAAGAGGACAAGAAATATCTACAAGAATGTCAGAATAAATCCAGCAGTCTGCAGAAACAAATCTCCCAAAAGGAGAAACAACTGTGAGTATTTTACTCTTAGAACAAATTCTTATGTTAATATAATTCCCACTACCCTCTTTTTTTGTACATAATGATAGAACACCTTTATTTTCATTTGTTTAATGATATCAGCTAGATCATGGAGATCTCCTTAAATAATAAAAAAAAAATTAGAAGATATAATTACCATAAAACATGTTTTATTCCTTTTCTTATTTAAAAGCACTTTCAATTCTGTCTTATATCTTATTGCTCTACAAGAGTTTCATTCTTTCTGCTGCTATTTAACACCAATCTAATCACTAGTAAGTTTCTAGATACTGAATAGGGAAGGCCTTTGTAAGTCCAAGGAGTTTATATTATCAAAGAACATGATGCATTCTGAGAACATTTTTATTAGTATTTCATGTGCCAGCTTTCTATATCACTAACTAGGAAGTGAAGTCAGTATATGATGATGTCAGTATACTTTATTGAGTTGAAAATAACAGTTGCAGCTGGTCTGCTAAGTATGACCTCATTTTTCACAAAATTAAAATCATGCACTTGTGTATATTTACATATACATAGAAAAGACTTTAAAATAGATTCTAAGAGAACGATTATCTCAGCAGAGTAATGGCAGATTGACAAGATTATTTTAGTTTTTACTTTATATCCTCTCCCCCCAGTAAATATGTGCCTCTTGTATTATTAAAAGAAAATCCCCCCAAAAGAGAGTTTTGATTACTGTTTAACAAATCATTAAATAAGACCACATAGCAGGTATGAAGTTTCACTTGCTAAACTGCCTTTTTATCCATTGGTTGAGCTTTTGTTACAGTCTTCTCTGTCCTTGCTGATTTTCTGTATAGTAGTTCTGTCAATTAGCAAGAAAGGTTTTGTTGAAATATCTAACTATAACTGTGAATTTGTATATTTCAGCTTTGAGTTCTATCCATTTTTACCTCTTATATTCTGAAATTCTGTTGTTTGATACTGACGCATTTACAACTGCTAAGTCTTTTTGCTGAATTAATCTTTTTATCATTTTATAATGACTGTCTCTGGTAATTTTCTTTGTTTTGAAGTCTACATTAACTAGTTAAAAAAAGAAGTCTACATTTTTTCCGATGGTAATATAGCCACTCCTGCTCTTTGAGTAATATTTTCATGTAGTAGATAAAGATTAATGTTTGCATTTTTTTCTTTATTTTCAGCCTAACCTTTATCATATTCAAAGTGAATTTCTTATATTTCATGTTTTTTATCAGTTCTGTTACCCTCCCTTTTAATAAGTTTCTAACCCATGTAGATTTAGTGTAATTGTTGATATATTAGAGCTTAATCTATTATTTGATTGTTTGGTCTTGTCCTTTTCATTTTCCCTGTCTTCCATGGGTTACTTGAACATTATTTATAATACCTTTTTAATTTATTTGTAGTGTTTTTGAGTGTATCTCTTTGTATATAGTTCAGTGGTTGCTTTCGACATTATATGTTTGCAGTTTTTTAAAGTCTACTGTTACAACATTTTACTACTTTGAATGATGTATGAAAGCCTTATAACCACTTAGATCTTTTTACCATCTCCACTTTATAATTTGCTTAAATATTTCCTCTACATAATGTTGAGAACCATATCAGCTGTTGTTACAGTTTGGGCTCCTACCACTAAATATAATCTAGAAAATACTTTCTTTTGTTCTTTCTTCTTTTCTCATGTTCCAAGATTCATTCTTTGTATCTGAAGAACTTCCTTTATGAATTCTTTTAGAGTAGGTCTTGTTGGAAACAAATTGTCACAGTTTTCTCTCTTCTGAGGAGGTCTTGACTTACTTTCTTTTCTGAAGGATATTTTCAGAATATCGTTAGAATTCTGAGTTGATAGTTCTTTTCTCAGCATTTCAAAAGTGTATCACTTTCTTTGGTCTTCATGGTTTCTGGTGAAAAATAAAGTATTACTTGAATCATTGGCCTTCTAACCACTGCAGATTTTTTCTTTTGATTTATCCTTTTTTTTTTTTTTTTTTTTTTTTATAGAGGCATGTTTTATTTATTTATTTGTTTGTTTTGTTTATACAAGCACTGGGTACAGTCAGAAGCGCGGGAGGGTGAGAGAATTCACCAGAGCTAGAGCGGGGAGAGCCAGAGCGGGGAGCAGAGCAGGCAGAGGGACCAAAGTACACTGCTGAGGGGAGCAGCGGGCGGCAGGAGAGGTCTGCGCGCCATGTGGGACCCTCCTCCGGTGGCCGGGGAGCAGCCGGGGATCGAACCGGTGCCGCAGAGGCCGCGGGCAGCTTCGCAACCCAGCGCTCAACCGCTGCACCACCGGGGAGGCCCTGATTTATCCTTTTTTGACTTTGGTCAGTTTCTTGAATCTTTTGGTTTATCATTACCAGCTGTGGAAAAATTTTAACCATTCTTTTTTCAAATGTTTTTCTCATCTGAAGTGGTTGCTTTCCTCTGGTATTTTGCTGGATATTTATTGTCAAAAAGTTTTTCGTTTTATTTTTATCATGCTTGGTTTGTCTCTTACCAGTATTTTGACTCCAGAGAGCAGGCTTTTCTTTGAGAATTTTTTTTGTCTATGTGCATTGCTGTTTGTGGGTGCAGACTTTTCCAGCACTCAGTCTGAGCTATAGAGGAAGCCAAAAAAAAAAAAATCTCGGGAAACTCACCACCATGTTATTCTTGAATCCTGGAATTACAGCTTATCTGCTTTCTTCTTTTCTACTTTTGAAATCTTATGTTTGTTTACACATGATGTCCAGGATTTTTTTTTTACTATACGTAGTTGGAAAGGTAGGGGGAAAGTTGTTTACTTTATTGGTTCGGAAACACAATTCTAAGTTCCCTTTAAATCTGACACAAAAGCAATATTTTGAGAAGTTGGTATATAGAATAATACTTTAAGGTAAGGAAATATTATCTTGGTTGAAAACTTGTATATATATGTACATTGTGAAATTAAATTCTGCCCCTCCACAGCAAAAACATGCATCAAACAGACATTTTCTCTTAATTTTAAGACTTTTACAAAAAGACAGCCACCACTTTTAGGGCTCTCTTTTTTTACAAAAAGACAGCCACCACTTTTAGGGCTCTCTTTGACAACAGAAATCATAAGAGTGGTTTTTTTTTAAATTATTTATGCATACAAGAACTGGGGTACAGGCCAGAGGTGTGGGGGATGAGAGGATTCACCAGAGACAGAATGGGGAACAGAACAGGCAGATTGACTGAAAATACACTGCTGAGGCAGTGGGCGAGTCAGGAGAGGTCTGCTGCGCCATGTGGGTAACTCCCTAGTCAGGATCGAACTCATGCTGCAGTGGCTGAGGATAGCTTTGTTAGGTTACATCTTAACCCCTTGCGCCACCAGTGAGGCCAGGAGCATTTAAGTCATCAAGTTATTAATGGTGCCAACACAAAAGCAAGACTGGGTCACTTTGCCAGTCAGTGGAGTACTGTCTTAAAACCTTGGTACTCTTGTTACTGAATCACTTTTCTAGAGTTTGACAGAGTATAGGTAAGACAAATTTGGTATTTGTTCTACAATGATGTAGGATAACCAAAGGACGACCCAAATAATAATATAGACACCTGACCCTTCCCTATAGGCCTTACCTACTCAGTAAGACTTGGGTACATCTGCAGAGAGATGTTGTTTGTCCCTGATGAAATCATGATATTTGGTCTGTTTTTAGTAGCGTATGAACAATTTGAAGATTAGGGGATACCTAATGGATCAGAAAAATTGAAACTGTATCTGTGGAAATGGGCAGTTGGAAATTTGTCGGAGTAAAACAGATTTTATTTTTTCCCCTAGAATGGAAATAACTTTATTGCTGTCTGATTATGAAAATATTACATACTTTTGGCCAGAAAATAAGAAAATGTGCAAAAATGTTAAGAAAATAAAAATTAGAGCTAACCTTTTAAAAATATATATATTTTTAAATATTTATTTATTTATGCATACAAGAACTAGTGTGCAGGCCAGAGATGTGGGGATAAGAGGACTCACCAGAAACAGAATGGGGAGCAGAAAAGGCAGATATGCTGAAACACATTGGTAAGGAGAGCAGTGGGTGAGACAGAAGTCTGCTGTGCTGTGTGGGTCAGCTCCCTGGCCGGGGATCGATCTCAGGCCTCAGTGTTGATAGCATAATAGTGCTGAGACTTAATCCCTACGCAACCAGAGAGAACCTAAAAATATTTTGATGGATATCCTGCATTTTAGTTTTATAAAGTATTCATTTAGGTTTACAAAATAATTACATTTGACTATGTTTTGAAATGATCTTCGTTTTAAGCCTATTTACCATCTTTTCTTAGCAACTTTAAAATCTGTAATATTACTGATTACATTCCACATGCTAATATTGCATCTCCTTGACTTATTTATTTTGTAGCTGGATCAGGTTTGCTGTTTCACCCACCCTCCTTCTTTCCTCCCTGGTCTTAACCACCATCTATTTTCTGTCTCCTTGATTTTATTTTGCTTGTTTTGTTTTTTAGATTCCATATGTAAGTGAAATCATACAGTATTTGCCTCTCTGTCTGGCTTATTTCTTTTAGTATAATACCCTCAAGGCGCATCCTATGTTATGGCAATAGTTCTTTCTTTTTCATCCCTGAAGTAGTCTATCATATATATAGTCCTGACACTTAACAACAGGGAATGCATTATTAGGTAATTTCATCATTTCATCGTGTGAATGTCACTGAGTATACTTACACAAACCTAGATGGTATAGCCTATTATTCACTTAGGCTGTGTATAAGGATCACCATCAGATATGTGGTATGTGATCTATCATTGACTGAAATTTCTTAGGTGGAACATCAGTGGACTTCTAACTTAGGTTGTTTTCACAGCTGACTACTATAGATAATGCTACAAAGAACACAGGGTGTATGTGTCTTTTTAGATTGATCTTTTAATTTTCTCTGGATAAGTACCAGAAGTGGAATTGCTGGATCATGTGGCAGTCTATTTTTAGTTTTTTGAGGAACTTCATACTGTTTTCCAACAATGCATGAGGGTTCTCTTTTCTTCACACAGATGCCAACATTTATTGCATAAATATTTGTTTTTTAGCAAGGGGATCATGCTGAATGCTCTTTAATGTCTGTTTGTATATACCACATTATGGACATCATATTATGCCAGTTGATAAAGGTCTACACCATCATATCATAGTTAATCTAATGGAATTCTTTAGCCTGAAAATGATGCTGTATTATTTGACTTTGCATTTCTATGCTTACTCATGATAGCCTTTTCTATATGTTTTGTGAATTTCCAGTTCATATTACCTACTTTTTCCCCTCGGGGATTGTTAGCTTTTTAATGTTTGTTTGTAAGAGCTCCTTATATATCTACTCTGGATCTTCAAAAAACAGTAGAAATGTTTTCTAAGTTTATTTTAAACTTTGTTCATAGTTTTTTTCAACTAGACATTCAAATTTTTTCCCCTTTTATGGTTTCTGCCTTTGGTGGCCAAGTTATGATATGACAGTGTATTTATATATTTATTTATTAAAACCATTTATTTATTTATTTATGCAAGCACTGGGTACAGTCAGAAGAGCGGGAGGGTGAGAGAACTCACCAGAGCCAGAGCGGGGAGCAGAGCAGGCAGAAGGACTGAAGCACACTGCTGAGGGGAGCAGCGGGTGGCAGGAGAGGTCTGCGTGCCATGTGGGACCCTCCTCCAGTGGCCAGGGAGCAGCCTGGGATCGAACCGGCACTGCAGAGGCTGTGGGCAGCTTCGCAACCCGGTGCTCAACTGCTGTGCCACCGGGGAGGCCCAGTATTTATATATTTAAAGTAAATTGAAAACAAAATTTTTCTTTTTCTTTTTCACTCAATTTTTTTTTGGATTCTGGATTATGAGGCCTCTGTTGGGCACTCTGTACTTTGGTTCCTTCAGTGTTAGTTACAAAACTTGTCCTTCTGTATTCATTTTTAGCATATAGTGAAATAGTATTTATCAATAATTTACAAATTCCATTATTGAGGTATCTCTTCTCTTCAACCTGAATTATAAAATCTGCATTTCTGCACTGAAAATAAAGTGGTTGTAGGTAAAAATGTAACTTTATGAAGAAACAATAAAAAGTAATCAATTATGTACACAAAAACATTAAAATGATATAACATTGTGATCTGCTCAGTATTATGATGAAATATTAATTCAAATGTAAAGTGTTAGAAACTATAGCATTATTAGTATATTTCTTGTTAGACCTACTTATAAATAATATTTATCAAAATTATTTTTTTGTCATTATAAAGGATAGAAAATTGACCGCTTTTGTTTAGTCAGCACTTATTGTTAGAGTGCTGTCATAGTATTTTCTCATGTGAACTGGTTTTTCCAGAAGTGTGGGTATTACCTCAGTGCTTCCTTGGTTTAAGGTCTGTCCCATAATGGTCAGCTTCTAGCAGTAATCTGCAAAGTAGCACTTTATGCCAGGTCTGATTTTTTTCTGCTACTGTTGTTAAATTGATTTAGTGGTTTCTATAATTCTTATATCAGAACAATAGTTTTCATTAGTTTGTTGTAAAATTTTTCTCATGGCACAGAACTATACGTAATTAAAATCCATATTTTTCTCCTTGATTCTATGCCCAAGGTGTAACCGATTTTGATTGTATGATGTCCCTTTGACAGGCATTTTCCATGCTTATACAGCGTTTTTGTATACAGCATTAATAAATGAAAAATTATTAGCAGGCAGTTTTTGTGGTTGGCAAATAAACTGATACTTTGGGATTAGCAAAGCCCGTGCTGCTGAATTTATTTACCAAAAATATTAAAAAAAAGTTTTTTTAAGATTTATTTTTATACAAGAACTGGGGTTCAGGCCAGAGGCGTGGGAGGATGAGAGAATTCACCGGAGACAGAGTGGGGAACAGAACAGGCAAACAGACCAAAAGCACTGCTGAAGGGAGTAATGGGCCGACAGGAGAGGTCTGCTTCGCCATGTGGCAATCTACGTGGCCGGCCAGGAATCGAACCTGCGCTGCAGAGGCTGTGGACAGCTTCACAGCGCTGCGCTCAACCCGCTGCGCCACCAAGGAGGCCCCTGTTTACCAAAAATATTTATGGACAAAAATACCTGAAGAAATGTGTTACCAAGCAAAAGTATTAACCCAAAAAATGCTTTTATTGAAGAATACGTACAACTGTCATATGAGATAGCACTGAGCATCTCTGTTATTTGTCATTCAAGGGTGCAACTGGAAACAGATTTGAAGATTGAAAAGGAATGGAGACAGACTTTGCAGGAAGATCTTCAGAAGGAGAAAGATGCCTTGTCTCATCTTAGAAATGAAACTCAACAAATCATTAGTCTTAAAAAAGTAAATGGTGGTAAAGCTTTCAAAATTATATCTGATGAAAGTTATTTAAAAAGATAATGAAGTCATAATTTACACTGATACCAAGGTAACAGTATTTAGTGATCTTAAAAGACATTACTAATGGAGAATATTAGTAGAGCAGTTATAAAAGAGCTTTGGACTATTCTGCTTTTTAAAAAAACAACTAAAGGGTATGTGTTTAATTAATGATAGATATACAATGTGGAGTTTCTTGTTTCTTTTAAATTGCATTTTCTGCCTTTCATTGTTTTGAAGGAGTTCCTTAACCTCCAGGGTGAAAATCATCAATTGCGAAAAATATATCATGAACAGGAGCAGGCTCTTCAAGAATTGGGCAACAAACTTAGCGAGTAATTTCTCTTTTTTCCTACAACTAGTCATTGACTTTTTAGGAGGTATGAGAGTGCCAAACCAAATTAGAAAAGAAATAAACTATTAAAGAAAAACAAAACTCAAAGAAGCTTTAAAAATTAACAAGTAAGACTATAGATTGGAGAGATTTTGTTGAAAGTTATGTTCAAGTTAGTAGATCTTAGCTCTAATGTTGTTTAAATTTTTCAAATCAAAGAATGAAGATGTTTATTTAATATATTTTTCTCAGAAGCCAACATTTCAAAATGTCTGGAGAGATCTTTTTCAGACTGTTTTGAGAAGGAGCCAACATTGTGAGAAGCTGAGGGTATTTTATGCCATTTGGAGTTTGGGCATAGCCTATATATTGCCTGGTTCATGTGATGAATAATACTGCTGTAATTAAATGAAAATGCCAATATCTTTTTTAAAATAATGTTTCAGTAAAGTGACTTTGGCCAGTATTTCTTTTAAAAGTAATTTTTTAATTTACATTTTTGCTTTAGCACATTTAGAAATATTGAAAATTTAAAAATATAATCCCACTAGCCAGTGAAGATTATTAGAATCATGTAGTATAGTAATCATGTAGCAATTTTATGCAATAGGGAAAACCAATACCTTTCTAATAAATTACTAAATGTTCTGTTTTAATATGTGTACTGAACTTGGACCTATTTGTAATCTTTTTAGATCAAAACTTAAAATAGAAGATATAAAAGAAGCCAATAGAGCATTGCAGGTGAGTAAAAAGTCTTAAGTAGGAAGGTGTAAATGTCCCTGAGTCTCCAGTGGAAGGTAAAATCCTGCATTGTAAATCTAAGGTTGATCATTGTAAATCTAAGGTTGAGGCCTCCTTGATGGCACAGTGCTGGCAAGCTATTGCCAGCCACTGTGGCATGAGTTCAATCCCTGGCCAGGAAGCTAATCCACATGGCGCAGCAGACCTCTCCTGTCTCACCTGCTGCACCCCTCAGCAGTGTATTTCAGTAGAACCACCTGTTCTTCTCCCCCCTGCATCCACACCTCAGCCTACATCCTAGTTTTATATGCATAAATAAAAAAAAATATATCTTTAAAAATAATAAATCTAACGTATTTTATTATTACTGAATCCCAGGTGTATAGAGAAAGAAACACTGAATGCAGAGCTGGGATAATGGGGCTCCAGCTCTTTTCTGTACCTCTTTAGTCATATATTGTAAAATAATCTTCCTTTTGGAAATGACCTTGGAAATAATTTTGTCCACTTTCCTACAGATTGTGACATGATTATAATTGCCTTTGAACTTGAAAAATCCTTGCATTCCCATGCCAATCTATTACCTTTTAGTTTTTGATCCTCGAGTCACATATCCTCATGGAGTTTCAGTTTTTTCTTCAAATGGGCTTTTATTACCAAAAAAAAAAAAAAACCCAGCAACAACAAAAAAAGCCAAAGAATGCTTAGACTTTTTGAAAAATGGTAGCAGTCTCTTGTTCTTTGCCCCTTTTCCCATTATCAATCCTGCTACATGAGGGGATTACCTTTCTTTTAGTTGTTTCTTCTGGCATTTACCCTCCCATTTCTAAATGATATGCAGGTATGTGTTCACTGTTAATTTACAGTCCTTTTAGTTTAGACCTGGCTATTCCCTGGTTCACGTGGTGACTGTTGCCCCCTCTCATCCTGACCTGTCTTCTCTTCACTGGCTTCCCATTATAAAGTAAAAGTTCGTGTGGAATTCATTTGCCTTATATTTATTCAGATCACTTAAGTAAATACTGTTCTTTGCTGGGCCAGGTATTCCGATTGTGTTTCTCTCAAACTATTTTTTATCTTAAAGATTTATTTATTTATACAAGCACTGGGTAGTCAGAAGCGTGGGAGGGTGAGCGAATTCACCAGAGCGGGAAACAGAACAGGCAGACCGACGAAATACACTGCTGAGGGGAGCAGCGGGCAGCAGGAGAGGTCTGCGTGCCATGTGGGACACTCGCCCAGGGCTGGGGATTGAACTGGCGCTGCAGAGGCTGCGGGCAGCTTCGTAACCCAGCGCTCAACCACTGCACCACCGGGGAGGCCCCTCTCGAACTATTTTTTATTTCCTCTGAAATTGCCTGATTAAGTTTAGTTGAATTTTAACATCTGTGTTTTCTTATACTTTCAAACACTTCTCCAAAAGTTTTCTTGATAACCTCCTCCTACAGTTCTTGACTCTTCTGTTCCTGTGGTTGGTCTAGTTGCCCATTCTGACATTTCCCTCTGCTGCCGTTCTTAGAATTCCCTTTACCCTTCTCATGTTAGCTCCTATTACCCGAACCCTACAACTTCTTTCTTGGCTTACTCCCTTGTTTTGGCAATGCATCCTGTAGTTGCTTCTTGGAAATTATTTTAAGATTTTTCACATCTGCATATGCCTTTATTACTGTTCTAACATTTTTGCAGGAGATGGGTATGGATGTCTACCCCAACTCTCATTTAACTGCAGAATATTTTTCATTGTTAAATATATCATGTATATAAGAGTACACATGAAGTACAATTTAAAAATACTGGCATACTCTATTTTAATTTGTGATGGAACATGACCAGTACCTTAGAAGCCCCCATGTGTGTTCCATGAGTGTGTTCTCCTATAGTAACTATCCTTTATTTTGTGTTAGTCATTGTTTAAGGTTTTTTTTTTTGTCAATCTGTAACAAAATATTATATAGATTTCCCTGCTTTTATATGTATAAAAGTGTATAACGCATTTTTTCTTCCTTGTCATTGACCAGTTGATGGGTCTGTTTTTTAAAGAGTCTCTCACATTCTTGATTTTTTCTGACTGCCTGTTTAATAGTATTTTTAAATTAGTTCCTCTATTCTTATTGCCTGTAACTTGGGAGTTAGTTAAATATAAAGACTTGGTTAGACTTAGGCAACCTCTTGGTGAGACTATTTACTTCTCCTCCCATATTTTTAATATTCAGCAGGCTTTTATTTGCTCAGTTTTCCTCTAACATAGCACTTTATCATTTTATTGCTTAAGGATATTCACTATAGTTTAAAATTGTATTTTGCTAACACCACTCTTTCTTCTGAATCCCATTCTTGGATTTGTTTCTTTGGCAGAGCAATCTCATAGCCAAATTGTTCCTCAAATGTTGGTTTTCATTATGAGCAAAGAAATCTTGGAAGCCTTGTGTGTTGGTTGGTAGATAGGGATAGCTTGCTATAGTCTGGTAGGTCTCGCTCACCATAGAGAAATCTGTTAACTCAGCTACAGTTGAGGACCCTCTCAAAATTATGTTAGTATCTACAAGACTTTTCTGGGGAGTTGAGATTCTTTAACCCTAATATCCTTTCTGGGAAGTGTAAGTTGGGTGGCTGACATTCTGGAACTGGGCAGAAAAAAATAGTCATTTGTTTGCAGAGCAATAGCTTGTTCCCTTCTAGACTTAGCTCTATATATAATCAGCTGCTTCCTGAAGGAAGCTACTTAAGCTGTCTGGAACTCAAGTTGCCTCATGTATAAAACAAGAGGTATAGGAGCTGATCTCTGAAGCCCCTTGCCAGCTGAAAGGGTTGTCCTACAATGTACAGCCTTTTCCCTTGGGAGAGGTGCAGAGTTAAGTTGAAATCAAAGAAGTGTGGAAGGCCAACCCTGATGTCAGGACGGTTATTGGTGAGCCTAATAATGCTGCTTGGAGTTTGGCTTCACATCAGGTTCTCCACTCCTTACAGATATACCTGGATTGAAACAAAATTGCTTTTTTTTTTTTTTTTAAAGATTTATTTATTTATGTGTACAAGAACTGGGGTACAGGCCAGAGGTGTGGGGCAGGTGAGAGGATTCACAAGACAGAGTGGGGAACAGAACAGGCAGACTAACTGAAATACACTGCTGAAGAGAGCAGCGGACGAATCAGGAGAGGTCTGCTGCATCATGTGGGTAGCTCCCTGGCCGGGGATGGAACTCGTGCTGCAGTGTCTACATACAGCTTCATAGGTTGTGTCTTAATCCCTTGCGCCACCCAGGAGGCCCTACATGCGAGATTTTTGATTGGAGAGATTTTTCTCTAATTAGGTGACACGGCCCCTGTGCTTCAGAGGTGCTTTATAGGTGACACTTTATCTTCCAAGTTGGGTTGTTATGCTTAGATCTTTGGAAGCAGTAGCATTGTGGCTTGGTTTGAGGCTGTTTTATAAAGAAACATGAGTGAATTGAGATTAATCAGAAGCACTGAGGACGCTTCCTTCACAGGGGTCTACTCATTGTAAAACTGGCATCATCTAACAAAGTTGCTTTCATAAGGGAAAAATGTTTTCTGGTTAAATTAGAAATTTTTAGAATCAGGTTACTCTGGCTTGTTTAGTTTACATGTTTTCTACTAAAGTTTATATAGTAGTTATTAAGTTTATGAGTTACAGAACTTGAGGGAAATAATAGCTGTGTAAAACTGAATTTAAGGTTAAGCTTAACCTAAAATAAACATGATTTCCAAATTTTCTTCAGATTTTGAGGACTTACTACATGTAAGGTATACATAATGCCAAGTATATTTCAGCATGAAAATTTATCTTTAAATATTGCTGGGCTGAATAATTCATTAGTTATTCCCATCAATAGATTGTTTTTTAAAAAAACATGGAAATGTTCAAACTGACTCTACTGTGAAGGGTGATTTTTTTTTTTTAGTGTTATTGAGTGTTAATGGTCATACTTTTCCTCCTACTAGGGATTGGTTTGGTTGAAGGACAAAGAAGCAACACATTGTAAACTTTGTGAAACGGAATTTTCACTCTCTAAGAGAAAGGTAAGGGGTAGTGAGTCTGTACAAGTTTTGGTGTAAAAATGGCTTCTAATTTTTATTCAGTTTTTCTCATTTTTCCATTTGCTAGCACCACTGTAGAAACTGTGGGGAAATTTTCTGTAATGCTTGTTCTGACAACGAACTGCCTTTGCCTTCTTCACCAAAGCCAGTACGGGTTTGTGATTCCTGTCATGCACTGCTGATTCAGAGATGCTCATCTAACTTGCCCTAAGACTCCAGAACTAAATTCCTACGTATTGAAAGTACCTACAAGGAATGTTATGAACATGTGTAAAACATATTCAGACAGCTCTTCTTAAGCAGCTTTGACAGTATTGTTTTTCACATATTTAACTGATGGAAATTAAAAATTATGTATTTTCTTCTCCATTACTCAAAGAATTTTCAACAGGGCATGCTTTAAAGTAACTTTAGTCTAATGCCTAATTGATGTACTAATCATGTAATTCTTAATGCCACTGAAAGGCCAGACAGCAGAACTAATACACATTTGCCTTATTTTATAAAGGCCTTCTTAAAAACAGGGCTTCAGATTGTTTTATTCTGCAGATTGTCAAGTTGATATTTAACAGTGCCTGTAATTTTAATGCACTTTAAAGCCTCACAGTTCTCAAAGATTGGAAATGAATAAAAACTTTTTTGAAGTATTATTTCAACAGGTTACTCATCAGCTTGGTTAAGATTTCTACTTAAACCATTTCTTCTCTCCTTCCTTTGCACATTTTGCATTAGTAAAGGACAATTTTTTTTTAAAGATTTATACATACAAGAACTGGGGTACAGGCCAGAGGTGTGGTGGGTGAGAGGACCCACCAGAGACAGAGTAGGGAACAGAACAGGCAGACTGAAATACACTGCTGAGGGGAGCAGTGGGTGAGTCAGGAGAGGTCTGCTGCATCTTGTGGGTATCTCCCCTGGCTGGGGATTGAACTCATGCTGCAGTGGCTGCAGCAAGCTTCACAGGTTGCATCTTAACTCCTTGCGCCACCAGGGAGGCCCGACATTGTTTTATCCTGTAAAATTCCCTTTAGGATTTCTGTCTAGTATCATCAATGTTCTTGCTGACAACTTTCAGATACAGTGGGTCTAAGATACTATTTTTGCCTCTTTTTACCTTAAACTTGGTTATCTTTCTGTAGTAAGCTACCTAATTTTTTTCAGGGAGAGCTCATCACTTTTGAAAATTGAAAACAGATCCTTCCCCAGAAAAAAAAAAATATTGCAATAGTAGGGGGATTACAGGCTTCAACTAGGGTCTAAGCATTGAGAGAAATCTAAAATGCTATAAATCTTTGATATGACAGAAAAGTAAAAGAAAACTTTGTATTACATTTCCATTCCAGTAATTTTAGGAAGGTTATCCTGTACTTTGTCTAGAGTACAACTCACTAGACTGTGCCAGGGTCTACAGCAGACGAGACTCTGACCTGCCATGACATACTTGAACTGTTTCAAGCATGAAAGTAGATAAACACTAATTGTTATACTGCTGATAGAACAAGATTTAATCTGTAAAAAAAGTTACTCTTGTATAATTTTAGTCTTAAACAGTGATCAACACTAAAGGACCCTTTTTTTTCCTTCCTATTGTCCAGTTTCAGCCATGCACTTTATAATTTCACATTAAATCCTAGGGGTATCATAGTGACTTATCACAGCCATTCCCTTATTCCTGAAGTTGAGGTCACTTACTCTACAGGATATTTTCCTAAGTGTATACTGTAAGGTTTAACAATTAGTTTTCTAAATTGCCAAAGTATGAAACTAACATTTTACTTGAAGACTTTTCTCCATAACTTGGTTTTTGCAGTGTTCAGTTAGAACTGAGATTTTTAGGTGGTCTTTCTGGAATGCTCCAATAGAAATGTTCTCAAATGATATGTATTATATTCTTGAACTGCTTTGTATTGATGGATTAACATTTTCTATGATTGCGAAAAATGAGAAAAATTTCAATACTAATAGGTAATATTTTTATTACTGTTTAGAACAAATTCTAAAATGTGCTTTTGCTTAAATTTTTGGCTTTATTCCACAAGCCATGATTCTTGGTCTCCATTCAGAGCTCACGTATTGCCACTGATTTGGATTTGTTTTAGAGGCAAGCTCTTATGACAGCAAGCAATACAACTTAATTTTGGCTCTTATTTAAAAACATACTAATTTTGGATTGTTTCAAAACTTTCAAATTGTACTTGTTATTGTTAACCTGTTTACGTAAGGTTTGCCCTCACAAAAGTATCTTCACATACCATTCCCTTGTACTACAACCATGTTGTCATGGTGCCAAGAAATTGATTTTAATTCTTCTCTCCTGCAATGTTTTAAGATGTGAATTTTATAAACCAAATAAAAGTTTGGAAAAATTAGCCTTGCTTTAGAAGGGTAATGTCATTTATAACATTTTATACTTTCACTGCTTACTTTTTTTTTTTTTTTTTAGAGGCATGTTTTTTATTTATTTATTTATTTATTTATTATATTTGTTTGTTTTGTTTATACATGCACTGGGTACAGTCAGAAGCGCGGGAGGGTGAGAGAATTCACCAGAGCCAGAGCGGGGAGCAGAGCAGGCAGAAGGGCTGAAGTACACTGCTGAGGGGAGCAGCGGGTGGCAGGAGAGGTCTGCGCACCATGTGGGATCCTCCTCCGGTGGCCGGGGAGCAGCCGGGGATCGAACCGGCGCCGCAGAGGCCGCGGGCAGCTTCGCAACCCAGCGCTCAACCGCTGCGCCACCGGGGAGGCCCCTTCACTGCTTACTTTAATAGAGTAATCCTGGGACAATTAAAAAGCTCTTGATTCTTTAAAAAGGTGAGTCATGTTTTAAATAGGTAATGAAAGGGCATGGATATGGGCAATCATCAAGATGAGTGTTTGATAGCCTCCCATAGAATATCACAACTACCTAACTGCAGAAACCACTCCTTAGGAGTCACTATCTAATCTCCAACAAGACATATAATCTTCTACCAACTCGATTTATAATCAGAAACTGACACAAAGCATTGTAGGACAGACGCCATGCCATTATCTCCCACATTGATATTTATTACATTGACATTTCTAGGGAAAAACAAAACAAGTTCAAAACTGTATTCACATTCACAGGTTTCATTTTGATCCATTAGCCAATGTGGGGAAAAAAGCCTATTGATCAAAGGGATTAAAAATAAAAAGCACCTTTTCCCTTGCTACAGTTTTTTTTTTTTTAACACAGTGGACGTAAAACCTCTAACAGATACCAGATGCAGGATTCTCATTTTAATTAAAACTATGACATGGACTTGTCTTACAGTCTTTTAAAGTGATCATTTATACAGTTATTTAAAAATCATAGCTTTAATTATTGGGCAGGAAACTGAAAATACTTATGTGAGAATTATACTTCACAGTAAATACTTCTGTACTTAATTCTCTTTTATCACTGAGAACCTCACCCTAGTCTAAGACATTTTCAGATTACAACTATTACTTTTGGTGCTTTAGTCATGTGCTGAGGGGATTTTATTCTAAAATATAGGTCTAGAATTTAAACATCCAATACTCCCAATCCTTAGGTAACACAAATTATCAATATTCAGAAATGCAGTTACCTTTTAGATGATCGAGATTTTTCAGAGCTATGCCTGATATTTTAATTTAGAACTACCTGGAATCAGTTGAATTTATGCTTCCGAAGCAACCTAACTCATCTTTAGGGTTATATTTACAGTATTGTCCAGAAGAAATTATTTTCCAAGCTTTATTCCAGATGTCTGAATATAATAAGACTTGCAATTTATGCAGTAGTGAGCTACTGCCCTCTGAAACTACACTATACTACTTGCAACGCTTAATAGTAAAATACATCAACCCAAATCTTATGAAAGCAGCACAATCCTTAGGAGTAACTAGTATATAAAAAGTATCAACATCAGTGGTTTGAATATAAAAATTTATTTTAAGTCAAAGTATGCAACAAATAAAACCTACAGAAAACAGATTTCCCATCACAATCTGTTGCTTTACCAAATAATATTTTGAAAACACATTCCTTCAGTCATTATAAAGTTCTTAAAATACAAAAGAAATTATATCTGTAAGAAAGTCTAGTAGACCAGATGCTGTTGTCAGGACTTATGTTGATGGTTTTGCTTTAATACATCCCACGCCATCCACCTCCACTCATGCCACCTTGGCCATAGTAACCTCCACTGCCACCACCACCACGACCTTAAGAAAGACAGCAAGAATGAGATTATCAATGTATGTATGATCTCAAGAATAACATGAACTTTTCATTGTCTGTACCACATGTGGAGACTAATACAAACAGGATCAGAGTAATCACTTACCATAACCACCTAAGCCATCAGGAGTGCCATATCCACCACTGTAATTGTTCCCCATTCCCATTCTTCCAACTGACCCATAAGCGCCTTGATTATCTTTAAAAAATAAAAATAAAGTAAAAATTTGAGGTTGTTTCCTAAATGTCTAACTTTTCTTACTTAAAAAAAATTTACATACCCATTCCATCTCTGCCATAGCCTCCCATTCCAGAACCTCCCATTCCAGAGCCGCCTCCAGGAGTGGAATTCAAAAAGAGTTCAATGTATCGATGTTCTTAAAGAAAAAACAAGAGTAATACAGGAGGAGAACAGAATGACGGATCATATTCATCAGTAAAAGTGTAAAAAGGTTGATCAACTATTTTTAAACTGAAGGTATACTTAGAAATTCTTAGTGATAAAATGCCACACAAGACTAAAATCTAGGTTTCATTTAAAACATACAGCCTTGAACAAGTATTTGGAGGTCTGAGTTTTCTCAACAAAGGGCTGATTATTTCAGAACCAGCTATTTTATGTCTTAAAAACATTATCCTAGGCTAATCACAGAATGGAATTAGAATCATGAGGATGACATCTGAGAAAACTTTTTTTAAAGTACCAAATGACTGATGTGTAGTCAATTTAAGAATCACTGGATGAGGTGAAATTTAATTGCTTCAAAACTGGTAAGGTGACATGCAGGAATAACCTGCACAAGTTGATCACTGTGTAAGTTAACAAGTGCTGTTAATTTCCAACTGGCATGGGAATCACACACATGCAAGTAACATACCTATCTCCCTCCTTTAATAACTGACTTAGCAAGTCATTGAAGTCTGAGATAAGAAGCCATATGGTTTCAGATTCCAGTGACTGGCCAGAGTTACCTTCATATCCGAGAATCTCTTGCATATTTTATAATCAAGTTCACAGCTAACAAAGATAGCATGCACGCCAAGAATACCACTTACGCATGTTATTCTTATCTTTAGACATGGCAGCTACTGCATCTTCATGTGTCACAAACTCTACATCAGCTTCTCCTGTTGCTCTGCCATCAGCTCCAATATCAATATGAACTCGTATTGGATTTAGTGGTGAGAAGAACTAAATGAAAGAAAACATCAGTCATTTACTTTTTTTACTTAGACTATAAGCCATCTTGGGGGTGGGGGGGGAGGAGATTGGATCCTTTTTAAAATAAGCTAGGGGTGATAAAAACATGTAACACAGGGAACAGTTTGAGCTAAACAGATGTTAGTAAATATAACTACCCTGAAAGACATAGGAACTTGGTGCAAAGTCTAAAAAAACCCCCCAAAACTAGACGTAAGTTGCATAGTTTTGTAGGCCATAGGTATCTAACTCTAGCTCTTCAATAGGCAAATGGGTGTGACTAGATTTGGTCCATGGGCTGAAATTTGCTGACTGATTACTTAATCAATTAGAAACCAATTGGATTCTATTTGATAATAGCATCTACTCCCATTATTTCAGCTCCTTGGTTTCTAATTACCATACATCCACTAAATTTTACTTTTTACATATTTACACTTTCAAAACTTGACACAAGGGAAATAGTCTTCCAGTTATTACCACTGTATGCTGATCAGTCTTAAACTAAATTTTTATGTTGACCCAAGGACTGTAGCTTTTATTTGACTTAATTCTCAATCTAGGTCAGTTCATAATAGACACAAAAATAGCCATTAACTGCAGATAATTATTTTCATAAAGGATTTGGCAGTAACATTAAAAAAAAAGAATACTTCAAAATTTAGACACCAAGAAATTACTCACATTAGCAATGTCATTTTCAGTTGCACGAAAAGGTAATCCTCTCATATGTACGAAATGACCACCATGAAAACCTGAACTTGCGTCACCAGCTCCACCATAGCCATGCCCTCCCATACCTAGAGATTAAAATTTCCAAAGGTTATAAATTGACACATGTAGAAAAATCTCAACAAAATATTTCTTCCCCATAAAATCTTAACATACTTTTCTAAACGCTGAGTGGTGAATTTACCAGTCAGTATACATCCATATTAAGTCCTACTTAGCTGTATAATGAAATAATGCCTGAGCTGATTTTTTTAAGTCACCTAAATTAGCAGTAATTAGATGTAAAGCAAATATTAAAATTCACCTTACAATGAATGTCTTTAATATTTATTTTACCTCTTCCATCTCTCATTCTGTCATCAAAGCCATCATTTCCATAGCCATAATTATTATAGCCACCATAGTCATCAAAACCTCCATAACCTGTATAATGTAAGGAGAAATACATAAATATACTTTCAAGAGATCAATTTTGTAATTTCATTCACAAAAGCATACTTTATGGTAAGCAGTTTGGTTAACTTAGATTACAAGTTTGCAACACAACTTTAAAAAAAAGAGCAGTCAACGTGGTGCAAATAAAAAACCTCAGAAGTGTATCATCCTATGCCAAAGTGCCAAAACATGCCAGTATCTTCATTTCAAATTCTGTGTTAACTTAGATAGGTGCCAATATGTGCATCAACCAAGTCCCATTGCTCATCATGGGAATTTGTATTTTCATGAACAGGTTTTAAAACCTAGTAGGTACTGAAATTACTGCCATTTCTGTATTTCTTGACAAAGTGTCAGGAATATTAAGAAAATGACAACAGAACCTTTGTTCATTAGATACACATACCACCATCATATCCATCACCTCCTCGTCGCATTCTGTCATACATACTTCCACGCCCAGCTCCATAATAACCCCCTCTTCCTCCTATTGGTCTATCATATGGTCCCGGTCGCTGTCCCAGCAATCTTCTTGGAGGATCATAAAATCCTTTGATTTCACTCCTGCTACTTCTGAAGATCTCAATATACCTATTTAAAAATGGTTTAAGGTACAGGTTTCAGCATAAATGTATTAGAGTAATTAAGATATTGGGCAAAATGCAGTAAGATTTTCTACATCTAGATACATAACCCAATTTAAATTGCCTAAATACACATTGTTAACATAGTTTACACCTACAAACTTAAATAATTAATATTTAAGTTTTACAGACAAATTAGTCATTTGAAGACAATTCATAAAATATAAATATAATTTTAGCTTGTTTCCTTTAGTACATAAGTGTTTAGAGAAAAGTTGATTATACAAAAGCAAGTATCAACAATATCCTACACAGAAATGGAAACAATCTAATTTTAATTTAAGCAAACTATTAGCATTAATTCCCCACCCAAATCTGTAGTTTCCAAGTTAAATTTAGATAATTATCATTTTAAAACTACCCCAGAAAAATGTTGTTACCCCCCCATTTAAGCAAGTGACCCACAACCCCCAAAAATAAAAATTTAACACCATCCCAAACTCTCCATCCCCACCTGTGCCCTATTCTTTCCTTGTGTTTCCCCAGAGCATTTTCTGCTATCTCCTTTGAAGCAAACTGCACGAAGGCCTCCCCTGTGCTTCTCCCCTGGTAGTCCATCGTCAATGTTATCCCATTTGGCACGATTTCCAACCCTTTAACCCAAGGACAAATAACCCCATCAAGGGGAACAGTGTTAAAGGCTGAAACATTCCCATCTGAATCAAATATTTAAAACAAGTCTAAACAAAACAAAACAAAACAAAACAAAAAAAGCTTAGTTTCCCATCACCCCATAATACAAACGGAAGATTGTTTTAAAATATTATTGGATTACATAAATTTTTTCTGTGACTAACGTCTTTTAAAATTACATACTCTAAAAGCCCACCTATTATCACATGGAAAAAAAAAAAGGGCTACAAATAAAAATTAACTATGCTCCATATAATTCATGGTTCATTTCATCACAATTACTCTCATTTAAGTTCGCTACACATTAGTTAGGTTTTACATATTCTACACATACTGTACTGAATATTAAATGGAGCACATTTTAAAACATTAACCAAGGTATCATACTCAAAATAAATCCCCCAAATAAATGGGTTTTACAAACTATAAAAACTGAGTAGAATACAAATATAACATTAAAATACTACTAAACTTTGACTAATACTAGAGGTACCTTGAAAGAACTGAACTATTTCCTCTTTGCTGCAACCAAATGGCAGTCCACGAAGTCGTACTGTCCCATCACTAGCGTCATTTGGACCATTATGTTTCATAACCCAATCCATCTCAATACCGTTTGATTTTAATGCTATAAAAAATAAAACAAGCACATAAAGCAGTCAATCAAAATATAGTCTTGTCAGAGGTACTGAAGAAACACCTCTCAACGGTGCACAACAGGAATTTAACATAACTCAGTGATGCCAGTAACAACTTTCTAATTTGAAGGTAGGTAAAAACTGGGAAAAGGAACTGAAACCTGACCCCTCCCCACCAAAATTTCTAAGGACCAATAACAGAAGGCCAAAACTCTATGAAGGCCAACTCTTGCCTCCTTCCTCATCTCTTAAATATCCATTCATATTTCCCAGGTTTGATGATTCACTTGAATAGTTATGAAAATGCCTTAAAACTTAAATTACTTACAAGTTGTGAATAGTACCGCCATCCACCTACATTAAGAGCCTCAGTCAAAAGTACTTAAGTGCTTTCTTGGAAAACATGGTAAATACAGAAGCCTAAACTTATACTAGATGTTCAGTAATTTTAAACACATCAAACTGTTTTTGCAGGGGGGAAAAATTCCCTTCTCTCTTTAAATCTGGAATAAACACTTTAAGAACAAAGTTTTAAAGGGACTACGTTAAATTGAACATTAAAAGGTCACTCAAAAATGAACGCCTTCTAGTATTCTGAAGCCATCTGTCTGAAAATTACTTTTATACTGAAAACCAGCTTACTCCTTTATTTTTAAACACTTTTTAGAAAAGGTAATACATTTCAGAAAGCATTAAAAAGGATAGAGAAGCCCTCCTTCCCCTCCAAAATAACCCACCCAGTTCCATTCCCAAGAAAACCATTGTTTCTTTTAAAATTCCAGAACATTTTAAAGAGGCTAATGCAGAAGTCCTTCAGCTGCAGAAACTTACCAGACCATACAAATTTCACTATGCAGCTGTAGGAATCCTACTCACCTGAATATTTCAAACCTTTCCCTCACCACTTCCTCCCCTGTAAACAAAACAATTTGTTCACTTGATTCCTTTATGTTTGAGGATTATATTTCATGTAAACAGTAGTCACTAATATTTAATATCATATCTAATTATCGGGGCTACCTAATTATGTGATAGGGATTATTTTCTGCAGAATAAAATTTTTTCTTCCATTTAGAATCCACACATTTAAAATAAACACTGCAGAAAATTTTCAAAATGTGTCAATTAGTCAAGTAGCTATATGTATCACCTTTGGTACCTGCTTTATTTTTAAAAATACATTCAAACAGCAAAAATGCAAATTTTTAACTGACTTTACAACTAATTCCTATGCACACAAATAACCAGCATGAGCTTTAAAATAAGAGAAAATAAACTGGGTTTGAATTCCTATCCTGCACTTAATTCAAGCAAACGAAACCTCTCTTTTAGTTGTAAAATATAGCAGTGATGCCTATACCTTCCTGGACTGTTTTAAGAAGTCACTGTGCTTGGTTAGCAGCTTTCTAATTATTCAGTGGTGGCCACTGCTGACTGGAGTTTAAAGGGCCTTGTAAAACTAATGAAATATACCACAAAGTAACTGAACGTTTAAAACAACTGAGTCTTAAAGGAAAATAAGGACCGGTGTACATCTTTTCCAAAGTCAACAAAGGTCAATTTTTTTGTTTTCTTAAGAGTCATCAAAATCAGGGTTGGGGGTGTTTATTTAAAAAATATTTACTGTAATGTGCACATCAGCTAGACAATTAAAAAAATATCGTTTTAGAATAGTTGGAATCTAGTACTTCCAAATTGTCATGGGAAAAAAGGACGATTTAAAAATCAAATGTTACTTCCTGTGAAAAATTTAATGTTACAAAGCCAATCTAATCTGCTGAAAAAAAAAAAAAAAAAAAACCTAGGTGGTGCTTTTTAATCTTTCAGTGTGTACACACACACACACACACAGAGTTTTAGAAGCTAAAAAGATGGAAATTTACTATAAATGGTAGCACTTTCCAATACTAGCATGCCAACTAATTTTGAATTAGCCTTTACCAATGAGACCTATATAAAAACAAAAAAAGTTTATTATTAAGTGTATTAAAACCACACTGAACTGTTGAAATTTTAAGTTGAGGGAAAGTTAACCAGATTCAAAGACACAACTATTTTATAGAATACTATCCACACCATGTTTGTGAAAAGTACACCCCCCCCCACACACACTATTACCTCTTCAAAACTCCAACATGTGAGTTTTAGAATTTTATTTACAATACCTGAGTAACACTAAAGGCATAAAAAGACATCAGCTCTAATACTTTATAAAGCTGGCTCACTACCTAGTAGAATCTACTAATGATTCAGGATAATCCACCTCAATTTTTGCAACAATGTCACTGCTAATCACAATTCTGCTTTACTAATCCCAACCATTACCACTAATTAAAAGCACTAGCAATCTTTAGTCAGTTTTATTAGACTTTAAATATAAATTCTTAAATTTTATGCTAAGTGAAGTCTGTCACAAACGACCATAGATTATTTTAAACGGGTTAAAGTTTATGTGAATTATATCTCAAAGCTGTTGTAAAAAGGGCTCTAAGAAAGGCCAAGTAAAATACAGAATTCCTCTAACTAAAAGGCTTGTATTATTTTTGGGAGTGTAATACATAATGTAAGTAAGGGTTTGATGCATCAAATAACTTTCTAGATGGTGGTTCACCGATCTAAAAAAGAATGAGAAAACGTCATTTTTGGCAAAAAAGTGATAAACATGGCAACACCACACCATTTCCCCTTTCCGATGTGCTTGCTATTTAAGTTAAAACAGTTAAAAACCATCTAAAGGAAGTGAGGTATCTAAAATGATTATGAACGAGTTCTAGCACAAAGTCACCACCTACTGCAGTTCAGCCACTTGTTTACCAAAATAAAGATACCCAAAAAATAGTTACTAAAAACATGAAGGCAATGGATTTCCAGTTTATGTAAAATGAAAGGGCAGGAAAAAAGGTTTCTGGGGTAATCCAATCAGGAAAGCTGTTAGTTACACCACATACCGTATTTCACAGGAAAACTCTGGGCTGTATTTTCAAAGTACACTAAAATCAGAGCATCTTCAAAATTAGGATCTTTGTTTTTAAGGCTGGAAAGTAGGTAAGACTTATTTTAAAGATTCAAATCCATTATTGGACACTCTTATTCCCAGGCCTTCCTGTCTCTCTTATACAGTCTTCAGTGCAAATTACCGACCCAGTTCTCTTGTTCTACGAACCTAAAATCAGCTCAGCAAGCCTCTTTCCGCTGAGTTGGCTTATTTCCTTCGTCAAATTACTATAATCCTGCACTAAAATAAAACACATGCTTAGCTACCAAAAGAAAAAACTAATTGTAATATGAACTATTTCACCTCCACAGCTTTAATACCACCTTCGAGATTTAATGTTGAAAAGTCAGCAACTCAATTCCTAATATGTACACGCATACATTTTTCTGGCCATCACTGGTTTTAACAACTATTTAAATTCTAACCCGATGTGTGCCAGGCTTACACAAGCATCAATGCACCACCCCCCCACACCCGCCCAAAAGCTCACTACACTGTGGTTCCGAGGCCCGACGACCTGTTTGAAGTATGCCCACATCTTACATTCATTCCTGTGACAAGTCACCCATTTTTCTGCTTAAAAGTCAACTACCCACTACGACTTTAAGTTTAAAAGCGTGAAGAAGAAGGAAAAAAAAAACCGTTGGAAAATGAGTACGTACTCTTTTCGAAGTTCCAACTCTGGAATATAAGGGCTGGCTAAGCGTCCTTTATTCCTCCCCGGAGACACTTCGTTTATCTAGCGGCCCTAGAGACCGGAGAGCTCGGAGAGCACGCCCCTTCCCTCCCCGTCCGGCGGCCGGGCCTGGCTTAAAAACCTTCGCCACCGGGCGGCGGGATTACAAAGGAGGCCGTCCGCCTCCTTTGTCCTGGATTTGGGAGGTGAGCGCCTTCGTCGCCATTGGCTTTCCTCCCCCAGCTCCAGTCTCTCTCATCTTGGCAATCTGCGTCAGAAGCCACTCGCGGTCCCGCCAGCCCCGGCGGCCCTGCCGAGACTGCGGAGGAAGGGAGGCCAGGCCCATCCGGCGCCATTTCAATCGGGAGCGCGCCCGACAACCCAGATCCTCCCCCCCCAGAGCCCAGCCTTTCCCTGTTCGCACCGCTCCCCACCCTCACTCCTTCCAGGCCGCTTTGCCCACCCCCCGGCCTTCCCAGTCAGCGTTCGGAAGTTGAGGGGTAAAAGCAGGAGAGAGAGATGGGCGGGAAACCGGGGTGGCCAAGCCACCGTACCCAAAATGGCGGAGGCCGAGCCAGCAGGGAAAGAGAAAAGCTGGGTGACCCCCACTTCGGGGCTCGGCCTCGTCCACTGAATTCCACTCGAGCAACTTCTGCGACCCACACGACGCCCTCCTTGAAGTGGGAGATCGCTTGGGAGGCGCAGCCTGACCGCCTCAGGGCCGCGACCTCCACACTTCCCCCCCCCACGCCCTTCCCCAGTCTCGCGTCCTTCTCCCGATTCCGTTCTCGAAACTACCGGCCCAACCTACCCCCTTTTTACTTCAGATACCCTGCCGGGCGACAGTAGTGCCAACTCCGGTGCTCGCGGGGTCCGATCTGAGGAGGGAGCAGACGCCCGCCTCGTGTAGCGCTCTCCACAACGGTCCTCCCAACCGTCTCCGGCGGCGGCAACCGCTATGGGAGCTGCGCAGCACAGCGACTGGCTTGGGGGGATGGGAGAGAGCGAGCGAGAAGGAGGGGGTGGAGCGAGAGCAACGAAAACCGGCCAGGCCCGCTCTCGCGAGGCTAGAGAGTCCCGCCGTGGCGCGAGCCGCAGTAAGGTGCGCGTGCGCACTGCTGCGCGCTCTCTTGGGTTAGGGGGGAGGTGGCAAGAGCGCCGGCGACTCGGCTCTTGTTGCTTTCTTTGGCGGCATCACATTCTCTCGGTGTTTCTCTCGTCTTTCTGCCACTTAGGGGAGGTTGTAAGGTGGCAGCGGTCGTCCCTCCAGAGTGATTTGAAGGGATTGTTTTGTGTTTCGGAAACGGCAAGTACCCTGTCCCACCTAGAACAAATTCCTGAAGGCCCCGCCCCCAGCGCCGCGCCACCTGCGTGGACAGGGTGCCACGTGATGTGGCCGCCGAAAGCCGGGACGGCGCTGCATGTCCACCATGTTTGCATTATGCAGGAAAAATGTTTCCCTGCAGTGATGCTCACTGTCCACCAGGCCTGGTTTCTGCTCTTGGGCCGGAGCGCCTCCTCACCCGGGCCCTGGCCCCGCGGCGCTCCAGCTCTTGGCCCGGGTTTTTTTTTTTGACCATGCTTTCCTTTTAAATTGCTTCTGGCTTTCGCATTTTTCTCTCGCCTTTCTTCCTCCCTCCTACTTCTTTATAACCTCAGTGACCAATCACCTACTCAAGGCAGCCGACGTAAGGTTGTTGCCACAATAGGGTTTTGCATCCTTGAAAATTGCGTCAAGTGATGCATAACTCTTTTTGGCTGTACTGCCATATTACAGAGCTTCACACTGTCCCCTTAGGGCCTTTCAAAGTGTCAAAAAAAAAAAAATGCAAGTCGCGTTTCTGTGGGTGGAGGGCAGTCCTGGTGAAGAGATCAGTGCAAGTTAAAATGTAAGTGTATTGCAGAAATGCACGTGAGGGGGAGGAGGAAATGAATTTGAGCACAGTCCTTGTTCCTTTAGCTTGGAATTGTGGGCGAGACTATGTTGTAGACTTTCAATATCCAGACTTTGGACATTGTGCTGTAGATACTGGGAAGCATGTCGAGGGTGAGGTGAGGGAGTTCATGGGGCATTAGCAATGGAAAAGCATAAATAAACTTACACCTTATAGCTTTAATTTAACCGCAAGCCTACTTAAGATAACATATGACACCAAGAATTAGGTAGGACACGGTGGCCCTACTACCTTTCTGGAGCCCACTCTAAAAACATCCCTCAAAGGAATGGAGGAGGGATCGTGTAGTCATCATCACAATGATACTGTAATTTTAGGTTTCTGGGTCTAGTCTCCCTGCCAGGAACGGATCCCAGGCTGCGGTGGCAGCGCTGAGACCCAGCCACTAGACCACCACGGTTGGTGTCTCACAAAACCACAGCAGGAACTTCACTGATGTTTAGGCAAATAAGGGAAAGGAGGCAGATTTGTTTAGAGAAATAGATACAAGGAAAGGTTTATTAAGGAGAAAAGGAACAGAAATAAAGCGGGACTCCCAGGTGTGGCAACAGGCCAGGAAGGGGCAAGGAAGCTGCTGTGGAGCCTTCCTTCGGGGAATATATACCTTCTTTCCCTAATTATTCTAAAGCATCTTCATAGTTCTCTGTGGTCTCAGTTATTCTGTCTTAATGACTCTGTGTCCAGAGTTATATCTTGCATCTCAGCCCTTACAGTCCTTTTGTTGTATGGGATTAGCTCAGGACATCCTTTCCCCCTAACACTTTTCCTTTATCATCTTTGTGTGGAAATGTCCTATTGCCCCTAAGGGGGGAGGGGTTGGTGGGGAGAGGGGGTTCTTTAGTCCCCTTTGGAATTTGTTATCCTTATCTCTGGAGCCTTCCTTATTCCTCACAGGCTTTTCCTATTCTATTCTGACCCTAGTAGCTATCCCCTTGCCCTTTGACTCAACAAGAGGTAGAAAATCAAAATCAGGATAATGGGATAATAGAGATTTATTGGAAACTTTCTTGTGACTCTTTATTAAACCCTGAAAGTTCACAGTAACCTTTTAGAGATAAGGTGCTTGAGTCCTAGAGAAGTGAAAAAAGTTGCCTGAGGCCACATACCTCACAGAAGTTAGGATTTGAATCCAAATGGTTTTACTCCAGGGTCTGGGTCTTAAAGCACTAGGACCTTCCTGGGGTTGTAAATAATTTTTATGAAATCAAATCTCATTTTAAGCAAATTGAAGTTACCTCTTCTGACACTGGAGTTACCATCTGAGGAGACCTGCAGTTACCATTTATTGGCACTTTATTGAAACTTGACAGTCCTGGTGTCACAGTCCAGGACTTGACGGTCCTGATGTTGTGAGTAACCCTCTCTCCACTCCTTTCTTTTTCCTTCTCTCTTTTTTAATAATTGCTTTAAAAAAATAAATAATTACGATTTTAAATAATAACACTCCAAGTCCCACTCTTCAAATGGAGTCCTTCCTTGGTTCTACTTCCCTGGGTTCCAGTTACATTGCTACTTTATCAGGTCTTTCAGCCTGATTTGGTAGATGGAATTCTGTAATCCTCTTCACCTCTTGCCCGAATTCAAACAATCTATTCACTGCTTGATTGAATTTAGTATTTTTTTCACATATTTACTCTATATGGTTATGAGCCACAACTTTAAAATCATTCCAATGACTTTTCACCACCAAGCTGTCATGTTTTCTTTGCTTTTGGCAATAATTTCTCTGTATTGGATACTCTGCTGTTTGCCAGTATGGACACTTAGGGAGAACTTGAAATTAGTACATGCAATCTTTTTGCCTTTTTGTTATTTTATATTATTATTATAAGGAGTAGGAATTTTTGAGTTAAAAATGTACTACATTGGAGTAAACCTAATTTTTATTTGGTGTTCTATTTTACTACTTTTATTTTTAAAAAAGCCTATCAACTATTCCCATTTACAGATTGAATCCTGTAAATAAAGCTTGGTGAGATTAGCTCAACACTGCTATAGTGATCCCTACTGAATTGTTTCCAGATTGATCTCTGTGGAATTGTTTCCATAGAGATAGTAAGAACTAAGGGCTCCCGGCAGCTTTTGGGATTTTTTTCTTTGTCTTTCTTTGGGTCATTTCAGTGCTTTTCTATTAGCATAGAGATCAGAGGGACCTTGGAGAGGATCTTGTTAGAGGCTATAATAAGAGAAAAGATGAAAAAGGAGAAGGACATAGAAGTACCCACACTACCCAAAGGAAAACAAGATGACGAACATGTGACCATGTATTGCACCATCAGGATGAAGAGCAGAGGAAAATTCCATGCAGAGCCCAAAAGAAAGAAAGAAATTGAAAGAGATTGTACTCTTTTGGGGGGGGGGGCGGGGAGAAGGCAATTTAACTAAAAATTGGCTAAGATAGTTATTCCCATACCCACGATGGCATTCTAAAATAACATAAAGGAAGGAGGGGAAATAATGTAAAAGCTGAATTATAATCTTTTTGTCTGTATGCAAAGCAAATAAGCTAAACACATACAAAAGCCACAAATATGTTTTTAGGAATGTATCTAATTAAGGTGGCTAATGTCTTTTGAACACTAGAGGTCTGCTGTGCCATGTGGGTTAGCTCCCTGGCTGGGGATGGAACTCATGCTGCAGTGGCTGGCGATGGCTTGATGACACTGAGAGTTAACCCCTGCACCACTAGGGAGGCCCTGATACTTTCAGTTTCTTCAAGTCATTTAATTGTTTATTCCAGGTCTATGTAACTAAAAAGTCTCATCCAGTTGTAGTAACTATACACTAAGTAAGAAAATGGAGGGAAGCCTTAAACAATTTCTCTAACTTTTGTTTTTTTTTTTTTTTTTTTTAATTTTCTAGAGGCATGTCTTATTTATTTATTTATTATTTGTTTGTTTGTTTGGTTTATACATGCACTGGGTACAGTCAGAAGCGTGGGAGGGTGAGAGAATTCACCAGAGCCAGAGCAGGGAGCAGAGCAGGCCTAAGGACTGAAGTACACTGCTGAGGGGAGCAGCGGGCGGTAGGAGAGGTCTGCTCGCCATGTGGGACCCTCCTCTGGTGGCCGGGGAGCAGCCGGGGATCGAACCGGCTGCAGAGGCTGCAGGCAGCTTCGCAACCCAGCGCTCAACCACTGCGCCACCGGGGAGGCCCTCTCTAACTTTTGAACATCATTAAAAGTATTAAACTTTATGTTCCAGTAGATTACTGTGGAGAACAAGGAAAATGGCTTCAAAAGATAGCTACTTTAAGGAATTTTGTTGCGTTGGGCAACACCACACTGACAAATGGGAGTCATGGAGCAGGCTACATAATGCAGGATGCTGCTGAAGACCAAGATCCTGGCCCTTTTATTGACACACGTAATTGGTTTTTAGGAGATTAGGGAGATTAAGGAAAAGGAAAGGGTGTAGAAGATTAGGGATTGTGAGTCTGCCCTCCAGGCACTTCTAATCTACTTGATGCTACACCCTAATCCCCAGCCATGGTTCTAATCTCATCAACAAGGCCCTCCACTGATCAGCTTCTGGGGTCCCTTGTCATACATCGGTCCTCGGCCCCCTGGGCATTCTGGGCATACTTCCTGATGCACATGTTATGCATTGGTCCTCAGCCCCCGGGCATTCTGGACATACCTTGTGATGTCTAACCTTCCCAGTGTGATCCAGCTTTGTGCTTTTGTTTGATCTGAAGGGTTTAAGGGTTAGGGCTCCTGTTCCTCATTGGCTGGACCACTTTGACCTTGTTTAGGTGACAAAATGGTGGCCGTATAGGCTGCCTAGGAGTAGCAGACCCACAAATTTAAGTCTAATTATCACATTACTTTGACTGTGTCATAAGCACATTCATAACTTAGAAAGCATGGCACAGATGATATGCAAGTAACAGACTATTTCCTCTTGCACATGATTTTAAATTTTTGAGTGGTAGGTAAAATATAGTTTTCAATTATGTATGTATCTATGCCTCTTAGTGTACAAGCAATGATGGTCACCGGGGTGGGGGGTGGACTTACCTTAAGCAACTATTTTTTAACCACAGTCTAGTAAAGTTACCATTTTATGGCCCAAGAATAGAAAATCAGGAGACAAAGAAATACCCCAGAATTTACAAAGAAAATGGCAAAACTTAGAATTGTCTTCATCATCAGGGAGTCATGGAGGCCTAGGTTCCAGTTTGATAATTCCCTACCAGCTGTTTGATTCTAATGCAGTCAAGTTAACTTTCTTAATCTCTAAATGAGTTGTTAAGTTGTTATACAGGGTAGAGACTGTGGGCTGGTAGTTTCCTAATCTGCACATGTAATCTGCATGATAAACCCCTCTTGACTGCACTGAGGGAAGATGGTTTTACCTGAGAAGATATTTTCCTTTGCTATAACCTTGACCCATCTTCTGTCTATAAATATACTTCATTTTGTGTAAGCCCTTTAGGCATCTAGATGGGATGCTGCCAAAACATATAAATTTTTTTTATTAAATATTTGTTTGTTTATGCATATAAGAGGTGGGATACAGGCCAGAGATGCGGGGTGTGAGTGTGAGAGGATTTACCAGAGACAGAGTGGGGAACAGAACAGGCAGATGTACTAAAATACACTGCTGAGGGGAGCAGCGGTCGAGACAGGAGAGGTCTGCTGCACCATGTGGGTCACCTCCCTGGTTGGGTGTTGAACTCGTGCTGCAATGGCTTCGGGTAGCTTCGTAGTGCTGCATCTTAACTCCTGGTGCCATGAAGGAGGCTCCAATTTATGATTGGTTTAATAAAGCCAAGTAGATCTCTAAATTTGTGATTTTTTGTTTCTTAACACTATTTTACCTATTAACACTGATTCAAGAGAGAGTGAAATTCCACCAGAGTTTTACAAAGAGATTGGCTAATCTTTAACCATGAGAAGTATAAAAATTCTAATTCAATGAAATTATTACAATATTATTACAATGAAAAGAGTTATTTTAATAAATCTATATCATGAATTCAAGAAAGTCTGCAAAGCATATTGACAAAATATCATGATATTTACTAAAGCATGAGCCTACTTTGAGTATGTTGAGTCCAAGACAAAAATGTTTTTGCTGGTTTGCATGGTTATATGCTTTTTAATTTTCCAAGTTATTTATAATTAGAAAAACATTCTTTCAAAAGGGTAGTAATTTCATTGCTATAAGCAACATACCTGCTCCTTGAACATTTCACATATCTCATTAAAAACTTAACCTCAGGTTTCACATGCCTTTAAATGTAGATGTGTTAATACAATTTCCTGACTTAGTATCTGGAACTGCTGATGGGTTCTGTATACTAAGTAAAACATTAACTTTTTTTTTTTTTTTTTTTTTTTTAAACGGCAGGGAAAAAAGCAGGCTACCAGCAATTCTGAGAGCCTGGAAAACAGCTTGCAAGGAAAATGAAGCTTCCGATTTTCATAGCAGATGCATTCACAGCAAAAGCATTTCGTGGAAACCCTGCTGCTGTTTGCCTCTTGGAAAATGTAAGTTCTTGGCTTGGAAGTGCAGATCCTAAAATTCTAGACTCCTCTAGAACCAAGCATTTATTAAAAAAAAAAATCAAATCCACCTGTTTACCTCTTCGGTTTGTGTTGTTAAATATTAGCAACATTCTCTGCAAGTTGATTTCAAACAAATTATGTGGTGAGCATTCTTACATGTAAGTTAAATCTAGAGAAACGAAGATTCATGTAAAAAACTAGAGTCAATTTAAAGAAAACTGCAGTTTCCTTTTAGACATAAGATTTTTACTTTTGTTTTTAAATTATTTATTTATGCATACAACAGCTGGGGTACAGGCCAGAGATGCGGGAGGGTGAGAGGATTCACCAGAGACAGAATGGGGAACAGAACAGGGAGATAGACTGAAATACACTGCTGAGGGGAGCAGTGGGCGAGACAGGAGAGGTCTGCCTTGCCATTTGGGTCGCTCCCTGGCCAGCTGGGACTGAACTCGTGCTGCAGAGGCTGAGGACCGCTTCACAGTGCAGTGCTTAACCCTTGTGCCACCAGGGAGGCCCAGATTTTTACTTTTTTCATTTAATTAGCACCAAATATGGAGGAGAATGAAATTTAGATGAGTTTTATGTGACTGGATATATCTGGTAATACATTTAACATAAAAGATTCTAAGGGGATATCTTTTTTTCCCCAAAGATTTAATTTTTTATGTTTTTTTTAATGCATACAAGAGCTGGGGTACAGGCCAGAGGTACAAGGTGGTGGTGAGAGGATTCACCTGAGACAAAGTAGGGAACAGAACAAGCAGATTGACTGAAATACACTGCTGAGGGGAGCAGCAGGGGAGTCAGGAGAGGTCTGCTGCGCCATGTGGATTGCTCCCTGGCAGGGGCTCTAATTTGAACTTGTGGTGGCTGCGGTTAACTTTGTAGATTGTGTCTTAACCCCTTGTGCCACCAGGGAGGCCCTCTAAGTGGATATCTTTAAACTTACATTGTGGGTAATTAAAAATTCTTCTCAGAACCAAGAAAGTGAGACATTTTCCAGGAAATTAAGTAGAAAATAGGAGCATTTAAGTTCTAATATAAGACGAACCTTATTTACTTTAAGTTTCACTTTAAAATGGTTTGGTGATGATGATATATGTTAATAGAACTATTCCTTGACCTTAGGAGCTTTGTGTTGTTACCTGGGCTTTAGGAAACATGTCAAGGTACCCCTCAACTTAAAGCAATTTTAGTGCAAGTTTGGGTTATCTGAGAATTACTTCAGAAACAGAGCGGGCAATGGATGATCTTGTTTTTTAAGTTGGACAAAGTGTGTGTTGGAGACTTCCAGTTCAGTGAATCTCAAGCTTGTCTACACATTAAAATCACCCAAGGAGCTTTAAAAATTCCTATGTCCAGGGCCTTCCTGGTGGCCTATGGGTTGTCTCAGCGCTGTCACCTGTATGGCCTGAGTTCAATCCCTGGTCAGGGAGCTAACCCACATACGGCACAGCAGACCTCTCCTGTCTTGCCTGCTGCTTCCTTCAGCAGTGTCTTTGGTCTGTCTGCCTGTTCTGCTCCCAGCTCTGTCTCTGATGAATTCTCTCACCCTCCAGCGCCTCTGACCTGTATCCCAGTTCTTGTATAAATAAATAAATCTTTAAAAAAAAAAAAAGAACTGGAGTGTAGGTGGGGGGGGGGGTGTTAGGGTGTGAGAGGATTCACCAGAGACAGAGTGGGGATCAGAACAGGCAGATGTACTGAAATACACTGCTGAGGGGATCAGCAGGTGAGATAGGAGAGGACTGCTATGCCATGTGTGTAGCTCCCTGGCTGGGGATGGAACTCATGCTGCAATGGCTGGCAATAGCTTGATAGTGCTGAGACTTTAACCCCTGTGCCATCAGAGAGGCCCAGACATACCTTATTTTCTCCCTCAAGCAGAACAGCAAAATAGTGATTCACAGTCCTTCTCTTACCTTAACGATGCATTCACTATGCAACCTTGCAACTGGCATTTTCCAACCGCAAAATGCAGAAAAAAAAAAAAATTAATAGGCTTTATCAAGTTACACAAGTGCTTGGGAGAACTCGCGGGAGAATAACAGCCAGATCCTAAATCTTTTTTTTTTTTTTTAAAGATTTATTTATGCATACAGGAGCTGGGGTACAGGGCAGAGGTGTGGGGGGGGGTGAGAGGACTCACCAGAGACAGAGTGGGGAACAGAACAGGCAGATTGACTGAAATACACTGCTGAGGGGAGCAGCAGGTGAGTCAGGCGAGGTCTGCTGTGCCATGAGGGTTGCTCCCTGGCTGGGGCTCGAACTCATGCTGCGGTGGCTGCAGTTAGTGTCATAGTTTGCATCTTAACCCCTTGTGCCACCAGGGAGGCCCCCAGATCCTAAATTTTGAACTTTCTTTAGAGACAGTCAGGCAAACAAAACTTTATGTCAAAGATTTGTGGAATTGACTAAAACTGCTTTTGAAGAGTCTCTATATATTTTTGCCCCAATTTCCAGTGTAATAGCCTTGAAGAGTTTTGAAAACAGCATCAATGATTTATGAACTTAGTTTTTGCCAGCTAGCAAGAATTATTTCTTGAATTAAGAATTATTTCAAAAATTATTTCTCAATTTACTCCTTTTACCTCCAGCAACTCGCTAACCACCAGACTTAAGGATCTCTTTCTCCATTAAAACATATTTTATATATTATTTACATATTTGGAAAAACTAGGACATAGAATTTAGGCCAAGAATTTAACATAGTTCAAAGCACTATACTTCAGTACATATGGAAGAAAGAAAAAAAAAAAAATGAGAAAGTCCATGTTTTGAGGATGCTTTTGAAATAGTCTGTTCATTTACTTTTTTGTGTCTTGGGCCTGTGAACCAGGCTAATTTGGTGCCCTATGAGGGACAAATGAATAGATATCTAAAGATTTTTTTGCTAGTTTTCATTTCTCTGAGAATTCTATTCTCTTGGAGGCTAATTTAGCACTTTCCTCAACTCATAAATAATAAAATTAAATGTACTTACATTTATAAGTAAGCTTAAAAATAAGTATAAATGATGACTTCTGTCCTTGGGCTCTTTTATCCTTGACTGAAGACAGTGGATATGCAAAACACTTAGAGAGAATAAAAGGTATCTCAGGACAATAGCGACAAGTAAGTATAGGCCTAATCACAATTCAGTAGGCATTCAGGCTGTCATTATTAACACAGTCTACAAATATTTATCGACCTCTTCCATGAGCCAGGCTCTGGGCTAGGGACAGGAGGTACAAAGATTAGTCAGTCTGGCTGTCTTTGAGGTGCTCAAAGTCTAATGGGTAAAATAGACAAGCAAACCTGATCATTATTTGGTAGTCCCCATAGAAGCTAAAATGAGTGCCAGGTAAAATGGAAACTCAGAGGATGGAAACAGCATTTTATGGAGGGGAAAATACTTCAGGGTATAAATATTGGGCTTCAAAGGAATATTCTTTTTTTCCCTTTAAAATTATGTGAAATCTGGGCCTCCCCGGTGGCGCAGTGGTTGAGCACTGGGTTGCGAAGCTGCCCACGGCCTCTGCAGCGCTGGTTCGATCCCCGGCTGCTCCGGCCACCGGAGGAGGGTCCCACATGGCACGCAGACCTCTCCTGCCTCCCGCTGCTCCCCTCAGCAGTGTACCTCGGTCCTTCTGCCTGCTTTGCTCCCCGCTCTGGCTCTGGTGAATTCTCTCGCCCTCCCACACTTCTAACTGTACCCAGTGCTTGTATAAATAAATAAAGATAAATCTTTAAAATAAAATAAAATAAAATTATGTGAAATCTGACAGAAAAGAAACTAACCACAGAAAAGCATGGTGGGCAGACTAAAGACTAGGTAATTGCACTTTGAACTTTTTGAACACTGGATAAAAGACTGCAGGAAGGGAAGTAATAAAAATAATTCTGGGTAACAAAGTTCTAAGAGCTTCTATAATATTCTAAAGTTCATTTTTTTGGTTTTCCTTTCAAGCGAAATTCATTTAAAAATTTCCATACTAGGAATTTATAACACTGTACCTCAGGTAAAAGCAACAAAATAATGCCTAAGGGGGACATCCCTGGTGGGGCAGGGGTTAAGTTCTTAACACTGTCACCCTATCTCCAGCCACTGTGTATGAGTTTGATCCCCAGTCAGGAATCTCACTACTTGGCGCAGCAGACGTCTCCTGTCTAGCCTGCTGCTCCCCTCAGCAGTGTATTTCAGTAGATCAGCCTATTCTGCTTCCCACTCTTTCTTTGGTGAGGTCACCCCCTACTCTTCTGGGCCTAGACCCCAGTTCTTGTATGCATTAAAAAAAATATATATATCTATATATTTAAAAGAGCTGTAAAAAAAGGTTAAATGGAACATGAAACAGGTTTTTATAGATTTTTTTTTTTTTTTTTTTTTTTTTGGTGGGACCCTCGCTGGCAGCCGGGGAACGAACCGGCGCTGCAGAGGCTGCGGGCAGCCTCGCAGCCCAGTGCTCAACCGCTGCACCACCAGGGGAGGCCCTGAAACAGGTTTTTAAAAAATATTTAAATGTTAAAGAATTAATAGTATCTTCAAATGCCTGACAGACCATGGAGAGTCATGGACACTGTATAGACACAAAGCAAAAAATATGAAATGCATACATTAGATGACAGCTGTGTAAGACAGTACAGAAACTCTTGATAAGTATTAGAGATCAGAGGGCCATGGTATAATATTTAGTGAAAATAGCCTTTTAGCAGGAATAGGGGGCCCAGATTTATTCTCCTTCATAGTCTGTTTCAAGCTTTTTTTGTTTCGTGTTATTGTGGCATTGGTGATGGTGGGCGGTGTGTGTGTGTTTAGGACAGGGTTTCTCAACAGCAGCACTGTTGACACTTTGGACCCTACTGTTTTTTGCTGTTCGAGGCTGTCTTGTATGTTGTAAAACATTTAGCAATATCCTTGGCTGCTGCACAGTCAATCATAGTAGTACCCCCTTTTCCTCCAGCCATGACAATCAAAAATCATCCCCAATTTAGAAAACTGATTTACTGGTTACCTTTTCTAGACTGATTTATTCCTGAGTGTTCCTGTTAAAATTATGTTTTGTGCTCAATATGTACGTTTATTCCAACTCACTGGCATTTACTGGCTGTCTACCAGGTGCTGGAAGCTGCTAGGGTCAAATGTAATATCCATTCATGTGCTTTTTCTTTTTTTTTGAAGATTTATTTATTTATGCATACAAGAGCTGGGGTACAGGCCAGAGATATGGGGATGAGAGAATTCACCAGAGACAGAGTGGGGAACAGAACAGACAGACTGACTGAAACACACTGCTGAGGGGAGCAGCTGGTGAGGCAGGAGAGTTCTGCTTCACCATGTGGGTTGCTCCCTGGCCGACCAGAGATTGAACTCGTGTTGCATAGGCTGCAGATTGCTTCATAGTGTTGTGCTTAACCCCTTGCACCACCAGGGAGGCCCTACTGGGTTATATATTTAAGGAAAAACAGGTTTATAAAAATACTGTGTTTATCCATGCTTCAGCTCACATGGAGAAACTTATGGTGCACTGGCCATTTCCTTCCTTCGAAGGTCATTAGCCAGGTGTGATCACAGTGGGTCAGAGGTTCCTCGGGTTTCTAGGGTGTTCCAATCTCGTATCTCATTTTTATGCCTGTAAGAGGGATGAGGAATGTGGAGAAAATCTCCCAGGACATTGAAAGGTTTTCCTTTGCCCAGTTATGCAGGAAGTATGCAGAGGAGGAGGAGGTGTTAATGTAGGAATTTCTGCTTCTTAGAGATTCTCACTGGCTTTTGGAGCATAATCCTTAGCTGTGAGAGCAGTAACTTCGGGAACTACAGTCAAATACTGTGTTAATTGTTTTTTATATGTTATCTCATTTCAACTATCTAACCAATCTATGAGTAGGTCTTATTATTATTACTCCCATTTTACACATGAAGAAATTGATGCAGGGGAAGGTTAAGTAATTTGGCCAAGGTCACATGCTTCTAAATGACTGACTTCAGGATGCTACCTCAGCTCTGCCTGACCAAAGAGCCCTTCAAGCAACCATACTCACTATTAGACTGGGTGTCCTCTCCTTTTGTATGCCCCTTCGGCACCCCTTATTTCCCAGTTGGTAACACAAATCACTCTTGAGATTCACTTAATACTTATCTTCCTCATTCTTTGATATCTTAACCCATTTTAGACTTTTTTCAACACACCTGGCCTAGTTCATGGGGAGCTCTAAATAGGCATCTGTTGAATGAAAGTAAAAAATATTAATAATTAATAAATTATGGCAAAATCTATTTTTAAGAGTTCCAGTTAACCAACAATTGTTGGCCTTATGTTCTCATTAGTGCAGGGGGTGAGTGAGGTATGCAAAGTGAGTGTGAGCTTTGGGATTTATGAAAGAACTGGGAAGATGAGGCATCTGTAAAAAGCTTTAGGGACAACTGAAGGTGGCCTACAATTTGAATGCTGCTTTTTTTTTTAATTTTTATTTTATTTTTAAAGATTTATTTATTTATTTATACAAGAACTGGGGTAAAGGTCAGATGTGTGGGAGGGTGAGAGGATTCACCAGAGACAGAGCGGGGAACAGAACAGGCAGACTGATGAAATACACTGCTGAGGGGAGCAGTAGGCGAGACAGGAGAGGTCTGCGGAGCCATGTGGGACCCTCGTCAGCCGGCTGGGATCGAACTGGCGCTGCAGAGGCTGTGGACAGCTTCACAGCGCTGTGTTCGACTGCCTGCGCCACCAGGGGAGGCCCTGCTTTTTTTTTTTTAAGATTTATTTTTATACAAGAACTGGGGTACAGGCCAGAGGCGCGGGGTGGGGAGAGGAGTCACCAGAGACAGAGCGGGGAGCAGAATAGGAAGACAGACCGAAGCACACTGCTGAGGGGAGCAGCGGGCGAGGCAGGAGAGGTCTGCTTTGCCATGGAGAGGTCTGCTGACCATGTGGGTATCTCCCTGGCCGGCCAGCGAAAGGAACCCGCGCTGCAGAGGCTGCAGACAGCTTCACAGTGCTGCGCTCAACCCACCGCGCCACTGGGGAGGCCCTTGAATGCTGCCTTATGACATAACTTCAGGATAGGAAATCTAGGAGACTCAGAAGGAAGCTCCTGGTTGCTTTAGAACTTTCTACATCAAAGTTCTTTTCTTTTGTTGGAATCTTAGCAGAGGGACAAATGACCAAAGATAAAACAGGACTGTCCTGTTTAGATTGTTATAGTTCTAAACTGCCACAAGATGGGAGTATTTTAAAACTTTACTAGATGATTTTCTGATCATTAATCTCTTCAGGGCCATATGGTGATAGAACCTCAGTGTCTCAATACCATACCTTGGAACTCAGAAAAACAAACAAGGCTCTGTTTTTGCTGCTGGATATTTGATTAATGTGAAAATGCCAAAGGGAGATGGGTATTGCTACAGGAGAGTAGCTGTTGGTTTGTAACTGTTGTGTATGGCATGTGAAAATAAGCTTGTAGTATACAATGGAAAAATTATTTGCACCAAAATTTGGTATTTTGAATGAATGCAATCTTTCTTTTGTTTTTAGAGCTCTCAAAGTTGAAGCAATACTAGTGTTCTCATGATTCATCTTTATCTCTGGTTTCTATGTAGAATTCAGCTTTCGGTGATGTACAATGAGGGCTGGTACTTTACACTTTTTACATTGTTTCCGATTCCTTAGGAAAATAGGTGCATTTTAAGTGTCCTTGGACAAAAATTGCAGTTATAGAAATTCAAATTGCAAATGGTCCAGTATATCAAAGTAGAGCGGATTGAATAGCTGATGGTCAGTGAAGTGTGATGTGCAAAAAACCCTATTTGCAAAGAAATCTATTACAAATAGATGGTGAGTTTAGTCTCATGCAGCATGCTTAAATGCTTTTATTTTTATTTATTTATTTTAAATATGAAAAATTTATTTATTTATGCATACAAGAACTGGGGTACAGGCCAGAGGTGTGGGGGGTGAGAGGATTCACCAGAGACAAGTGAGGAGCAGAACAGGTGAATTGACTGAAAATACACTGCTGAGGGGAGCAGCAGGCAAGACAGTAGAGGAGAGGTCTGCTGTGCCATGTGGGTAACCTCCCTGTCTGGGGATCGAACTGATGCTGCAGTGGCTGTGGATAGCTTCATAGTGCTGAGACTTAACCCCTTGCGCCACCAGGGAGGCCCTTAAATGGTTTTAGATAGCCTTCGTATAGGTCAAGAGAAGCAATAGAAAAAGAAAGAACAAGCATAGGCAGTTTGGCCAGATCAGATAGCTAGAGGGTTGGCAATTACTGCAGATTCCTGCATCCAAATCCAGGAAGGCAAATGCAGGAAGACAAGCACAGACTTTCCCGTCTCACCCTATAATTACCATTGAAGCTTGTGGTTGAAAACTCCACATCAGAATTAAATGACCAAAATTTCTCTCAAATGTTGTATGCATGGGCATATGGGCATATGGGCCAATCCCCACAGAGAACATTCAATAGGCCATGTGAAATAATAGTTCAGTTCTTAACTTGGTGCCTCCTTCCCAGCAGCCCACATTCCCCTCCTCTATGTAGGTGGGACTTCTCACTCCCTGTGCCCACAGGTCCACACATATGAAAGTTTCTCATTTCACTCCATTCCTACCATCCGGCTTCTCCTTACTTCCCTCACAGAATTCTAGCGTATCAAAGGTTTTATAGGTTAGTCACTGATTTAAAAGAACAGAAGAGGGCCTCCCTGGTGGTGCCAGGGGTTAAGACGCAACCTATGAAGCTATCTGCAGCCACTGTAGCCCAAGTTCTATCCCCCGCCAGGGAACTGACCCACATGGCGCAGCAGACCTGTCCTGACTCGCCCGCTGCTCCCCTCAGCTGTGTATTTCAGATTTCAGTCAATCTGCCTGTTCTCTTCCCCACTCTGACTCCGGTGAATCCTCTCACCACCCCCTCCCCCACCTCTGGCCTGTACCCCAGTTCTTGTATGCATAAAATAGATAAATCCAAAAAAAAAAAAAAAAAAGAACAGAACAGAAGAGAGGTCAAATGATCTGTCCAAAGGCGGCGGGAGGGAGGTGGGAGGGAAGCCGTGTCCGCGAAAAAAAAAAAAAGAAAGAAAAAAAAAATGATCTGTCCAAGAAGCCCAAATGCAAAGGTCTTTGCCCACATTTTCCTATCCAACTCACCATAATCTGCCCTTTTTCTTTTCTTTTCTTTTCTTTTCTTTTAAGGTTTATTTATTTATTTATACAAGCACTGGTTATAGTCAGAAGCGTGGGAGGGTGAGAAGATTCACCAGAGCCAGAGCAGGGAACAGAACAGGCAGACTGGCGAAATACACTGCTGAGGGGAGCAGCGGGTGAGACAGGAGAGGTCTGTTGCACCATGTGGGACCCTCGCTGGCGGCCAGGGATCGAACCGGTGCTGCACGGCTGTGGGCAGCTTCCGCAGCCCAGCGCTCAACCGCTGTGCCACCAGGGGAGGCCCCATCTGCTCTTTTTCTAAATCTACCTCAAAGCCTCATCTTTAAATTCAGAGTATTTATTGTTAAGACCTGTGCATCTCTGAGTTTGTGGCAATTCCAGTAGGGGTGATTCTCTTTAGAAGAGTACACATGCTCTTAGACTAGACGATAATCTGGCAAAAGATAGGCAGGCCATTCAGTTCTAGTTTTGTATGTCTGCAACTCATAACATACTGTTAGCCTGAATTTCTGAAGAAAATAAAACCCTTCATAAAAGTGCCTTGAATGCCTTGATAATTATTTCCTTTTAAGCATGTAGCTTTTAATATGAATAAACTGTTACTAACTAGTGGCAGTTAGTGTCCAAGAAAGTCTGATTTGTGTTTCTGGAGTCTCAAGCTTTTGTTTCTAATTCAGGAATTGGATGAAGACCTGCATCAAAAAATTGCAAGGGAAATGAACCTCTCCGAAACTGCTTTTATCCGAAGACTGCACTCAACAGACAACTTTACCCAAAGTAAGTATGCTTTTTTTTTTTAAAAAGCCAATTTTGAATGGTACCTGAAGTTGCTTTTCCAATGGTAGAATAATATTTAAGGGAAAGGTCCAGTTACTTACTATTTGTTTGCTCCAGGAGATAGAGGGAGAGATTCCAATTTGGTTTTTAGTTCATTGGGAAATGGGTGTTGGTTAATTTGAAGGTTTCATCTCCAGATCTTGCCCTGAGGAACCCTAGGATGTTTGTCTAGACTTTACCTGTCCTTTCGCAACATCTCAGCTATCAGTCACATCAGTAAACTGCTTAGAAAAGAATAAGAAATGGAAAGGTTTGAAACCCATCTGTATGTGAATGACCTGGTCTCTTTGATTTTTCTTCCTCTGAAGGTTCCTGCTTTGGATTAAGGTGGTTTACTCCGGCAAGTGAGGTCCCCCTCTGTGGTCATGCTACCCTGGCTTCTGCAGCTGTGCTGTTTTACAAAATAAGTAATAAGATTTTACTTTCTGAACCTATCACTTATCTGATAGCAAATATTTAAAAAATTCTCACCATCTTTCTCTTTTCTTTTTTTAAAAAAGATTTATTTATTTATGCATACAAGAACTGGGTTACAAGTCAGAGGTGTGGGGAGGTGAGAGGATTCACCTGAGACAGAGTGGGGAACAGAACAGGCAGATTGACTGAAATACACTGCTGAGGGGAGCAGCAGGCAAGACAGGGGAGGTCTGCCTCACCATGTGGGTTTCTCCCTGGCTGGCCAGGGATCGAACTCGTGCTGCAGAGGCTGCTGATTGCTTCATAAGCTGTGTCTTAACCCCTTGTGCTATCAGGGAGGCCCTCACACTCTTTTTCTGATGAACCAAAGAGACTGGTATAAAGGTATCACAGTTTATTTCTTGTAATTCTTGATGGAGAAACAAAACTGGCAAACTTTGGTAACACTTCTGTTGGCCTTTCTGAGTATATGTCAGGCGTCTTTGGAAATCATAGTTGTTATTCCCTGGAATCCCATTTTATTTTACATAGAATTTCATTCCACAATAAATTTTAAAGCTTCTTAGTCCTGATTATATACATTTGCCTTTGATGATAATAGAGCATATAGCACCTTAATCCTACCAGTTTCCATTTGAGCTGCATTTAGTTTAATAGATAAAGATCATGGCTTTGTGGGAGTGGGACAGAGGAGAGATGCCTGGCAGTGCCCTAAAAGGAGTGACAGAAGCAGCCACATACAAGCATAGATAACAAATAGAAATTTCAGCAAGGACTTCAGCAGGATGATATGACAGAGGGTAACTGCAGAGTGTGAGGAGTTGGAAAGGAGGTTCCTTGAGGAAATTACTTTAGATAAGGAGAGTGAGGGAAGGTGTTGCAGGACAGATTCCTCTAGGAAGCAGACTCTGAGACACCTTCGCATGCTGTTAAAACTGGGGACAGTTTTCCTGGGATCAGTAATGGTAGGAGTGTAAAGAGAGCAGGACTAAACTGAGAGAGACGTTCAACTACAAATTGGTAGCAACAAAGAAAATTCTAGGCCAAATCCACAGGGAGGCCTGAAGCTAGGAAGGTCCTTCAAGCAGGATAGTTCCAAAAATAAACAAAGATGCATGCCTTGACTAGTCCCTAGTTCCCAGGAAAGCCTGTGTGACTTTGGGTAAAGTAGCTCATTTAGTCAAGGCAGTTCCTAGAGCAGGCCTCTTGGCAGCTGAGTCAGGATCTGTGGAAGTGTGATAAATCGAGGCCTGAAGGTGGGTGTCTCTTAAACTTTTGTGCCTCCTGTCTTCTCTGCCTCATATAGTTCTGGCCCTGAGAGGAGAGAGGATGAGATTCTAGACACAGCATCCACTAGAGAAGGGAGTTTTGGGGCTACAGAATAAGATGAAGCCCTCTTTGTGAAGAACAGAACTCATTATTGAGGAAGAACAATGTGGGCAGAGGCAGCAGCAAATACAGAGCCTCTGGGGCACAGTGTATATAACCAGGGCAGCTGGAGCTTTCTGAGGGAGAGGTGGATGGGCAGGAGACAATGTTGAGAGTTAAGCCTTGTAATCTATAATGTAATTCATTATATATCTTCAAAAGATAATTTAGGTTTATGTGGATAGGGGATAAGAATGGAAGGAAGGAAACATCCTGAAATGTTTAGTAACTCAGTCTTGAAAAGTTGCTTTTATTGAAGTTGGATTGTGTGACTTTTGAAAATGCCACCTAGTATGATGCTAGGTTTGGAATGCTAGCTTTCAGATCTCCCAAAGGATTCTCTTAAAGTTAGAAGAGATAAGGTCCCCCCAAATACTTTGTGAACGATGATGCCTTATACCAATTATAATGAGAAAAATTAAACTTCTGGCTTCAGAATGTGAATTTTATGCTCAGTAAAGTTGACAAACAATGTTGAATTTTCTCACCTTTAAGATATGGTACAGTACTATAGAAATATTGGGGGTGGGGGGGTGGTGAAAAGAATTAGGTTACTAGTATTTCTTTTCACTAAAAATGTTGCAGATTGAAGTGAGATAGGTGGCCTGAGTTGTCTCAGTAACTTGGGGGGTATTATATGAACATTTGCAGTCCAATCTTTTTTATGTACAACTTGTTTTATTTAGAATATATCTGATTTGTTTATAGTAGACTGTCGTACTGTGTATGTTCTAATGTCATCCTTTTGGCATACCTTAGACTCCTAGAGTTTATCACTATAGTTACTATAGGTGGATATTTTAAAATCTACATTAGAAAACTCTATAGCATCTCTCTGAGATTTAATTATTATCCTGTTTTACAGGTAAGCTGAAATTTGCATCAGTTTAAATATATCTCATTTTATTGATGAGAAATCAAGGTTAAGGAGGTTAAATAACGTGTTCAGGTGTACAGCTAGTAAGTGGAAAGCAGCCAGGATGTGAAACGTTGCCGAATAAGTCAAGTCCAATCCTTTATGCTCTTAGCTCTCAAATTAGCATCTGATAAGCATTTTCGACACTCTAGACCCCAGCAACCCAACTGAGGCTGCCTTCACAGGAAAGGACAACACTGCCAGAAAGGCTAAGATGGCACAAAGCAAACATACATCAAAGTTTGGCTTCCTATTTCTTGATTCCTTTTCTATTTTTTTTTTAAGATTTATTTATTTATGCATGCAAGAGTGGGGGTATAGGCTACAGGTGTGGGGGGTGAGAGGATTCACCAGAGATAGAGTGGGGAACAGAGCAGGCAGATAGACCGAAATACAGTGCTGAGGGGAGCAGCAGGAGAGTCAGGAGAGGTCTCCTGCGCCATGTGGGTTGCTCCCTGGCCAGGGATCAAACTCGTGCCGCAGTGGTTGCGGTCAGCTTCATAGGTTGTGTCTCAACCCCTTGCGCCACAGGGAGGCCCCTCTTGATTCCTTTTCAAACAGTTTTTTCATTGTTGCATTATGACCCCCCTCCTTTTTTTTTTGACCAGAAAATGTGAATAGCACTCTAACCTTTGTCACTCTGAGTGGGGAACTAAAGGCCAGAAAGGCAGAAAACGGTATCATCCTGGACTTGCCTCTTTATCCAACCCAGCCCCAGGTCAGTGCTTTTTTAATCACTGCTATAAATGGTGTACAAACCAACAGCTTGCCTATTTTACAATGGTTTTGTCTTTTTCCCTCCCACCTAGGACTTACGTGAAGTAGAGAAGCTGATAAAGGTAGGTGAAAAGAATCAAACCAGATCTTGTGTGATTTCTCATTTGTTACAGATTGAATACAAAGATGTGGTACCCCTAGAACAGGACTTTTATCAGTATAAATATTCCAATCTAAGCTGAAATGAGCAGTGTGTGCTGCATTTGAGGTTTAAATTTTAATGTTGAATCTATTTGGTGAGAAGTCTGGCCAGTTCTTCCTGACTTTCCTGATAGCATTAGCCTCCACCACAGGGCGGAGGGGGAAAGAATGGAAACTGCTTGGCAGCTGTTGGTGTTCCCAATTTCTGCAGTGAAGGATGAGGCTGAGATGGGGATCTGTGCTTTGATGGAGGAGAGCAGGAAAGCCTGAGTGTACCTTCACAGAGGGGACACATAGCCTGGCTGCCCGGGTCTAGGTGGGGGGTGGGGCATAATAATGATAGCAATAAAAGAACATTTTAAAAAAAGATTTACTTATTTATGCATATAAGAACTAGGGTGTAGGGCCTCCCCGGTGGTGCAGCGGTTGAGCACTGGGTTGCGAAGCTGCCCGCAGCCTCTGCAGGGCCGGTTCGATCCCCGGCTGCCGGGCGAGGTCCCACATGGTGCACAGACCTCTTTTGCCGCCCGCTGCTCCCCTCAGCAGTGTACTTCATCAGTCTGCCTGTTCTGTTCCCTGCTCTGGCTCTTGTGAATTCTCTCACCCTCCCGCTCTTCTGACTGTACCCAGTGCTTGTATAAATAAATAAATAAAATCTTTAAAAAAAAAAAAAAGAACTAGGGTGTAGGCCAGGGGTGCTAAGAGGTAAGAGGATTCACCAGAGACAGAGTGGGGAGCAGAATAGACAGATCTACTGAAATACCCTGCTGAGGGGAGCAGCAGGTGAGACAGGAGCGGTCTGCTGAGCCATATGGGTTACCTCCCTGGCTAGGGATCGAACTCATGCTGCAGTGGCTGTGGATAGCTTCATAGTGCTGAGACTAACCCCTTGCACCACCAGGGAGACCCCTAATAAAAGAATATTTTTGAGAGCCTTCCCTGTGTAGTACCACTTGCTAAGCATTGCACATGCATTATCTCATTTAATTTTTCACCTTGATCCAGTGAAGTTGGCACTATAATTGTTCCACAGGGATTCCAAAATATTATCATTTTGTATTCCTAGAAATTGTCATTAAGATTTCCAACTGAGGGCCTCCCTGGTGGCACAAGGGGTTAAGCACAGCACTATGAATCTATCCGCAGCCTCCGCAGCACGAGTTCGATCCTGGAGCTACCCATATGGTGCAGCAGACTTCTCCTGTCTTGCCCGCTGCTCCCCTCAGCAGTGTATTTCAGTCAGTCTGCCTGTTCTATTCCCTGCTCTGTCTCTGGTGAATCCTCTCACCCCCCGCATCTCTGGCCTGTACCCCAGTTCTTGTTGCATAAATAAATCTTTAAAAAAAAAGATTTCCAGCTGAGAATTAAACATTCAAATTGATGTAAGAATCCATGCAGAGAAGGACTAAATGACACTTTAGAGGGATTGAAAGGTCCTGGAGACCAGATGGGATCTGGCTGCAGGAGTTTCTATTTCTAGAGGGAGGTACATTCATAAGCCTCAATCACAGAGGCAAATAGCCCAGGTACCATACCATTTAGAGGGAGCCTTAACCTTGGGACCAGAGCATCTCAGTCCCTAAAGAGGATAAGAGAATCTGAAGTCTCCTTTGATAGCCACACTACTACCATTTAATTGTCATTTACTCTGCTGGAACTTGCGATAGTACCAAAGGATGACTTGGAGGGCCTTTTATCCCCCTATAATCTCAGCACCCCAAACCATCAAACAAAGAAGCAAACAAGGTTTCTTGGATCTGAGCAAAATTTTATGTAGCCTTAGCTAAAGGGTGAATCAAGCACTTTATAAAATGTTGTTTTGTTATTGATCTACAGCAAACAACCTAAGTGAAAATAGTGTGTTTGTCAAGCAGAGCAGTATTAGCTGAGTGCTATAGTCTCCACTTCCGATCAAATTGCTGCTCCAGAGTCCTTGATATGTAGAATGTTTTAGTTAATCCGCATCTAGTCTTCGTAACAACTCTAGGAGGTAGGTATAAAGTCCTCCCCACTCCCACTCTAAAGACAGTAATGATTCAGAGTTTTGACTCACAAAACACCTGGGATAAGTTGTAAGTGTGTGTGTGTGCAGGTGCATGCAAAAATGTGTGTGTGTGTGTGTGTGTGTGTGTGTGTATGATGCTGGGCCTCTCTTTCTCCTTGTCTGTGAGGAAAGATCTATTTTTTTTTAAAGATTTATTTATTTTTATTCAAGAACTGGGGTACAGGCCTGATGTGCGGACGGGTGAGAGAATTCACCAGAGACAGAGTGGGGAACAGAACAGGCAGACTGATGAAATACACTGCTGAGGGGAGCAGCAGATGAGACAAGAGGGGTCTGCCTCGCCATGTGGGATTCTCACTGGCTGGCTGGATCAAACCTGTGCTGCTGAGGCTGCGGACAAGCTTCACAATGTGGCGCTCAACTGCCTGCGCCACCAGGGAGGCCCGGAAAAGATCTATTGTAAGCCTCTGTGGTCACCAGGAAATTCACCTTCCTTGAGTAACATTTTGAGTTCCCAAACTTAACTGCAACCCTTGGGACTGAAGATGATGGTGCTCCTGACACACAGCAGATGCTCATGAGTGGTCATTTGCTATCGAGAGGACCACAAACTTGACCCAGGGCATCTCCTGAGTTTCTGGTCTGTCCCCACAGACTGCCATAGGTGACACCAGGGTCCAGGACATCCGCTATTCTCCAGATACCCGAAAGCTCCTTGTCCGGCTGAGTGATACTTACGACAGGTAAACAAGATTTTTGTCTGTCTGCGCTACAGGAGGGTTCAGCCCCCAGATTATAACTCTGGTTTGGTCTGGCTGTGCTACGTCCACTCAAACCATAATTTATGTAGCCAGAAAAATTGTTCCCTAGTAAGAAGTTAAAACGAGTTCTCCCCTCCCATTCGCTGAGCTGTTGGGGCAAGCTGCACCTGGCCTGTTTTACAGTGTGTGCAGTGAGTGGTCTGCGAAATGGGTTTGTTCTAATCCATCTCATTTATGATCAAGGTCATTTCTGGAGAACCTGAAAGTGAGCACACAGAATCTGCCGCAAATTGAAAGCTCAGGGAAGGTGAAAGGACTCATTCTTACCCTTAAAGGACAACCTGGTGGGCAGACCAAAGTGTTTGACTTCTACTCCAGATACTTTGCACCATGGGTCGGTGTAGCTGAAGATCCTGTAACAGGTATTTTCTGACATGGGGCAAGGGGAGGGTTAAACAAGAGAGGAGGAGGATCATAGAAAGCTGTTTAAGTGCCCTTCTTGTGACCTTTTGGGTGTGTGAGTTGAGCTGCCTTTGTTTCCCTGTCTGCCCCCACTCCCATCCCTTCACTGAAGTCTCAAATGAAAAACACAGAGTAAAGGAGGTGGTAGAGCAGGCTTAAATCTCTGTGTAAGGCTGGATTTGTATCTTAGCTTCCTAGCTGTTGACCTTGAGCAAATGACTTAACTTTTTAGAGTTAAGTTCCCTTCTTCATAAAGCATGTATATTACCTCATAGGGCACGTTGGTGTGCTTAGCCCAGTACCTGGCACTTGGTAAGTGCCTAGTAACTATTACCTAATTTTATTTATTTATTTTAAAGTTTATTTATTTGTACAAGCACTGGGGTACAGGCCAGAGGCGCAGGTGGGTGAAGGAATTCACCAGAGACAGAGCAGGGAGCAGGACAGGCAGAAGGACTGAAAACACTGCTGAGGGGAGCAGTAGGTGAGACAGGAGAGGTCTGCTGCACCATGTGGTAATCTCCCTGGCTGGCTGGGAGTTGAACCCGTGCTGCAGAGGCTGCAGACAGCTTCATAGCGCTACGCTCAACCCGCCACACCACCGGTATTACCTAATTTTAATAATAACAATAAAACTGCCCCCCTGAGTTGCCACTTCCAGATTTGACATTTGTAAAACTTAGGGACTGATGTCCACTAGAGTCCCAAATGCTGTCATTCTTTTCAGTGACAGGCATGCATGACCTTGATATCTAGATAAGATTTGGCTTTTGAAGATTTTTTATTTATTTATACAAGCACTGGGTACAGTCAGAAGTGTGGGAGGGTGAGAGAGAATTCACCAGAGCCAGAGCGGGGAGCAGAGCAGTCAGACTGACGAAGTACACTGCTGAGGGGAGCAGCGGGCCTGGCAAGAGAGGTCTATGCGCCATGTGGAACCCTTGCCGGCAGCCGAGGATCAAACTGGCGCTGCAGAGGCTGTGGGCAGCTTTGCAGCCCTACGCTCAACTGCTGCACCACTGGGGAGGCCCCAAGATTTGGTTTTTGAAGGAAAAATTTCTGGCATGCAGGTAGGAAATAGAAACAGGAATAGTGTTTCTTTTCCTCTTTTCCCAATCCTGCTCTCAAGTGGGAATGTGGGGATTGGAGTTCTACCAGGCAGAAGCAGAGGGATAAATGAAAAATAGGCAAGGGCAAGAATATGAAGCCTCCTACTTTCATCTTCTTTGAGAGTAATGGGCTAAGCAGCAAAAGGGTGGCAATGCTTGATGGAGAAGACTGGTATATGGGGTGGTGACCCAGGTAGAAGGAACCTGGGCAGATCACAAATGCCAGGATAGCTTCATAACCTTGATTTAGTTACTCTCTGAGGAATAAAGCACATTAAATTCAAAGCTCAGCAAGCAAACACTTTTAAATGACTCAGGAAAATGCCCAATGGCATCCAAATAGTCCAATTCAACCTCTTCTCCTGGAAGAGAATTTCTGAGTGGATTGTTACACGCATAGTTGCTTCACAAAGATATTAAGTGGCACAAAGGGCAAGTATTTCCCCCTGTAAAATGCTTTTCCATAGTGGGAAGGGATTTGGGCTGTGATCAACCACTCAGTTTGCTTGGGACTGAGGGGTTTCTTGGCACACAGCACCTTTAGTGCTAAAACAAGGACAGTCTTGGGGAAACTGGGCTGGCCGGTCACGCTGAGGGGTCTGATAACATTTAATATTTAATTAATTAATTAATTTATGTACACAAGAACTGGGGTGTAGGCCAGAGGTGTGGGGGTGTGGGAGGATTCACCAGAGACAGAGTGGGGAACAGAATAGGCAGATGTACTGATATACACTGCTGAGGGGAGCAATGGCTGAGTCAGGAGAGGTCTGCTGCGCCATGTGGATCAGCTCCCTGGCCAGGGATGGAACTCATGCTGCAGTGGCTGGCAATAGCTTCATAGTACTGACACTTAACCCCTTGGGCCACCAGGGAGGCCTTCTGATAACATTTAATATGTTTTCCTGAAGGAGGAACTTTTCTTCCTCTTCCTTTTCTCTCCCAAAGACCCTAGTATCATTTATTTGTTTCTATTTTGTTTCTTCATTTTAATATCTATCTTCTGATCTCTATGTAGGGCACAATCATGTGGGAAAAAACCTCCTTAAAAAGAAAATTCTTTTGGCATTAAAATCCTGGGAATGTTGACTTGGTGGAAATTTTGGCCTTCTGTCAGATTTCCCACCTTTCCTTGCACGTATATCTTAGACAGAAGGAGATCTTTTACCTTGAAAGATGTAGAAAGGTTTTGTGAAGGTAAAGATATGATTTCCCTGTCATGGGGTAACAATGAATTGATGAGACAAGAATAAAAACCTGCGATTTGGTTAATTTAACCTTTAGAAAGTATGAGACAGTGGATACCTCATTTAGAGGAGATTACCCATCAATTCTCATTCTTTTTCCACTCCTAATTTCACAATCTGCTGTGGCAGGGGTCACAGCATGATTCAGTCATATAAGGTTTTGTCAAACTGTTTCAATTGCTTATGAATTTACCACAAAGTCAACCCTGTTTTCTTAGGGATTATGTCATAACTTTTCATTTCTTTTTAGGGTCTGCACATACTGTTCTCAGCAGCTACTGGTCCCAGCAACTGGGGAAGAAAGAGATGTATGGTAGGACAACTGTTTTATCAGTTTCTATTTCATTTGCTTAACTTTAAGCTAGTACTTTTTCTCATATGTACTGTCCATTTTTTAAAAAATATTTATTTATTTATACAAGAACCGGGGTACAGGCCAGATGCACGGGAGGGTAAGAGGATTCACCAGAGACAGAGCGGGGAACAGAACAGGCAGACTGATGAAATACACTGCTGAGGGGAGCAGCGGGCGAGACAGGAGGGGTCTGCCTCGCCATGTGGGATTCTCGCCTGCTGGCCGGGATCGAACCCGCACTGCAGAGGCTGCAGACAGCTTCACACTGTGGCGCTCAACTGCCTGTGCCACCAGGGAGGCCCTGTACTGTCCATTTGACAATGTCTAAAATGTTATGTATCACCCAGGTGAAAAATTTTTTGAATTCTCTCACCCTGAGTCCTTTACTGAAAACATCCTGCACTCCAAACATCTCCCATCACCTCTGTTTCTCCCAACACATGGGCACAATAAGTGCCCAACAAATTTTTGTTGAATAAAATTAGTTAGTTGTGTAACAGAAACCATTTATAATGCAACAGGTTGAGGTTGGATGCTCACCCAGGCTCCTTTCTGCCCTCACTAGTCACAGGATTGAATAAAAGAGTTGCTTTTGAACCTATTCCCCTAGTGATTGTATATTGCTCAAAGGCAGAGAAAACAGATCAGTACAGCCAGTGCAGGCTACACGACCCTGATAATCAAAGTAGGAGTTCCCCTCCCTGCAAAGGGATGGGAGTCTTAGTTAGCGGAGGACCGAGTCTCTGTCCCGACTTGAGGGTACCAGGGTGGCTGTTCTGTCTTTGCTGAGTCTAGTCACTCCCTAAGCACTGAGCTCCAGGAAGGCTCAGGGCATGTCTCTCTTGTTTGTCTGGTACGTGGCTACTTGACGACCACGGTAACTGAATGCAGTCCCTTTTTCCTATTCAGACTTGGGAAGAGGGAGCCTTCTCAGGAGGTCCAAGGCCAAATGTGTTTATCTCCTTAGATCTAATTTATGCCTCTATCTTTTTACATGTCTGTGCTTTATGCCTGGAGAGCACAGATGGGGTGTTTCTGGGCATTATAGGAAGTGATTGAGGAAGTGGTCCAGAAAAAGGCTCAGTAAGGGAAGACTCAGAGTTGTGTGTTTTGTAGATCAACTTGCCTTTGTGGCCCCTGAGTCCATAGGGGAAAGGGGATGGGCCTGGGCAATACCATAGACAGATGGAGGAATTTGTTCTTTACACTGACTGGAAAGAGCTTGTAATAAAAGGTCTCTTGCTAATTTGTGAGGTCTTTCTTAATTTGTGACTCATTTTATTTTTCTTTAGCCTTTCAGTGTTCCCCCCGAGGAGGAGAACTGGAGATTTCATTGCGTTCTGATGGACGAGTTGACATTCGGGGAGGTGCTGCTATTGTTGTAGAGGGCACTCTGACAGCTTAGAGAGAATTGTGCTGTGAAGCTGCTATCTTGAATGACTAAGTATTTTCTGTATACAGAGAAATATAAGGGATTGCCTTTATCAAACTTGAATAGTAAACTTAATCTTTGTTAGAATTAGAAAATGAAGCATATTAATGGATATTTAATAATGATTACACATTACTTAACTAATGGGGTTTTGGCTCCACCTGTGAGTGTATTTCAAATAAGTAACCAGTAATGAAGAGCAGTGTAACCTTTGATAATGACTACTAGTCACAGAAGGGAGAATACATCTTTAAGGGGTAAGAATGAACCATTTAAATTTAGATGTGAGAATCTGATGGAATATTTGGCAGCCATTAAAAAGACCCAGTGGGACCTCCCTGATGGCCTCGGACTTAAGTCTCAGTACTACCACTGCTACAGCCTGAGTTTGATCCCTGGCCAGGGAACTGCCCCACATATGGCACAGCAGACCTCTTCTGTTTTGCCCACTGCTCCCCTTAGCACTGTTCTGCTCCCCAGTCTGTCTCTGGTGAATCATCTCAATCCCTGCAACTCTGGCCTATGCCCCAGTTCTTCTATGCAAAATTTAAAAATAATTATAATTAAATTAAATTAAAAGACCCAATAGCATAAGATAGAAAAATATTTTGTTATAATACTAAGAAAGAAAATTACAGTATACACTAAGATAGTAGCCATGTTCTGCTGCCTATAGGGAATATGAACTTATATGGACAAGAATGGGTCATGAAGATAGAAAAGTGAAGGTACTTCACGTGTTGGGGGTAAGATTGAGAGTAATTCTGATGTATCTAAAAATTATGGATTTTTTTCCATATGGAAAAAACATGGAATTTTAATGGAACATGCTCATGTTTAATAAATAAAAATTAGGACATGTAATGAAATAAAAAAATCCAGAAATTTAAAAAACCTGTGTGTATTATGTGTTAATAAAATAAAACTCTGAAAAAAAACACCAAAAGAAAAATTCTTCCTTCAAAAAGTAAATAAAATGATACTAAACACTGCAAGAAATGTTAATCTTGACAAGCAGTTTTAGAGTGAAAACTTTAGTGGGGTTGTTCTCCAACTTTAAAAAATGAGTTTTAATATAACTTTAAATTCATTTAAATTTATAATATTCAATACCCATAATTAACTTGGGATGGGGCCATTTTCAAGTCATTAAGTGTTTAAAGTTATCTCATTGATGGCAGTGCTTAGCCGTGTCAAAAACTACAAACCAATCAGGTAGAAATTGCTGTAGCACCCCCATTTTGTTTTTTACCTTAATGCTATTATGTTTCTATTTTTGCTGAAGCATGTGAAAGTAAATTTATTATAGCAGTAGTTTTCTGCTTCCCCTAATTTGCAATAAAGTAGATAATTCACCTGTTTCAGTGATTAATGAGTAACCAATGACTTGCCACACTCTAAAGCACAGCACAATGAATCGGTGGGGCGTGGCATGGCACCAAGGGCCAGGATTACTGGAGGGTTTCCACAAAGTGCAAGGTTTTCCAAACCTGGGACTGAACCATATGAATAATTTTATATCTGTGTTGTTGAAAAGTTCTGAAATTTCTCTCTTAAATGTATGCTAAGTTCTTAATAGATATTTTTTGGAAACAAGTCTCTGAGATGACTGAGTTTTTTCGTGAAAGTTGCAATTTGAAGCATCTGAGTTGACTTTTAATCCAGTATTTTCAAACCCCGTATTCACATTTGTGAGTTGAAATTGCCATTTAACTGGGAATAGTTGAGTCAGTAGTCAGGGCAACTGATTATAGTTCCTAGTTTACTAGGTAAACCTGCAAAAGATTGACTGAGAGCTGTGGTGTCCCCAGTGCTCCAGAAGTAGCAACCAGGGGAGCAGGGGTGGCAGCTGGACAAGCACACCTGAATAAATAAACAAGAGGGAATGAAATGATGTTGTTGTTTGTTTTTTTTAATGAACCTCACATTTTTTTTTCCTTTTTTATATAAATTTTTTTTAATTTTTATATTCCCCATATAATTGCAACCCCCTTATTTTGACCCGATCCCTCCCCTCCCCGCACCCCACCTCCCACGAGTGTCTCTGGTTCATAGTTGTTTGTTGATTTTGATTTTCACTTTCTTATAGTTATTCTTTTTCCTGGTCCCTTATTTAAGTTTTCTAGATTCCTGCTATGAGTGAGACCATCAGGTATTTTTCTTTTTCTTTTTGGCTTATTTCGCTGAGCATGATCCCTTCCAACGCCATCCATGTTGCTGCAAATTGCATTTGTTTATCTTTTTTGAATGCTGAGTAATATTCCATGGTGTATATGTACCACATCTTCTTGATCCAGTCATCTATTTTTGGGCATTTGCGTTGTTTCCAAAGCTTAGCTATTGTAAACAGTGCTGCTATAAACATAGAGGTGCAGGTGGTCTTTGGAATTGATGTTTCTGTGTCCTTTGGGTAAATCCCTAGGAGTGGAATTGCTGGATCATATGGAAGCTCTATGTTTAGTAGGTCAAGAAATCTCCACACAGCTCTCCATAGTGGTTGGACCAGTTTGCACTCCCACCAACAGTGCAGGAGAGTTCCTTTTTCTTCACAACCTCGCCAACATTTGTTGTTGCTAGTTTTTTTAATATGTGCCATTCTCACTGGTGTAAGATGGTATCTCATGGTAGTTTTGATTTGCATTTTCCTGATTACAAGTGATGTTGAACATTTTGAAATGATGTTTTTGGGTAGCAGGAGCAGAAAGCTGTTTGGTGACTGTGGAACTGAAAGAATGTCAGCAAAATGAACCTAAATGACAGATGTCATCAAGGTGATAAGTTTCCCCACTTCAACAGTGCGACTTTTCTCCTTCAACAGTAGAATCTCCTCATACTGCCTTTAATTTACTTGAATTTAACTATAGACACAGGACAAGGTCAAAGGTGATTTTAGTGTTTAAATAAATATATTTTTGAGACAACACAGCCCTTGATTCAGGTTGACAACTACATCTAGTATTCAATAAAACAGTGATATGTTCTAGCACTGGAGGAAAAGCTGGCAGGTTTGGGCATGTGCATTGGTATGTGTTTACTATGCTTTATGGTTTACAGGATTTGAAGGATAATATCGGCAATACTCAACTTGTGCCTTCTTCACCATGGTGACTATCTCCAAGATGACTCTATGATCCCTACCTTCTGTTATTAAGACCGTGTGTAGTCGCTCCCTACCTTGCACCAGGGTTGGAGTGCATGCACAATAGAATATTCAGAAGAGATGGTATGTCTCCTTTGAGATTAGGTTATAAGAGATGGCCTCTTCTATTTTGATGTTTCTCTCATCACTTTCTCTTTGGGAAGCTTGTTGCCCATGTAGCAGGAATTTAAGCCTCATATGACCAACAGCCATATGAATGAACTTGGAAGTGGATCCTCCAGCCCATGAGTCTCAGATGTCTACACTCCTGCTAGTACCTTGACTGAAGCTTTGTGAAACTGACCCACAGATGCCCAGCTAAGCTGCGACCACAGAAACTGAGATAATAAACGTTTGTTGTATTAAGTCGCTAAGTTGTAAGGTAATTCAACTTGTGGCAATAAATAACTAATCCACATGCTGTCTTTTTATTTTTAATTTTATTGTGAAGCTCTCAAGCATACACAAGTAGAGAGAATAGTATGAGTCCTGGGGAAGCTATCATTCAGGTGCAACAATTTTTAACTCATGGCCAATTTTTAACTCCATCTCATTTCATCAGCAAATATTTAAATATATAGCTCTAAAATATAAGGACTCAATGCCAGTATCACATCTATGGTAGAGTGACTTTTTTTTTATAAGAAATCTTTTTTAAAATTATTTATTTATTTATTTATTTATTTATTTATTTATACAAGCACTGGGTACAGTCAGAAGCGCTGGAGAGTGAGAAGATTCACCAGCATGGTAGACTGACTCTTAAGGAGGCTCAATGATCCTTACCTCTTTGTGTTCAAGGCCTAATGTAATTTTCTTAAGTTTTACTAGCTTCTAGCCCATAAAGTACAACAAAAATGATGGGATATATGTGATTACATGAACATGAATACATGGTTACGTTACATAAGCTTTAGCAACAGTTAATCAGCTGGAGCATTTCTTTTTTTTTTTTTTAAAGATTTATTTTTATTTATACAAGAGCTAGGGTACAGGCCAGAGTCATGGGAGGGTGAGAGGATTCACCAGAGACAGAGCGGGGAGCAGAACAGGCAGGTGACTGAAATATACTGCTGAGAGGAGCAGCAGGCAAGACAGGAGAGGTCTGCCTCGCCATGTGGGCTTCTCCCTGGCTGGCTGGGAATTGAACCGGCACTACGGAGGCTGTGGACAGCTTCACAGCGCTGGGTTTAACCTGCTGCACCACCGGAGAGGCCCTAGAGCATTTCTTATGTTGGTTCTGAGGAAGCCAATGAAATGAGATGGAGTTAAAAAGGTACCATGCTGGGGAAGTCTAAAAGGAATTGCTGGTAGCCTCCAGAAGGTGAGGACAATCTCTAATCAACCGTCAGCAAGAAAATGAGGCCCTGGCCTCCCTGGTGGTGCAAGGGGTTAAGTCTCAGCACTGTGAAGCTAGCCGGCCACTGCAGCACAAGTTTGATTCCTGGCCAGGGAGGTCACCCACATGGCGCAGCAGACCTCTCCTGGCTCACCCGCTGCTCCCCTCAGCAGTGTATTTCAGTCAATCCACCTGTTCTGTTCCCCTCTCTGTCTCTGGGGAATCTTCTCATCCCCTGCACCTCTGGCCTAGATACCAGCTCTTGTATGCATAAATAAATAAATCTTAAAAAAAAAAAAAAAAGAAAATGAGACCCTTGGCCCTACAATGATGAATTCTGCCAACAACCAAGGTGAGCGTGAAAGCAAATCTTCTCCCCTTCTCCCCACCTAGTTGAGTATTCATATGAAGTGGAGACCCCAGCCCAGGCAATACCTTGACTACAGTTTTAGGGAGGACCCAACTGAGCTGTGTCTGGACTCCTGACCCACAGAAACTGTAAAACAACCAATGTGTGAGGTTTTAAGCTGCTACATTTGTCATAATTGTTATACAGCAATAGAAAACTAATTACAAAACCTAAAAAATTAGAAACAATTACTTAATATTATTGAATATTCAGTTAGCATTTCTACTTCCTGAGTTGTCTTATAAATTTTTACACTATTTGTAAGACAGGCTGACTTTAGCCTGCACTTGGATGAGATAGGAATCCACTGTGTTAACCTTCCTCATAACCCAGTCTGGATTCTTCTTTCCATTGCTTATCCTCTTTCTCAGATCTTACCTGGCTAGACCCTGCCAATGCTTGTCTCTCTCAACAACCTTCCCCAGGCCCTCCATTTCTCATCAGCCCTGACATTCTGCCTTGATCAGATTATAGTCAATCTATTCCATTCCCTTAATATTATCAGAATTGCTAAATATCCTTGAAATAGTTAATGGGCAAAATCTATCACCTTGGTTGAGAATTACTACTTTAAGCTGACCATGTTTTTCTTTCCTCTGATTTGCTCTATTTTGTGGATTAATTCTCAGAGGGTAGATTGTTCATCTCCTTTTAAGTTCTTTTTAGGGTTTTGGCTGTTTTTCCCATGTATCCTGCAAGTTTGGTGTCCAGTTGGGATCTGATCTTGTGGGTCAGAACTGCTGTTAGCAATCTGATGTGGTTGGTAAAAAGCAGTTTGCTGTCTCCTGTGTATAAGATACCATGCTATAAGCGGGCAGGGCGGAGAGCTAGGAGGAAGGCTGCAAATATCAGTAGAGAGGGAGCATACAGAGCACTCAGGGGACTCACATTAACTGGGTAGACCAGGCTCATCCTTTTATGAAAAGATAATGAGCACTTGTGCTGGTGTGTAATTAGGGCCTACATATGGCACATCTTGAGTGCTAGGCAGAATCAGGAGTATGGTGAAAGACAGGGTTCAGAGAGACAGGCATAAACAAAGATGCAGAGTTGAATGCACAAGGTATATTTGAATCTTGCCTAGAGTTTTTACATGTAGAAAGTTGTCACTAGGTTCAGTGGGTACAGAGCAAAGCTAAAGTAAAAATTCAGTTGAGACAGCAAGTAAATTCAAGGACAAAAAATAGTGCTGAAAGTTATGCTTATTATTAAACTATTACAATTGCTAGAAAGGACTTGGGAATCATAGCAATGGTGTGTCACCCCCACTGTATGAGAAAGGGTAGAACTGAGGTTCTTTGACCAGCAGCATTGACATTACCTAGGAGTTTGTTAGAAATGCAGAATCTGGGGCCTTCCTGGTGGCGCAAGGGGTTAAGCACCACACTGTGTAGCAATCTGCAACCTCTGCAGCACGAGTTCCATCCCTGGCTGGTCAGGGAGAAACCTACATGGCAAAGCAGACCTCTCCTGAGTTGCCTGCTGCTCCCCTCAGCAGTGTACTTTGGTCAGTCATCCTGTTCTGTTCCCCGCTCTGTCTCTGCTGAATCCTCTCACCACCAACCAGCTCCCCCCCACCCCGCTGCATCTCTGGCCTGTACCCCAGCTTTTGTATGCATAAATAAATAAA